CTGTAGAGACAACAAAGACCCCTCGATGTGTTGGGATAAACGCACCTGGCCATATAGGCACCGAAGGGATAATTATAGCAGTTATACAAAACATTATAAGATTACACATTGGATCGATGTTGTTTTAGTCATCATTTACATTCCCAGGAGAGCCCAATGCCATTTGTGCACCCAGGAGGCGAGTGATTTATTATTCGATAGTTTTTGTTATAGCTTATTTCCATCTCATTTGTATTGTGATTTTTGTTGTTTTGTTTCTAGTTTGTGGTTGTGTTCGTCACATTGGCTATACATGTACATATACAGCCCCTTTGCCAATCCACTGCTGGATGAGGGCCTCCCTCCCCACATCGTGTGGGTTGTAAATGGTAGTCACCCTGAAACACCCCGCTGTGGCTTGTTTTAAGGAGGGTTCTGCATTACCGGGCTGCTTAGACAATACATGTGGGAGGGGATCCAAAGCGCGTTTGTGTGTCCTCATTTCTCACCGGGGTCTGTATAAACAGCGGCGCTGGGATGGCCTTGGTTGCACAGATGCCCGATTATGCCACAATCGTCACACGGTCAGTTAATTTATAACCTATTATTTAGAACCATACCGTAGGCGAATTAAGGCGGCGAGTATTGTCACGAAAGTATGAATGCCCTGTTACGTATCCAGAAGGGGAAGAAGAAAAAAAACACGGTGGTGTCGAAAATTATTGTTTCGGCAAGATGCTCATGCAATTTGCAATTTCCGAAATGAATTAGTTTCTGCGTGGGAGACAATCGGAGTTGCAGGGAGAACACCCACGCATACACTGCAGTGGAGATATGGGGGGGGGGAGGGAGATTTAAGAAAAAGACAAAGGGCACAGCATACAGTAGGGGGGGGGGGCACCACCGAGTATTTACAGGGTGATGGTAAAGATACTCCACCGGTTTCTGATGACTCTCTTAACTTCATTGCAAAAGTTACACATTATTTGGTGATAGTACATTGGCAGTGGTGTACAAGCACAAATAACACCCCCCTCCCCGCCACACAAAAAAAACCCCATCAACACATTCGTCAATGACACTGCCCTCGACGTGGAAAGTATACAATCGGTAATGTTGCCGGAAATGGCTCTCCTCCATAACACATTATTCTCAACAGGTCATGGAATCGACCCACGCCATAGAGAGAGAGAAAATGGAGAGGGGGGTGGTGGTGGTGGTGGCCAGGATAGAGAGACACAGATCTGTTCTGTGCATAACCGACAAGGAAAGTGTTGTTGGCTTGTACCTTACACACTCAAGCGGCACTAGTTTCAACGAACCTCACTTTCAAAAAAAATATATGGACGAGGCCAAATCCGTTTCGCTTCTTTCTAAGTGGCTGCGATGGCTGTGTTTACAGAGCAGGGGGGCATCGCATCACACATCTCCGCGGGTTTTGTTGAGTCAAGAGAATGAACGGAATGCGGTGCACGTGCGAATCCCTAACATGAGTTGTGCTTGCGGGGTCACGACCATCCATCATCGAGGGCCCAAGCCACTGCGCTCAGCACTCGAAGGATTAACCTCACGTTTATTAGCTTCAGATGCTGTTTGTGGAGCAACAAACGCACAGCGTGGCAACTGGTGGAGGGCTGCTCGAGATGAGTCAGCTGGAGCCATGAGTGGTACACAGAGAGGCACTTTCTTCTTCTGTCTGCTAGAGCCAGCGGTCTACTGCACACTGAGTATAGACCGTACGGGGCCGATGGAGTTACAGATAACTGGGAGTCCCATTACACTTACATCTTTTAACACTCACTCTCCTATGTTAGGCGTGGAGCCATCGCTTACATAAGTGCCACACGGCTGGATTTAATCAGCTGTTTCAAATAAGTAGAGGTGTACACTAGAAATCAGTGGGGGTATATATCATCAAGTGGATCAACCCCCGTGTTAGCTTAGGCGATACATTTACACGTGCAGTCCCGCTTGCCAATCCGCTGTCGTGCGGGTTTGCGGGGGGCTTGTTTGACCATACTTCACCACCCTTCTTCGTGCGGGATTGTAAAGGCAGGGATCAGACACGTGGAAGTATTCAAGTGCAGCACAGTTCAACAATGGCATTTGCAGTAGCCAAATGGTCGTTATATATTCTTGGTTCTTTCGGTAAAGTCACGTAGAAGGGAAATAACAAAATATAAATATAAAACAATAAAAATTCTCACGACGTTTCGACTGCAACACAAGCAATCATCATCAGGTGTGAAATCCACAGCAAGAAAATTTGACTTTACCGAAAGAACCAAGAATATGAATACCTGCAGTCACGAAAGCTTTAAATCAAAATTCAAATGGTCGTTGTTTAATGCGTGGCAGTCGCCCATGCAAACACTAACCAGGTTTAAACCCGCTTAGCTTCTTGCGAGATCGGTGCCATTCCAGGTGATTTGAAGGACGCCGCTGAAACTGTGCACTTTTACAACTCGACTGAACACTCATTTCTTTAGAACAGGTTTTGTTTTGTGTTTAGTTTGTTGTTCTTACACACCCCAACCCCCTCCCCGCGTCTCCGATTAGCATGGTTGGCTACGTACGGTGCGAAAGAAGTTCAACATCCATACGAAGAAGGGCAGGCAAGCAAGAAAGAGGCCGCATTCTGTTGGAATGTCGCTGCTGCTGAACAGTTTTAGAACGGAATGGTCATGATCCCCAAGTTGTTCAGACCGTTTGACGCGCGCGCGAGGCGCTTTATTTTGGTAAATCCACTGCTGGATGAAACCCCCCCCCCTCGCGCCGTGCGGGTCGTGGCAGTTGTTTGACCATACTTCACCACGCTGGTCCAGTACGCGCGTTGGTGAAAGTCGGGGGAGGGGGGGTGGATAATGATGCACTGCTCCCCAGCACGTAGTAACCACCCCCCCCCTCCTCCCGAGCAGCCTATAACACCTGTTATGCCCCAGCTATTAACCACAGAACCAAGTGAAGATGATTGGCACTCGTGCCTGAATTGCTGAGCCGCCAATATTGTGGCACGCCGGGATAAATGACGTATTGGTGTTGACTCGAAATGAACTCTCAGTGATTTAAAGGGCATTTACTTCCCATTTGAGAACCGCAGTGAACACAAAGACACGCCGCTACCGTGTATTGTATGGCTCGCACATGATCAGCATAGCAATGCCATACACAGCAAATGCGTCGTCTTGTGTAGTTTGGTGTGCGCCATGCCCTGTTAACCCGGCCACCTGAGTTCTATACCCGGCCACGGCTGACGTCAGTCGCGAGTGACGTCTAACCCGGCCCCTGCATGGCCACCTCTCTCAACGCATTTCACCAATCCGCATTGACCAGCGGGGTGAAGTATGGTCAAACAATCCACATGACCGACACGGCATTCTGGGGAGGTCCCGTGTAGTGGATGGGAACAAGGCAGAGGCATGCATTGTGCATGCCATATGAATGTGTAGTACGCTTACATATACATAAGTGTGTACTCAAAAAATTAGCAGTACGAGCTAAACATATAATCAAGTGTGTACCTAATGAACCCTATTAATGTGCACGTACATTTATACATGGCGATCCATTTATCGACACCCTAGTGCTTTCCAATTACCCTCTTCTCCAGAAAGGTGATCGATTACAGTATTGTGAGATGGGTGGCTCCACATCTTACAGAGAGAAGAGGGTTAGATGGGTTGACACGTGCATCGAGACTCACGATCGACCGTGTTGGGATGCTTTGAAATAAAATAGACTTCTTTGTGATGCCCTCTCCTCATTATTGTAGTGGGCTGTCTATAAATGGATCACCCTGCTTAACTCACAATGTTACATGGACATAGAGAATCAAATGTCATAGTTGCTAGAGTTGGCGGATCACGTATATTAGTTTAAGACTCAACTCCGCTATGCCGATTAAATTTCGATTTAAAGCTTTCGTGACTGCAGGGATTCCTATTCTTGGTTCTTTCGGTAAAGTCACGTAGAAGGGAAATAATAAAATAAGAAAAATAAAACATCATAAGATAAAATTCTCACGACGTTTCGGCCACAACGCAAGCAGCCGTCCTCAGGTGAAGAACAGAGCTGTCGCTATGCCGCTTGTATGTATGTTGAACTTCTTCCACACCGTACGTAGCCAGACGACTGCAGTATGACAACGAGGCTCCTCCAGTTGTGTGCAACTTTGAGCGTTATCCCCTAATGGAGTGTGGGTATTCTCACTCCCAAACGAAGCGAAACACCCATTACATACAACGTAATTGCCCAAAGCAAACATCCCATTGCAGGCACACTCTTGAAAACGAGTCTTAAAGACTCAGCCGAGAACTTCACACGTGAAATGTATGCAACACTCTGATCCATCAACCGACGGCGACCCTTCTAGATTCTAGAACTACACTTCCCAGCAGTATTTGTCGAACCGCCTTCAATCTCTCTACGTCTCATCAGCGGGGTTTGCGGCCAGTTTAAACGCGTGCCAAGTTAGCCGGGTGTCACCTCACTCGCCACCCGGGCATCTGCGAAACTGCAGGACATCCGTGAAAACAAGAAAGAGCTTCGTTGCTCATCGGATTCCTCCAGCAACCAATATTCCGCATCTGATCACAAGCAGTATGCAAGGGAGTCTAGAACACACACAAAGACAAAGATCCCCCGTACAGCCTGTAACAGACTATTGGGGCAAGTGCTGTTAGCGAGCAGCACCTATGAAGGCCAGAACGACACACGAAGGGGTGGTTGGCCAGCACCACGCCCGACCGCCCTTGTCTCCCCAGTGGGCGATGTTTACTCCATACCGCACGAGGTCACTCAATTTGACGCCGAGTCGACCTAGAGGAGGAAGAGGCCCAGGACCGGTCCAGAAAATCGTCACCGATTTTGGCCGTGAGCGGAAAATCCAACTCGGGTGGGCCAGGTTCGTAGCGCAGCGCTAACCACGACACCACCGCTCCCCACACACACGCGCGCGCGCACGCACAAGATGCGGCGCGCACCACACACGCGCGTCCTCTTTCTCCACCGGCCGCGCTCACCGAGGTTGACGAAGCTCATGACCATGTCGGCATCATTGAGGAAGGTGCTGCTCTCCTGTAGGCTGACGAGCGGTGGCGTCTGCGTGGGGAGCAGCACCGGCTGGACGCCGCCGTGAGCTCCCTCGGCCACACCGCCTCCACCCTGCTCCACCGCCAGTGCGTTGTACAGGTCCAGCATGAAGATGGGGGCCGCGGCGAGTTTGCCGTACTGCTGGGGCCTCGGGCGGTGCGGCAGCCCCAGGATGGAGAGGATCTCCCGTTGAATCTCCTTTTTCTCCTGGCCACGCAGGCGCCTCTGCAGGAAACTCGAGTGGATCTCGTTCTCGGCCGTGAAGACGGCGGCCGCCAAGGCGAGCAGGGTGCAGCAGCAGCAGCAGCGGGCGATGATTCCCGGCATGGTTGGTGGTGATGCTGATGATGATGGGACCTGTTGATGACGTTACTGCTACTGCTGCTGGTGCCGCTACTGATGATGATGACGAACGCTTGTGGTGCCGTCGATCGTGATGATGGTTACGACGCTGACGATCTGCTGCTGCTGCTACTTCGAGTGCGCTAACGGTAACGCTCCCGATTGTCAGTGGTGCCTTCTTTGTATCGGCGACTTGATGGTAACCACCGATGATGGCGAAGTTCCTGGTTGCGGCGGTAACTCTCTGTGCTACTCAAGAAGTTTCTGCTGACGGGTGCCGACGATGATGATGCTGCCGCTGCTGCTGCTAATCCTCGTGTAGTGGAGCTGGCGACGAGCGCGAAGTAGCACCTGGTGCTGCTGCTGCTGCTAATGATGAAGTTGCTGGCGCTCCTTCGCTCCGATATTGGCAACGCCGATGGTTACATATGCTGCTGCTGCTGCTGGTTGCAAACTAGCGCAGTGGCTCAAACCCAGTCGCTTTTCACGAGTTTGCCAGTCCTCAATGCGCAACTCATTGAGCCGCGAGTGGTGGGACGACACGCAGCCCTCGCTCGTCTTCCCAAGAGCTCAAGCACGTGTTTGCTCCACCACCAAGCACGGCTCGTGTATTATGATGACGATGATGACCTTTCTTTAAACTTTTTTTTTTAAACAGCCTTTGCAAACACGCGCACGCACGAGAGAACCACAAGAGAAGATGTAAAAAAAAGGCAGGAAGCTTAAAAAAAATCCAGTCCCCTCTTCCCTTACGTGCGTCCGCAGACAATGCTCCCCACTCCGCACGTGTGTGTGTGTGGTAACCGACTGGAAAGACACACACAAAATGCCGATAATTCTCGATTTGTTCCTAGAGTTGCTGAACCACAGTACAGTGCACGCCAGCCAAGCCACATGCGGCACTTAATCCCTCGGGACAATGGAAGAGTCGAGGGGGGAGGAGGAGGAGAGGTGGTGGTTGTGGTGCTTGCTGCTGCTGGTGGTGGTGATGGAGGAGGGATGGGAGGATTCTATTACTCAAAAAGGCGGGACCAGGCAAAGGGTGGAGCCCAAAGCTTCCTAATGGACATTGGGCCACACAAAAAAGTAGAAGGGGGGATTTAAAAAAAATGTGTGTGGAGGGTGGGACAACCCCCCGCCCTCCTGACTTTAAATGGATGGAGGGGGGGGGGTCACCACAAGGTGTGGGCAAATGATCGGTGCCCTGGCGTTGGGGAAGGGGGGGGGGTTAGCGAGCTGATCGAGCGTGATGAAAGCGCTGTCCGTAGGTGATGACCTGCAGCGGCATCAGCGTTTGGCAAAACAACAAAAACTCGTTCTGATGCAAACTAAATAAAGTTTTACACCCGCTACAAAAGCCGGGGGGGGGGGGGGGGGCTGAACGTAACGCTGTAACGTCAATTGCAGGTCTATCAGCGTTCGACCTTCACACAAACCGCGTGTGGCTCGGTGGTGTTGGGAAAGATAAGGGGGGGGGGGGCAATGACCCCGATTATTAGCAGAGGAACCCAAGACGTCGCATACATTACACCCGTATCCCCTCTTTGTGGCAGTGTTATTGACCGGCGTTGTTTTAGATTTAATTATTTGTGCGTTACATCGCTGCCGGCGTATTTGGAGGTGGGTGTTAAAATAGTGTCTGGACTTCTAGATTTGAAGCGTTCGTGACTGCAAGGATTCATACTTTGTTTTTTTCGGTAAAGTCACGTAGGTAAAAAATAAAATAAATGAAAACTAAATTAAATCACGTTTCGGGCACAACACAAGCGTCCTTTTTCAGGTGGGGACAACACAGCGTTTGTGATTTTGCTACGCTGTCCCCACCTGAAGAAGGGCGCTTGTGTTGCGCCCGAAACGTCGTGATTTAATTTAGTTGTTTTCATTAATTTTATTAGATTTTTTACCTACGTGACTTTACCGAAAAAAACAAAGACTAGTGTCCGGACTGCCGACTGCGTCACCAAAATGCAATGTTCACAAAGCACTTTACTTTCCAGTCGAGAGGTCACCCGTGGCACAACATTCGCCTGTCAGATGGGTTTTTTCGTTCGGTCAAAACCTGAGTCCTTGAGTCACATTCATGAGTATGGCATTAAATAAAATAGGCCACGAGTAACAACGATATAATAGGGTTTTTTCCCCTTTTTTTCTGGCAACAAAACTGAAACATTTTTTTACGAGGAATCATGTGTGCATTAACCACAATACTTGTGGTCAAAATGCAAACAAAAAACACTCCGATACTATATACATTGTCCATGAAACTGATTGGTCCACACCAGAGACGGCTTTCTTTTGTGCCTCGTCTCAATTGGTGCTACAAGTAACAACGTTTAACAATACGCCTATTGACTACATCACCCTTGAGTGTGGACAAAATCGTCCAGTCTGGGAATCTCAGCAGAGTTCAGCCTGCATAGTGCTTTGGATGGGGTGACCACCATACATGGCACAGGTGTTACAGGCTATTGTCCTTCCCTCGCACCTCCGATTCGCACGGTTGGCTAGGTACGGTGCGAAAGATGCCCAACATACATAATGCAGGGACAAATCATCGTTGCATTGTACTGCTATGCTCCCTTCCGTCACCAACCCGCGGTGACCAGCATGAAGTATGGTCAAATAGCCCCCACGACTCGCACGGACTTGGAAGGCCCTCATCCAGCAGTGGATTGACAAAAGGGCTGGACCGTAGATGTACACGCAAAGTAACATTAACAAGAAAAATCCCATTTATAACCATTGGTCGTTTGGGAAATGCACAGCTATAGTTGTTAATGACATAAAATAAACAGTGTCGAAATTTAACCCTTGAAAAGCCACACACAAAGAATACAAACATGCCTTTGTCCTTGACCAAATAAAACCAACCATCTGGTATATTTAACAGCAATAATGATGGATAAATAGAACAACGCGGGCATTGAGATGGTGCTGAATGGAGTGAATGGACCAGGACAGGCCTGGAAGCACAAGCCCATGACCTCATCCCAAGAGGGTATCATTACGGTGTTCTGTACGGGCAATGGATCTGTGGGTTCAACATATCACGGCATTTTTTTTCTCAAACCCGCTTCACCGAAACCTGTGAAAGAGAATACATTTTAAGGCTGACGGTCAAATTTATACAAGGTGAAAATGCGTGGAGCCAAGTTACAAAGATGCATGCGGAGGATCGGTTTAATGGCGAAACCTTCGCAAGAGCTGTGCGTTACTTGTTTTGCCGACACATTTTGCGGTTCAATTACCATCAGTTAAAGGCGCTGCTCTGCAATGTATCGGCCACACCAGTCTGGCGCAAAGGTCTCCGCTAGATGTGGCTCAAGAAAGCCCCTCAGGAGGGTATTTTGGTCTACTCTTCCACACCGACCAGATGCCTTGGAAGAGGTGGGACCTACCTGCTAGCCGGAGAGGTGGAGGAATTTAGGAACCTCTCCCACGGTCGCAACTATCACGCTGGGGAGAAAAAACTGGTACCGTTGATGGCAGCAGCATGCCATACATTTCACTAAACAGTACATTGTTCAACATTACACTTCCATGCAATTTCCCCATCAGAACCAATTGTTATATTCAAACCTTCTACGGGACACCGACGTTAATGTGAATATCCGGTACTTATTTTCAATACTCCTTGTTTATCGTTCGCGATGCTGTAACAGTTAAACATAGCCTCGGCACCGCGATCAAATGCAACAAATCCCACATTCAAAGACACACAGTTGTACTTCAAAGTATTTATTTACAATATCAATACCAGAAGAGGGGTTCTGGTGTTTTAATGCAATTTCTCAGGATTTCAAGCAGCCAGTGGCAGATCGTCAAAATCGGTGTTCTATTGATGTTTGCTCAAAAAAAATACATTGAATGTGTTTAAATTAATGTAACGCTCCTAATTTAAAAAAAAACTTTTACACTTTGGGACTGCAGAAACCCACCAGCATTTTCCCATTTAACCACACACGAAGCTCATAAAAAAGAAACATTACTTTCGTTACATTATCCACTGGGCATTTTGTGTCGTCGGTCCACGAAAACTTGATTTTTTTTAAACCGTGGAGGCACGCGCGTGCAAGTCTCGCTCTCGGCTGGCATCTCTTATCATCACTTGCTCTTTGTCTTGCCGAGCCTCTCTCTCCTTTTCTTGACATGCTTTGGCGTCTTCTGCTTCCGCTTTTCTCTCTGCGCGTCCTTCACTTCTTTTTTTCGCTCCTGGCGGAGAGAAGTCGCAAACCCGTCAAGACAAATGAGGCCCCGTTTCTTTCCCCCCCCCCCCCCCCAAAAAAAAACGACCTGAAATGGTCGACATCTGTTTTAGGTTATTTTGACCAACGCCGGTTATTGACTTTGCAACGTCACTCCGCACACAACCATTAATCGAATATCTGTGAGGGAATGTGACCCTATAATGTCACTGCCAGGACCACACTGTAAATGATATTGCAGCATCTCAGCTTTACCATTTCGAAAATAAACCCCCTCCCCCGCCCGTCGTCCCAATTGCTAGAGTAAATACACATCATAACAATCTCGTGCCACATGTCTGTTATGCATCCATTAGTTACCGGCCAACAAAAATAAATGAGAAATTTAAACAAACCGAGAAAGACAAATACAAGGGGGAGGGGCGCTGCGTTTCCAGCTGTCGCGCCCCCGTCAAAGACCCAAGCGAAACGGCGTTGGGAACGTTTCTGCTGAAAGCCAACATACTTAAAAGCGCTTGCAAACTGTTACTCAAGCACACGATGGTGCCCAAATATCCTCCGGATCAGCACATTCTCACGAATGTCTTTTGGGAAAAAAATTCAAGTCCTATTTTTTTTTCTTTTCTCACTCTACCATACAATCTTGGTAATTTACAACGGAAAAAAAACGATATCGGACATCGAAGTATTAATCATGATATAAATGAAATGTAATTAAACAGACTATCCCGATGCGTTTTCAGCTTGTACCGTGTGTTGTTGGGGGCGTCAGACGTCATACCGAACGATGCGAACACTTGTCAGACAGCTACACGGTCGAGGCAGCAGTTTAAAATTACCAACGGCGCTAACGAAAACAACATTTCATGAAGCGTCATCTCCACCTTCTTATCCGCCGGCAACTCTTGAGGTCTGTCCTTGGGATGGACCAACTCCGGTCCGTCGCCATTTGAAGCGACGCCATCGCTGCCATCGTCGTCGCCGTCGTCGTCGCCGCTGTCGTTACTCAAACTGGAATCCGTGTCTTCCTCGAGCAGCGCGGGAACCTGCGGTGCCGCACGTCACAGCAGCACACGTCTCGACCGGCCGAAGCGGTGTCCACCGGGGCGCAGTATTTTCAGCAAATGAAAACATTAAACAGCTGTGCGCAGCGCTTCAATGGGAAAGAATGTGCGTTCGAGTTGAATCGTCACCGTTTGAGCTCCTGTGAGGTCCTTCCTCAAGCCTGTAACGGTCTGATATAAGATCTGTAACGAAAACGACTTGGGTTAGCATCATACGAGGCTGTGCACATTTAATGAGCTGCATATCGATGTGTTTTAATTGTGTAGCGGTGGTGCACTGCACTATGAACCCTGCACGATGCGAGTTCAATCCCCTGGCCATGCACGGCTAATATGAGTGGCCAGTACTAGCCTCTACTTACCAACCTGCACAAACGGGCATTGTGAAAGCCTGTCAAATCAGCAGTGAAGGCTCATACATAATTGTTTAAATTAAATTACCCTTATACTTTTATACTTTCATACATCAGTTTACAGGTTATTGAAATAAGGCTGATAATTAAAAGTTACAATTATAAGCTAGGTTTGCGGGTTATTGCAGTTAAAAAGGTCACTCACTTAACGCATCGTCACATAGGTTTACTGTATCGGGGTGGAATGGTCACGCAAAGGTTAGCGCACTCCGCTTTGAACCCGGTGTGACGCGAGTTTGATTCCTGGTCACGGTTAACATCGGTGGCGTGTGAAATCTAAACCGAGCCTTGGGGACCCCCCCTCCCCCACCTTCATCAACGCGCCACTGATCAGTGTGGTGAAGTTCGACGAAGGACTCCACTCTATTGTGCATCACATTATCGTGCAACGGGACATTTACTTTGTTGATAGAAAAAAATAAGCGGTGATGTTGCCGAGCAGTGGCACGCTTGCCGATTGTTGGAGAGGTTCATGGTTAGGGCACTGCGGCCGCCATTGTTAAAATACGGCGAGCCTACCCGACCAGAAATGCGCCAACCACGAACACACCAAACACGAACACACCAACCAGGAACACACCAACCAGGAACACACGCCGTCTGCTTTACCGTGGACGTTTAAGATCCCGCAGGTGTGCAGCCGTCATGGTCCAATTTAATTTTTATTATTCACCGCAAATGTACTTCCTTGGGTACACCAGCAAAGCAAGATCGCCTCCTACTGGCAAACTATACCCGTCTGTGAAACACAGGAGCGCCTATGCTAAATGTGCCATTATTGATGATTATAATTATTGTTAATCACCGCCCTGGGAAGTTTAAGCTAAGGAGCTAGTCTCGGGCCGTGCGGGGGAGTGCGAGACTCACGTTGTCGTGCTGCACACTGAAGGCCGCGTCCTCCTCCTTGGCGTGCATCATCTGGTCAAAGTCCCGCTCGTAGTCCACCACGTCGGTGAGCGTGCGGGGGATGTAGGCTTTTTTGAACACCTGCACAACGGCAACAACGCGGCCTGACATTGCAACACTTCAGGGTGAGAAGCAAGGTCGATTTTTTTTTATTCGGGAAACTCAAACAAGGCGAAATGCAGCACAGCCCTATTCGGAGGATTTTTTTTTATCTGTAAGGCACATTTTTAAAAGCTTTGCAACTTTGTGGCCTATCATCCATCCCTGCAAATGTAGCGCCAATGCAATGGCAGCTCAAAGTATATAATAAATACCTTGCTTTTATCCCTGTGATGCGCAAGCTCTATTTTTTATATATACACGGCGTCTTGAGATACAGTTGTATTTTAACACTACTGTACATAAATCCAAACTGTTTTGCATTGCATTTGTAAAACCCCAAATGCTGGGCAGGACTATTCATGGCCACGTTGCACATACCAAAATGGCTAACAATGAACATTAATAATCTGGCCCCCGATGTGTGCATCTGTGTGTCTGTTGGAAACGTACCACGTGGCGGTGACTGGTAAGCCCCCGCCACCGGTGCCTTACGACGGCTGCCGCTAACCAATCGCATTCAAACGCGCCGTGAGATTTGGCTATTCGCGTGCGCCAATCTGTTTAAATCGTTACTAAAATTCGACTGGATTAAAAAAAAAGCGATCCCATGACTTTTAGAATACGTAATCGATTCGCAAAACGATTGTCTAATAATCGATTCACAACCCTGCCCCACCGGTCCCCCCAAGCCACGACAGGGCAAGTCCTCTCTCCTCCATCTTCACTCACCTCTTCATCCACCTCGTCTTGGCAGGAGCGCTCATCTCCTGTCCGTGCAGATGCTACCTCCATAGCCTGCACGGAAAAAACAAAAACCTGCCGTTATTCCAGTGACTCGGGAGAGACACGTAAATCTTAAAACACGAGTCGCGGTCTCCCCTATCCTCTAAACTAAAGTATTTTATTCACCAGATGAAGCCCACTTAGCTCTTTTTCAGAGGAAACACGCCCACACGTGATGGCTCATCAAAGTAGCTTATCACGTGGGAATAATTTATGCAAGCCAAATCATCTACACGCATGTTTCTCCGAATGTGGAGGGCAATACCGGAGGACCCGAAGAAAAATACGACGTTGACCGTGGGGAAAACATGTAAACTCCAAATATACGGGCACCATGGTCAGGATTGAACCCACAACTTCCTGTGTACCTGACGAGGGAGATAACATCGCTACCACGGTTTCTCCTCACACCAATCCTAACAGAGTCAAAGGTCAAAAAACAAACACCGAGTGGCTTTACAGTTGAATATGGTGAAGAAGTGCATCGCACACCTTGTCCAGGTACTGGTCGATGTTGTCGTCGTTGATGGTGGGGTCAGTGATGAAGTCAAACAACTCGCGCACCGTCATCACCGGGACGTGATTCTTCTTGAAAAAATCTAAAACAAGAATTTGTTCGAAATATGTACATGCAAAAGGCACAAGGGGGCCCTTCCCCGCAATTATACGCGTTAGGACAAATTCTAAGGAGAAGTAAAAAGAAACGGAAGACGACAAAAGTGTTGCGGCCAAACGCACCATTCACATTAGAGCAGTCCTTCCGCAGGAACTCGAGAGCATGTGGGTGGTCGTGCTCCACCGACTGGGACACGTCGATTATGTACACCTCTCCCTCGTGGTATCTGCAGGGGAACAAACGACGCAACGGTTATGTACACCTCTCCCTCATGGTATCTGTAGGCGCACAAACGATGCGACGGTTATGTACACCTATCCCTCATGGTATCTGCAGGCGCACAAACGACGCGACGCAAAGACAAGTTGGCGGCTGTGCGGCGGTTGTAGAATTAAAAAAAAAGAACATTTAAAAAATAAACTAATGAAAAACACTTCAGCAGACATTGACTCCCGGCCAACAAAACAACATGGAAAAGGTGAATTCAGCGATATAAGTTTGCTCTAAACTCAACAAGGCCCGCCTCTAAGGATTTGTGGAAGTGTTCTGCTAAAGCAATACACGAAGCCTTCAAAAGGCTAAACTGCGCAACTTGCTGGCATCTTGAAGTCACCAGTGGCACACTGTATCGTACACCTCAGGCTCGCTTATATCTCCACACTTGGCAACAACTCCCCAAGTTAAAGCCCCGCAATACAGGGAGAGCATAGTGGAGTACACCAATATATTTGGAATGGATTTTGCTGCACTACTCGGCGGCGCTGACAGCGGTATCGCCGCAGCAGCCTACGACGCCAGTTGCACGCAGCGTTGGTCACCCATCCAACTGACATCTCAGGCTCAACCTCTGCTTAGTTTCCCTAGTCTGACGAGATCAGGCGCCTTCTGGGCGATGAGTTCGGATGCTTTGATTATACTGGTATCAAAATAAAGGCGAGTTCATTGCGAAATAATTACAATCAGACGGTCATTTGGAACTGCACGTTTGAAACGTTGGCAACACAACCCTCCAAAACTGGCTTCCAATTGAACAGCACATCCTGTAGAGTCACTGTTTTCTGTTACAAAGCACACACGGCTAGGTCAACCGGCGTATTTAGACCTCAAGTGGCCTCCTCTCCTCGTCAAGCCCTTCTCTCTCGAACCAGACAAGGCAAACGTCGCATATCTGCCGCAGCTCCGGTCGTCTAGAATTCACTCTCTTCTCCTCTCTCGGTGTGGCCGCACATCGGCGTCGACCTTTTGTCCAAATAAGAAGATTTTTTTTTGCTCTCTTTAATTTTAATATCATTCAAAAAGTTTAATTCGTGCACGTTACAAATGTTATTCATGAATCGATGTACAGTTAGGTTTCTTCGAGGCCTAACGAGATCGGGAACAGTCCCACACCGACTGGCGCGTGGAGGCAGGGTGCAGGGCAAGAGGTAATGCTGCACACACCTCCATGGTTGGCTACGTACGGTGTCAAAGAAGTTCTACAAAGACAAAGGTCCCCGGTAAAGCCGGAACAGACTGTAGGAGCAAGTGCTGTTAGTGAGCACTTATGAAGGCCGGCAAGTCACACGAGGCCAGCACCACGCCCGGCCACCTTTGTCTCCCTACTGATGTTTGCACACCGTACCAGGTACTCATTTGAGGCCGAGTCGACCTAGGGCAGGACCAGGATCAGTTCAGATAACCGTCTATGGTCTTGGCCGTGAACGGCAATCGAACCCGGGTCGTTATGTTCGCAGCGCAGCGCGCTCACCGCCACACTACCGCTCCCCATACACACGCACAAGCGCACACACACACACGCACAAGCGCGCACACACACGCACAAGCGCACACACACACACGAACAAGCGCGCACACACACGCACAAGCGCACACACACGCACAAGCGCACACACACACACACGCACAAGCGCACACACACACACAAGCGCACATACACACGTACAGGAGGTTGAACTCGCTGAGGTCGGCGTGCACCAGGCGCGCCCGCTGGTACATGGCGCGCATGTGCTGGATGAGGTGCAGGTAGAGCTCGCGAGCCTTGCCTTCCGACAGCTGCACGTTCTTCAGCAGCGGCGCCGGCCTGTCCCGCGCGCACGTTCAACGTACACACGCAACGGGCACGTACAAAGAACGGCGTCAACGCAAGCGTGTCGTTCGGCGGCTCTTTGCGCAACCACTTTCACAAGTAACACGAGCGAAGCTCAGGATGGACATTTGACTACCACGGAGAAATGTTAGACGATATCAATCCAGATATTCTACCCCGTGCGGTAGTTTCAACAATGGACAAGTTTCTTAAATCCTCCCACCTTTGGCCACCCAGCGTTATAAATGGGTACACTGCACTTAGGCGATCGGCAGGTCGTGTGCGGTGGGGTAAAGCGTGGGTAACTCACAGCTCTGCCAAGACATCCAGACAACGTGGAAGAATATGCCAAAAATACCCTCTCTGGAGGGCTTCTCTAAGAACTCCCACTAGTGGCGGCCCTTCCATCAGCAGTGGCATGAGCAACCAAATGCAGGGCTGCACCTTTACTTGTTTCTTATCAATGCAGTTCATCAGCTGATACGAAGTGCCCATGTCAATCGACGACGGGGTGACGGCCTCCCCACCCAATGTACATCACGGGGGTTTTATAGCCATGCCACACCCCAACGTTTTGTGCGGGTTGGTGGTGAGAAGCAACCGTAGGAACATAGAATTACAGTACAACAATATATTGCCCTCTACTGCCAACAATGTAATTGCCCCTGTTGACGAATAATTCTGTGTTTAATAATTAAGCGTGCAAACATCCCTTTGAAACTGCAAAGTGCTTAAATTGCTTTTCACGATGCTCAAGAGTTGCCACGCTGTCAACTCACATGTCTCCCTTGCCGATGAAGCCCATGACGAGTACGTGGCTGCGAAGCATGACCGGTTCTGGACACGGGATTCCTGCGGTGTGCAACCTAGTGATTGTACAGCACAAAGCAGTCACAGCGAAGTCACAGCGAACTCAATACGTTCGCAGCGAACTTGACACGGTTACAGTAAACAAAGTATATACCAGACACACCAAACTCAGCATAGTCACAGTGAAATCAACACAAAGTTGACTCCACATGCACTACCAGGAAGTTGCTAGCAATATCAAATGCTCTATGTATGTATGTAGAACATCTTCCGCACCATTACATAGCCGACCGTGCGAATCGGAAATGCTGTTGTCAGCCTGTAACTTCCCACTGCTGGGCAAATCTCTCCCCCCCCCCCCCCCCGACCATTTTCTACCATTAATCCTTTTCTCCTTGTCCCTGTGCAGCAGAGGCCTCTGAACTCTGCGATTTCGTTTCACCACCACTTCTACAGTCTTCCTCTTCTTTTGCCTTCTCTCGACCTCCACTCCAAAGTGAATTTTGTCCATCGTCTCTCATCAGTTATTCTCACGACGCGTTCCTGCCCATTTCTGCTCGATGTATTTTGCTTTAACAGCATCATCGGTGACTTCTTCTCTTTCCCTTACTTCTCCATTCCTTAACCTACTTCTTAGACTTACCCACAATTACTCCAAACGTACTTCGGGCAAGATGTACGTTCGGAGATATTTTAGGAACTATATAAATTACTGCCGATAACCAAACGGAAATCCTGTGTGTGCAATGAGCCGTATTTGAAAAAAAAACTGTCAATAAAACATTCCGGGTGTGATGAGAGTTAAGCACGCAGGTGTTCGCCTTTCAGGATGCACGCGAGGGTTTTGCTTACCTTGTTAAGTTCCTCATTTCCTTCTCCGCCCACGTCCTCACCATCTTCCTGGGATTTCCTTTGCAGTATCCATGGCGGAATCTGCAAGGGCAGGGTCAAATGTCGTTGTGGTTGGAGATCTCGACACGCCAGGCGATCAGGAGGGCTCGCGAGTTATCATTTCTGGTCAGGGATCAACTCGGGGTCATCATCCATCCACGGCCAATAAAGTGAGTAGCAGTTGTGGTAGGTCAACAGTGATTTCATACGAGGCAGACACATATCTGAGGGTCATTGTGAATACACATCTGGCATTTGATCAACATTAGTTCAAGCGAGCCTGACTGCTGATGAGACACTGCGCGTGTAGCTGATGGGCATAGATATGTGGAGGCGGATTGTCTGCTTATTTATTTCATCCTAGCGGAAGCATAGCCCCCACCGCCAACCGCATCGACCATTTGCCACAAAATGATTTCAGACATTCACCAGAGTACACCTCTGAAGCCGCCCCACTGACTCACTCACCAACCTTGCCGTGATCATACAAACGTTCCGGATCAACTCCCCGCCATTCAAAAAAAAAGATTTTGATAGAGAATCATTCCCACCACTGGGCTCAAGAGCCACCAGCAGAAATAAGCACTGTCCTACGTTCCGCTAGCATATCAATACCATGACTTGACCTTTGCTACAAAGAGTAAATAAACAATAGTAATAACATACACAAAATATGGCTTCTAGACAGCGACAGGTGCAAATATGTATCGGTCCTCCCATTGTGCTTTTCACGTCACATCACCGTACTGGAAGTACAGAGCACACAGCCTTGTTCGAGACCACGGACTCAAAAGTCAAATGTTTGTGGCCACATTATTTTAGACAGAAGAGAAACAATGAGACCGGTGGACACCAGTTTCATCCTTGAGGAATCATCAATCCTACCGCTGTCACCTTGGGTCTCAGGAGGGCTTTATGTGGGACAAGTCCTCCATGATCACTGGGGGGGGACAATCTGGTGTTGTCTAAAGGTGGCAGAAAACCAAGTCCAACGCTTTCTAAAAAATAATAAGACACTGAAGACTCAATCACAAGTGTAGGCTGGAAATCTAACAGTAAATAATGAACTCAAATGGTGATTTATACAGCAAAAGGTACAATTGACAACCACAGGATTGAGCCTCCCATTATCACACCTCGCAAATCTGAACGTTTCACAAAGCGATACTCCCGAGCGATTTTTTTGCCGGACCTGAACTCGCCGCTGACGTATTTGTCGCGGTCCTTGAAGATGAGGATGGACGTTTTGTAGATCTTAATGGCCCGGTTCTCGTTCGCGCCGTGCGATGCGTGGTAAACGTTCGCCTGGGAAAAGAATCAAACCAACAACCAGGAGAGCTTTTCCCTGCTTTAGGACAACGGGCAGACACTCGGCAAAACAACACAGACCACATGCAATAACAAGACAACACAGATCGCATGCCACAACAAGACAACACAGGTCACAAGTGACAACAGAACAACATGGATCACATGTAGACCAAATACCCTGGTACTTGCATGTTCGCCTTTTGGCGTTCTCTGGTCTAACACCGGTGAGACTAGGCCATAAAGAAGGCTGTCTCTGGTGTCGGCCAATCAGTTTGAAAGACAAGGCGTATATTATCAGAGCATGTTTAGGCTTGATTCCTTGCAATATTTTAACACCGGTTTTATTGCAGAAAGGGTAAACCCTATTCCTACTTTTCACATTTGTTTATAGGTAGTCTGCTATGCCGTACAAATCATAAACATGGACAGTGACTAAGAAAATGTAACAAAGGCTTAAAGGTGAGCAAAGCAGCGTGATTAGGTGCAAACTTGGAATTACACTGAGAAATAGAAAAAAAAAATACACAGGTTCTAGAACACGTGCAACTTTGAGACAACATACTGACTCTTAAGAAAAGGGGGCTTGGGCATAAAACAACACCGCTATAAAGGATGATGGCAAGTTGCATATATGTGTGTTGCACTTCTTTTGCACCGTACGTAGCCAACCGCGCTAATAGTTGTTCGAGACTAAGTATGGGAGTGGCAGCCAAAGAAGAGAACGCACCACAGAGTGCCTCCACCGCAAAGATGCAGCGATGAAACTGGCTCGTGCACAGGTGCCAGATTGTTTAAAGCCTGCCTCGACACATTTAAATTTTCTTGCTTTCCGTTATCTGAATTAGCTCCAATTTGTTTCCTTTGTTTTTCCTCCCCAAATTCTCAGATTTTTTTTTTTGCGATGGACAGCACATTTGTGCACCTTGGCCAAAAGCGTTTTATAAATGCTGTGCATTATTATTATTGTTACATCGCAGGAGCATGAAAGATGGCAACTGCCTGGAGAGGCCTTTGCCCAGCGATGGACAGATCACGGCTGACAATGACGACGATGAATAGAACTAAGGCATGGGTCGCGTTAAAGTCAAACCTCCTTGCCGGTGCTGATGCACCCATTGATCGCCGTGATGACCCCTCGGCTCAGCAACTTGAATAGAATCATGCGTGTCCGCGGATCCAGCACCTGCAAAACAAAGCCAGCTTGGCAAATGTAGCAAAAACCCCGGTGTTGTGGACGGGAAGAGCTTCTTAATCCAAAATAACAACCCGCAGTCAAAGCGCACACAAAAGATGAATTGGACAGCTTAACCTACTACCTTTAACAAGTTAGCTTACAACAAAGCAGACAGCAAATATGGGCCTCAAACGTGTTTATTTTACTTGTAGCAAGTCACACAAAGCCTGTTTGCTTAGCATCATGTTCAGGAATGTCAACTTATTAAATAACACACGAGGTTCGTCAAAGCGATTGCAGGACTGCACTGTGTATATCGTTGTTTATTGAAATACGTATACTCATGAGGGCCGCTGTGTGCAATATAACAAAATAAATACAGACAGCATACGTCCTTTTCCCCATCACTCCATGTAAACCATATTATCGTGTTATGTTCTACAGATAGTCCCCGAGTTACGATGGTCCGACTTACGATATTTCGATCTTACGATGGAGATACGAAAAAATTGAAAAATATTTTAAATTTCGCGCAGCAGGCAAACGCAGCAGCGTACGAATTTTGGCGAGTACAGTACAATATGATACGTTACAATAAGTTTGATGCATGTATGATACGTAGCTTTAACGATTTCATTTAAGGGTTACCACGATACGATACGTTCAATGCATGTTAAAAGTTTTTATAGCAGATAGGATTGTTTCCTGAAAAAAACTTCTCTTAAATTGCAGTTCATATAGGTAGGCTAAGAATTTTCCTTGTTTTTTCACTTTACATTTTACTGTGCAATACAGTATTGTAATTAATAAATACATACAGTATATAGTTTATACAGTACGGTACTGTAAATTGCTCCATTTTGCTAAATTATCACCATTCTTTAAGACTCCTGGGTAGGCTGGGTCATCTTCGACTTACGATATTTTCGACTTACGATAGGGTCGTCGTAACGCATCTCCGTCATAAGAAGAGGACTACCTGTATAGGATTCTGCTTTGAACTAGGACCCATATCTAATAGAGGGTTCCTTGCCTATTGACATCTGGAAGCTCACCAGCATTGGTTTAAGTAAGCCTGACTGTTGAGAAGACACCGAATGTAAAAAAAATAAGTTTGATAAAAAGAAAGAAATCACTCCCAGAAAGCCGTGTTGGCCGATAGGAATGTGCAAACAACTTACTGTATTCATTCAGTAGGGTTCATCAGGGAAATGGGAAACGGTGGATTGTCTGCTTATTTATTTTCAGTGTGGACACATTGTGGATTGTTCAAGCATCCTGTGTGGAGTGGATTGAGATGTCTGTCCAAGCAAACGGTGCACGGTTCCAAGCGTCTGCTATCATTTACAAGAAATAAGAATCTTGACTTTCGCAACACGCCGTTCATTTGATGGAAGCGTGGTAAGCAGCGTTGACAAAATGATGTGCTAAACGAGCCAAACTTGACAGAATACTCACTACTTCGCATCACCAATGATGGGGCATGCTCACATGCTGACATGTAAAAATCCAAAGTCTATTGTGAAATGGCCCGTCTGAATATAATAAGAACAATGACAAGAAATGGTGGATAAATCTGCCTTGTTTTAGTTGGCAGGTTGGCGTAAGTTCCAAATCAACACGTCATCAAAACCACAAAATAATTCATTATAAAATATATAAAATAGGTTTTACTACATATATGGGAGCATTTTAAATTCTTGAAGGATTTAGCGCAATGTTTTGTGAAATAAATCATTTTGTTTTACATTTTATTGTGCAATGCATCTTCAGCAGAGTTGAATAAAAATGTTTATCTGACACGTTTGCTTGCTCCATATATTGTATACGCAATGCTAAATGTCACCTGTTCCACAGTCGCCCTGTCTGCCTTGTCCTTAACTCGGTACCTGAAAAGAAATAACACAAAATAACACGTCTGCATCGTCACCTTCGCCCATGATAAACCCACTGCAAAACGAGGGTCTCCAAAAACTATCTCTTACTAATCTATAATATAATCATCTACCTGACACCTGCACACAGGCCGATTTCATCACTCCATCTCTATGGTTGTAATCCTCTCAGGTACAATACTTCCATTGGCTACCTCATGGATATTGTAGTATGGATATTATTTTAAAACCAGAAGATCATGATGCATTGTTTCACACAACACGGCACACTTTTTGTATTTTTCTTTCTTTCAGATGTGAAATGTGCTCCACCTTTAATTGGCAACTTAAAATATTTCAGCAACATCGTTTTTTTTTACAATTTTGTTTTAAACGATGTTTTCATGAATGAACAATTGTCATTTTTAACCTCCAGAAAATTTCAGGCAAGACATTCTCGACTCACATTTCAGCATCCTTCTGCCTGCAGCGCTCCGTCACTTTGTTGATCACAGAATCGGCGAAGTTCAACTTTTCTAAAAAAAAAGAAAAAGATCAAGCGTTAAATATTTTAAGTTGTAAAAAAAATTCTATTATCATTAAAATTATCATGTACATCCTTACGTCAATCCACTGCTGGATGAAGGCCTACCCATGCCGTGTTAGTCATGGAATTCGATTTACTACACTTTGCCACATTGGCCAGTGTGGGTGTGGATGAATGTATGTTGAACTTCTTTTGCACTGTACGTAGCCAAGTGCGCTAATTGGCGGTGCGGGTTTTGGAGGGAGAGGTACCAGGATCGATTCAAACATCACTCATCAAGGATGTTAGCTGTGGAAGAGCAATGAATATGGGATAATAGATTCATAGCATAATGCACTAACAACAACACCTCTGCTCATAATACTCAATCTAGATTGAAAACTAATTTCCTCAAATGCTGTGTGTTTAGTTTGTTGTTCTTCCCCCACACCTCCGATTAACACGGTTGGCTACGCACGGTGCGAAAGAAGTTCTAAATAGATACGTTACAGTCCTGTATGATAAGCCGATGACCAAATCACCAACCCGATCTCATTAGTTGAGCCTGGATCGTGCTTGGAAGTATGACCACCATGCAAATCCATGTTGTTAATAGTCTTCGGGGTTACATAGTGGGCATCAGAGAGCAGTGCAGCAATTTAATTGTTGTACTGTACAACTATGCTGCCATGTCTATGTTCCCCACATTCACCGAGTACTGACCAGTGGTGAAGTATGGTCAAATAACACCCACGACCCAGTGTGAGCAGGACCTCATCCAGCGGTCGACTGTCAAAGGGCTGTACGTGTACACCTACGTTAAAATAATCATGAAGGTGTCATCATCATTCGAGGACACGACAACATTTTTGTTGTAAAGCTCAGATAAACCTACCTAGAGAGATCTTATTTTCAAACTTTCTCAAAGCCTTGTCTTGTGGTGCACACATCTTCAATGCATTGGGCGCCGTTTGCCGATTGCACTAAAATGAAAAAAAACGAGGTGTTACTGAAGCACCACATGCACAGAGTCAAATACAATCCCAATGAACACTTATTTTATTAACATTTTGGCTATTATACAGGTTGTGCCAGTCCATCTGTATGGGTCGGAGTGTTGGAACATGGAGAAAGATTTACGAGAGGAAGATACAGTGGACATGAACTGGCTTAGAAAAAAACCCCGAGTGTATTGATGTGGAAAGATAAGACTCGGACAGAAAACTACTGTTTTTGGGGAAGATCCAGGAGAAAAGAGCTGCGATGGTTTGGACACGTGGTGAGAATCAATTTTGACAGAATACCATATATGGAAATGCACATTATGTAGAATGAATAAGGAAAGCAGGTAGGCAGGAGAGTAAACAAAGATCTTAACAAGAAAAAGATCACAATCATTCCAAGCAACGTGACCGATTCAAGCCTGAAGCCAGCGAAAGACATTAATTTATCACCTATCGTTGCGGATGAAACAGAATAATACAGCTGCCTTCCATTTTTTATTATTGGACCACATTACCTCCCCAGAACAAATGACAAAGGAACCTCTAAAGGTGCTGTGACCCACAGTTTGAGAAATGCTGCTCCACTTCACACCACGTGGTTTTGGTGGACTATCACTCTAGGGGAAGGTGTGGAGCAGCAGATACCAATACTGTGACCTGCGTTTGATTCCCGGCCATAGATGACATCAGCGGGGAGTGGTATCTGCACCATTGGTAGACACCAATCACAAACCCGCAATACCAGCATGGTGAAGTATGTTAACAAAAAAAAACCCATGACAGACATGCTGTGGGTTTGACATGCCTTCACATATTGACGGATTAAGAATGGCTGGATATTATTTCATGAATACAGGGGCTCCACCTGCTGGTTGTTACTCCGGTAGATGTTAACGCGCTTGGATATATTATCTGAAGCATCGTCCCAATCCCAGCCGTCGTCATCTTCCTCGCTGTCGACCTCCTCCTCCTCCTCAGCTGCTTCCTCCTCCGCTTCTCTCGCCAATGTTTCCACATAGTGCCCGATCTGTAGGGCTTCCACCACACCAGCTAGTCCCTCCATTCCAGGCATTCCACCGTTTATGCTGCAAGCAGAGGGAACGCAGCACACGCAAGCCAGACCAATTCAGATTCATTGGTGATCACATCTGTCAGCCAAGGTACAACTTTCCACTTGAACCAGGAAATCCTCAGAAAAGCCTCACAACTCTTTTTAAAGAATATTTTTACATTAAGATATTTGGACACATCCTTATTACCAGTATTTTGCAGTGAAAACCAGAGTACTCGTAAAAAAAGACAGCTGTAATGAGGAAATAATACTCAAATGTCCACACTGACGAGTTCAAGAACTCACTTATTTTACATTACGAGACCTCCTTTGCCAGTAGCAAGATATAGTACTAGGTGTTTACCCTTTTATCTGGCACCAAAACTGGCACCTTTACGAGCTCGCACCTCAGCAGACTTTGCATTCTCAAAATTCCCTACGAGTTCCACCAACCCTTGTATCCACGGGAGCGGATTGAAAGCGTACGACATCATGTCCAGCTAAATGGCAACCAACATTTCCCATCGCTTTCAAGGAGGCTAAAACGCAGCAGCACAAAACCACATCCTTCATAATAACGATGGCGCTGAGTAATGGCTCCACATCTTTGCCTGGTGTGCTGCCAGCATGTTTACATGAGAAGAATCGCAATCCAACAACCATACTTTCAATGGAAAAATAACTGAAACCAATCTGAACGTGAAATGTTACCCTACCAAAACCTATTTCTGATGTCATTGCATGATGTCACACACTTAAGATAATTTGGCAGCTATATATGTATTTCCCCCAATATTCAAATATGTTCAAAATGCCCCCCCTTCCAATATATAAAATATATTTCTGTTTATATGATTGTGGTTATAGTTGTACTTTATTAATCCCTAATCTCTGCCATTACATACAATGAAACAAGAAAAGTTAAAACAGAGCAATGTAATACAATACACTATTAGACATTATTGTAAAACAAATTACATCCTATGTAATACAATACACTATTAGACATTATTGTAAAAAATTACATCCTATGTAATACAATACACTATTAGACATTATTGTAAAAAAAAAATCCATCCTATGTAATACAATACACTATTAGACATTATTGTAAAACAAAAAATCCATCCTATGTTAGTGAATTTTTTTTAAATTTTAGGCACGAAAATATTTTCAAATTTTGATTTTTTTTTCTGGGGGGGCCCAGACCCCCTGGAAGATTTGGTCCCCCCCAATGTTGACTCCATGGCTACGGCCTTGATTTCCACACAAGCCACTTCGTTGAGCCATCATTCATAGCCAGGTCGCCGTGCGGATCGTGGGAGGGAGTTATTTGACCATACATCACCACGCTGGTCAGTGCGAGTTGGTTAAAGTAGAGCGCAAAGTAGGCACGTTAGGAGCATAGAAAAGTGGAGTGGATTTTGATGAACTGTCCTCGACCGACAATCATCGTAGGAGCCTACAATTTTGCGTGGATTGTGAAGACAGTTGTATAATCTTAAATTTGGAGCTTTGTATAATGCTTAGGCTCAGAACCATTAGTTGTATTGTAGAGTAACAGTATTTAGAACGTCCGCTTAAATTGCAAAGAGCGAAGCTTCGCCCCCTACCGACCCACTAAACGGCGTCTCTTTAAACAACACCGCCGCTTCTCATTTAATAAATACCACACTTTTTCAACAACAACAAACTTTTACTTTCAACAACGTCGACAACCCGTAACAATTTCCCGTGTTTCCAACTCTTTAAAAGTGTTTTAAAGCGACGTAAATGCATCGCCCCAGAGGTATCATCACCCCACCCCCCCGACCGTTCCACTCCTGCCGAGCGAGTGGCACCTCCGCCGGCAGGGCTGCTCAGGCAAGCACGAGGCATCGTGAGGGGACGAGAGGGTGGTAGGCCCTCTTCTTTATAATCCCTCCACCATCCCCAATTCTCTCATCGAACCTCTTCTCGCGCTTGTCCGTGGCACCGTTGACGGCGTCGTCGGCATCGGCGTCGTCGAACTGCCCCGGGACGATTGCGAGGGCCGCGTACGACCGCTCCATCTCCTTCACCCCCTCCACGTGGGAGCCAGGAACGTGAGAACAGCACCACCCCCCCCTCAACCCAGCCCCCTCCTCCTCCCCCCCCTCAACCCCGCCCCCTCCTCCTCCACCCCCCCTCACCCCGCCCCTCCTCCTCCACCCCGCTTACTTCCCCCTCCACCCCCACCCCGCCCACCCCCCCCCTCCTCCACCTCCCTCACCCCCCCCTCCTCCACCCCTCTCACCCCCCCCTCCTCCACCCCTCTCACCCCCCCCTCCTCCACCCCTCTCACCCCCCCCCCCTCCTCCACCCCTCTCACCCCCCCCTCCACCCCCCTCCTCCATCCCCCTCCTCCACCCCACCCCCTCCACCCCCTCCTCCACCCCGCTCCTCCACCCCGCTCACACCCCCCTCCTCCACCCCCCTCCCACGTTCGCCTATAAGACATCATCAGAGCGAGGGCCGCCACGCGTGTGAAACCATTGGGGGGTTTGACAGCAGCACGATGTTGATGATGATGGGGGGGTTGTCACGTGTTGTTTATTGTCAGGGGCCGCACTAAAGGCCGCCAGGGGCCGCCAGTGGCCCGCGGGCCTCGCAGTGACGAACACTGGTTGGTTGGTTACTTATCCACGAGCTCAAACCCCCTGTTGAGATCGAGTGCATGTCTATCACTGCATCTCTCATTGACAAAGTAGAGCAGCTGCACCACGGGCTGAACGCGGGTTGCATAACCATGCTAAGCAATTTATTTGGCCATGCTGTACTGTTTTACATTGGCAGTGGTACACAAGCACAATAAAAAAACATTTGTCAAAAACACTGCCTTATAAAGGATATATAATAAACGACGTTTCAGGCAATGGCCCTTCATAAGTTCGTAGTACATACACGATCTGATGCGCTATGTAGGAGCAATTGGCCAACACGTAGCAGATTACATAACTCATTTTCAGGCAGTGTTGACGAATGTTGAGTTAAATATTCTAAACTATTCTAAGCAGCAGTGTGGTGTGCAGTAGGGTGGGTAGAATAATACATAGTGTAATATTACATAAATATGCTAAAATTCCTCTTGAGATGCAAATTATTTTGTCAAGGCGCTCTTCCTCCTCCCTCCCAGCTTAAATAGACGCTCCAAGCCCAGGACGTGTCATTCAGACTCTGTCTTATCGACAGACCTGTTCTTCACCTGAGGACGGCTGCTTGCGTTGTGGCCGAAACGTCGTGAGAATTATTTAATTGTTTTATTTTTATTATTTCCATTCTACGTGACTTTACCGAAAGAACCAAGAAGATATTCTAAAGCCACTGTATGCAGCCAATGTACTTAGAGAAATGTTTATTACCATGAATTGTAAAGTATTTTTCTACGTTGAAAACGTATTTTAAATCAATACAGTGTTCATATCGATTTTGCATGCACTTTCAGTTTATATGACTGACATGGAATAAGAATATATGGCAATACAACAAAAGTTTGAGGCTTGATATTTTATTATCAAACACCACCTTTATACAGATTGCTGTATTTGATAAAACTTAGTGCAAAAAAAAATAAATCGGTCAATAAGATGCACTCCTTGGCAGATATAAATCCGTTACTGTAACAAATGTTAAACGGAATAAAGTTATTGTGTTAGATTTAAAATTAAAATAAATATTCTTGAAATATCAGATCTAATGAACAATCTAAGGAAAGGTAGTTGGTTATACCTGCTGCTTTAGTCCAAACTTGAACACAAGACCTAACTAAAAAGCACCAAATTCACGATATTAACCACGAGTTTATATTTCGTTAACAAGCGCTCAGTACATGCAGAGGTTATGTACTGTTTACACATGTATCTTTACGGTCCATTAACCTGTAAAGAATACAACAGGGGATGACTTGATATTCCAGGGATCCTCAAAGTATGTTACATGTAACCATTAAGTCAATACATGTGTGCAACCTTTATTGTTATAAGTTTGTATTCATTTGATCACTGGCATGAAGTAGGAAATGTATCGTATCAAACCCAATTTCTGGGAAAAGGGCCAAAACTTGAAGTTACATTACTCCTTGCAAGTAGCTCTGCTTAGGTTCATTATTTTAAACCCAATTCTTGCCAAACTTTACCTCCGTACTTTCAATCTACCTACTACTGCCTGCATGTTTAAGCTCAAACACACAAATTAAATTGACCAATTTACAAAAATACCGTTACTTTTATTATTTGTTTTGTACGAGGGTGTTAAACAATTTGATGTCTTGGAATGTTCTAATCAATTGTGGCTAGTGGAGTGGGGCGAACACACAAGGAGACCTAAGAGTTTTATCCGTGGTTTAGCCATCTTAAAATGAAGCACCAGCATGGAAGCCCATCCACAATTCCAGGAACACATCATAAAACGGGAGGTATCGATTGCATTTAACGGATTCAACGTTACTAAGGCCACTTCCGATAAGGACTGTGTGGATAAAAATATTGATTGGTTAGATCATGAGACAAGATCTCCAGGTTAATAAATTACGATATAATCAAAGGTGCATTCCAAGACGCCATAAGTTACCAGTTGATATTTTTTGTTTAAAGCAAATTGCTTAAATTACAAATGTAAAAACAGAATGGCACTTCAATAAATGCAAATTCAGTTTAGGACCAGTTTAGGCAAGACGCCTAATCTCGGGCAAGGGGAGTCAAAGACATGCGACACACTGGTTTGGTTTCCTGGGCTGAGATGGCTCAACCCACACAATATACAATACTGAAAGTGTTAATCTCTGTCAGTGCACCACCGACTCTTCGAGGCGTCACATGGGACTACCAAGTATAGAAGTTTTCAAATAAGATCCCACCCCACCACACCAACTCCCATGTACCACTTTGGAAGTCAGAATTTAAATGCGAAACACGTGGTGGTCAAGGGATGTGCCCCATTTAGACTCACATATTCCAAAAAGGCAGGGAGGTGGGTCTGACAAAAGGAGTGTCATTTGCATTTTAACTCTTGCTTGTCATGGCAACGTCCACCACGTAAGATCATTAACACAACTCTGATGTATTTTTGGTTTGTACCATGTGTTGTTCAGCAGGACTTCTGACATCTTGCACCACGTGACAGGAGCTTCTTCAGGAGATGTTACAACTCAAATATACATCGGAGACTTACAGCTTTCGTGACTGCAGGAATTAATATTCTTTGGGTCTTTCGGTAAATTCACGTAGATAGGTTCAAAGAAAATTAAAAAATACTACGTTTCTCTCGCAACACAAGCGGTCGTCCTTCAGGAAAAGAAGACGACCACTTGTGTTGCGATCAAAACGTCGTAGTTTTTTATTTTCTTTGAACCTATCTACGTGACTTTACCGAAAGACCCAAAGAACATACATTGGAGAGCTATAAAGCAGAACCGCAAAGTACTACGCAGCAGTATCCTTAATACAAACCTTTTTTTTTACTTTTGAACCAGGGAAAGGAGACCATCTTCCAGCTCAAAACGGTTTCGGCTACCAAATGTGAACAATAAATTAATAATGGGGAATGAGTGTGGAACACTGCACTCTAAAATTAAATGCTATTTTTTTGCAGAAAGTTATTTCATCCAGTGCAGCCATCGCTCTGAATGCCATACAAACTGTGCTAATTCCTTTATTTTTTTTTAAGTCATGTTTTTTTTCCACCACAATGAATCAATTTTTCTTTTCAAAATGCCCACAAGTCATAGGTGCTGACCCAGTCTGAAGAAAAAGTCCAATCAGGCAACTGCTTGAGCAGACTGGACAGCTGAGGGGTCCTTCGGCTGGGACCAAACAAGTAATGTGTTGCTACAGCAACCTCCACCATTGGCTTCTCGGGGTCTGTGACCTGCATGAGAAGAAAAACATTGTCATCGATAAATGGCTCGAGAGCATTTTTTCATCTTTGCACCGAAAAGTCAAATCTGACCGGGTCAGTTCAAAGTACAGCTCTGTCAGTAAAATGCAACACGAAACATTTGCTGTTCTTCACACCCAGCCCGAGGGGTTAAAAACAGTCCATCTCCCCAACCCAGCAATGTTCTCAACATTTATACGGCGTTTACTCTTATGGAAATGAGATGCATAATATGTGTAGTGTTGGTGGAGAGTGGTTAGCGCAACGCTCTATGAACCTGGCCCGCACAAGTTTGCTTCCCAGCATTGGTTCACATAAGTGGAGAGTTAAATCTGAAACGGTCCTGGAAACTTTTCACCAACATACTGACCAGGATGGTGAAGTATGGTCAAACAACCCCCATTACTGACATGGCATGGTTTGAGAAAGGACTGTGAATAATAGATTTATTTTATAAAAGGTATGTCAAGATTACACTGCAGTTAGATTATGAAGATTGGGTTAATTTTAACATGTAAAAACATCACATTTTGTGAGTGAATTGACAGGATAATCAGATTTATACAAAGTCATGTTACAAAATTCTAAACCTCACTGACAGTATCGAAGACTTTTTGTTAAATTTCTTCCACTGCCCTTCACAAATAAATTATACCACGCAGAAAGTGCCTTCTGCCGAGTGAGAGATCTTACAGTGAAGTTTCCGGGAGGCTTAGGGGTCAGAAAGAAAAGGTGAAGTACATACTCTTAATAACCTACGTTTAACTTTAAATACATACCTATATAAACATATATTCATAGTCCTTTGTCAATCCAGGCACAAGCCTGTGATTAAACTGGATTCAAGTGTAGTGAGATGATGGTGCCAGGCCAGTCAACAATGACTGCACAAGAAAACCCATCACATTAAATTTGGTTCAACACTTAATTTGGCTAAATTCTGCCTCTGAGAATTAACAATATTGCTTTCACTGTTATGCAAACACACATTACTCTTGGTGTCAGGGAAGGTGGATAAAGTTATTCCCCTACTGTGTGGATTCAAGATCACTTTAAGGGATCTCAGACATAGTTATGATATATTTTCTTCCACGGGGCATTCTATAACACGAAATGTTGCACTGCTCTTCAAAAGATCTGGATTCTTCGTCTCAGACACAACTGACAAAGCTCAATTGGGATACATTTATAATGGCATGATATGTTAGGGCACTGCCTTTAAATGAGACTGACCTCAGCAGCAGTTGTTTTTAACTCTTTGTGCCATCCGATTGCACTCCACATACACGCAGTATGTATACATTTCATTGTTATCATTATTATTAAATTTGAAGAAAACAAGTCGAAAATGGATGTATCGAATAAGAAAAAACACATTTGTATGCATCGTTCTGCAGTTGGCGGATCAGGGTGCTTAAAACCACGGTCGTCAGCTCACCTGCATGTCCAGCCAGAGCCGCCACGGCGCCGTGTACGTGCCGTACGAGTAGAATACAAATCGCGCCTGTGAGTAGTTGTCCTGCGGCGGCGGAGGTGCCCCCTCCCCCAGCGACCAGCCCACCAGGGTTGTGCCCTCCGGCTCACGCACGTACAAGGATATGTGGTGCGGTCCTAAGGTATCGCGGGTAGAGAAACAGACAAGATGGGGAGTGGAATAATTCAAATGCTCATGATGCGTGCATCGAATATTGTGTGCAGGGAATACATTGTTTGTGTTTTGCAGGTTTGTATATAGTTGGGGCATTTAAACCCTGCAGGCCACTAGACGGTGCTATATTCACCACAATGAAAACGTGTAAACACTAACAACTTCTTAAATGGAATCATGACCCTAAATCAATCAAATCACAAGAGGTGGGTGGGAGGGGGTAGGTGAATTATGATATGGGCCTATCTACTGAACGTGGAACCACAATACACAAAAAGTTTATTTCATGAGAATGTAAGATGCTTATTACCGTACTTTATTTTGTTATTTCGGTGACGAAAGTTCTACTCGAGCCAACGAGATTCAACCTGGTTAAACAAAAGAAACTTCAAACTAAACCTTTGTCATAAGAAAATGTTTGTATTCTGGGTGATTACAGATATACCTTTAGCCATGTCATATGTAAGATAATGTTTCATATACTTTCTCTATCAACTTCAGAATTTAAATGGAACAGTACAAATTATATTTATATGCTTATTATGATGTTTATCTTTATCATTTCTGGTAATGAAGTTGAAGTACTTAAATCTTGTAATGGGATAATATCCGTAGGATATATTCTCCACATATAATACAAATAAAGCTGTTGCAATTTAAACTTAGTTCAATAACTTACACAAGATTATCTCCATACAAGTATATGCATTTGTATTTGTTATTATAATTTGCCCGGAGTCAATATGTCAGTGACTTACCAGACACCTCAAAGGTCAGCCTCCATGTGTTCGAAAGAAGCTGCTCTTTATCAACCAAAAGCATCGACAATGCGGGAGACGGGGAGACATCTGGTGCCGGCAAATACCAGCTCTTCCTGCACGAGAAGAGCAAAACTGTTATTTCGCCTTCAAAGTGATACAATTCACAATTATTATATGGAACACTTCTCGCAGAATGTGGAACGCGCCCATTATAACGCGGTTTCTGAGCGGTCGACAACAAAGTACTTTCTTTAGCTGCTCCACGGGCGAGCAATACAATATAGAATGATACAGTACGCAGCGTACCCTCATCTCAGTTCTTTATCCCACGACGGGATGACCGCAGGCTGATTTTACAGTGCAAATGTGATTCAGTACAGTAATTCCTGCTCAACGCATTTTTTCTGAACGCGGTACTTTTCAGGAACGCATCTACCGCGTCAAACCGGGAATGGCTGTATTTATAAATGTTCTTTGTTTTTGCCGTTAAATAATAATATCTGCTCCACGTACAAAATCTGCCTGCTAAGAGCCCACCACGAGCCACCAACACGCCACGACAAGAACCAAGAACACGAGCACCAACACGGCAAGCGGCAGCCTCCACCCCCTTACCGAACGAGCGAGTTGACGGGCAGGAACCAGGGGTAGCCGCAGAAAGGCGCGGGGAGGCAGGGCGCGCGCATCGAATCGTTGAGAGCGGGGATGCTGTCCGTGAGGTGCGACACGCCGCTGTAGTCAAAACCGTTCACCCACACTCCGGAGTCCCTGTGCACCACGGCACCCGACGCGTCGTGCAGCCGCCGCGAGATGTGCTGGTGGATAGAAACGGGACGAAAAGCTCACGCGCACGCCGCTCCGTTATTTTTGCCCGTCGCTCTATTTGGATGCGCGGAGTACATGTTACGACTGGCGGAGGGCGCCCGTCTTGCCGAAGGCAGTGGATAAATGTATATTCAATATTGATCCACAATAATATGTTTAATCAGTATAGTATCGTTCATGCAAACTGCACCTCACAATTGCTTAGGAAACAGAAAAGCTGGAAGGCAGGCAAGTGGTGATCCGGCACCAACAAATGCCCAAGCTCTACAGTCCTGTGCACCTTAAGATGTAATTAACCAATTAATGACAATTTATGCGGGAGGAAACAGGAGCACCCAGAGAAAACCCATGCGTGGCAAAGAGGCAACACTTTATCCCAAAACAGAAGGGACAAATATTAATCTTCACTTTGCTGTACCACCTTCTCCTTACAAGTCTGGGTATGGCACTTCGATGCAAACAAGAAGGGAAATCCGCAACATGTGTGGGTAACCAACCCTCAACTCCAGTGCCCCATTGATTTCTTATTGACCCTGGTCTCATGAAGTACGTAATTGGTTACAAGAGACATTTAGGGAGTTTGATCGGCCGTGGTGAAACAATGGCATGGCCCCTACATTCGCCTGATGTAACCACCACCGGATTGTTTCTTGACGAGAACTATTCAAGACAATGTGGACACAACAAAATTGAGATATCAATGACCTCAGCTCACGCATTGTTGAATGTTGTGAGCAGGTCAGACCGGCAATGTTTAACATTTAAATATTTAATTAAAGTGTTTTGAGAAATATGTAGAGGCTTTGGGGTAAAAGGTTTTCTCTAGGATTGTTCTCAATCATTTTAGTATGGCATCTATACATGGATTTTTCTGTATCATGTTATAACGTAGTTTTTTTAAGAATAGTCATATTTAGGCCTGTCCTATTCCACACACACATTTTTTTTTGTTCAGCGCACTTATCATGCATGACTTGAAATGCAGTCTTGTTTGCCAAGTACTTCAATCATTTATGGAAGCGCAGTGTCACTTTTATCAGGACTTCCTGTCAATAAGTTAGAACGAATCATTGACACGTGCAAAAACATGTATGCCTGGCATCGCACAATTTAAATCATGTTAATAATATGCAAAAACTCTGAAAAGTTGTGCTTGTCAGTTGCTCCAAAGGTGGGCCCGTGCCCAGGAAATATGGAACATACTTGCATGTAAAGCCGCTTGGGAGTCGGACGGATGGAGTCGTTTCCGTACGGGAAGAAAAAACCGGCGCAAACAAGGCCAAAGGTCAAGAGAAAGACCGCTGCCAGGGAAAGTAGCGTCTTCTTGGCGGTTGGCATCAGGTAGACGAGGCAGACCTGTCGGGGCCACAAGCGCGAGTTCATGTCTCGTTACTGCTCGCGAGATATTCCGTCGAAGCCTCACCAGCCATGGTTGCGGTCAAATTTCAGTCAGGAAAGGCCAGTGCCAAGAGGAATTTTACAATCTTGCCAAATTTTTGACGAATAGGACCCGCAATCAGTCCCTATGGGTGGTTTAAAAAAGGAATACACAAATCATATGTTCTTACTGCCAAGTGTAAGTTAACAAGTTCACTTGCGCTAGGCAGCAGTGCATGTGAACTGCGAAAATCCTTGAACGTTGCTTTACAAGGCAAGCTGTACCTATCAATCTCACTCCCTTTTAAAAATAATACAATTTGTTTATAACATTTACGTTGCATGGGGTGTGTCATTCAGACTCTGTCTTCTCGACAGACCTGTTCTTCACCTGAGGACGGCTGCTTGCGTTGTGGCCGAAACGTCGTGAGAATTATTTTATTATGTTTTATTTTTATTATTTTATTATTTCCATTCTACGTGACTTTACCGAAAGAACCAAGAAGATGAATCCCTGCAGTCACGAAAGCTTTAAATCGAAAAATGAATGAACATCATTTTATGTAAAAACAAATATTTTCTGCAATGTATTTCATGGAACATTTGCACACACACACTAAACCCACAGTATTCAATATCCCAATGAGAATTAAGCAAACCAGCAGAAACATTGTTTTGAGTTTAAGCATGAGCAATTTCTTTTGGCTGCCAAAAATACCATGGAATAAACACAGTGGAGAAAGAGAAGTTCAGCTGCATCCACGTCGGGAATGTGTTCAAAGCTTTAAACAAAGGGAGCAGATTACTGTCCGCTTGATGTGTTTATTGTACTGCTTCGAAACATTTAAAAAATGAATCAATTGTTAACTTTTATTTTCATTTAGAGTATAATTTAAAGTCCAATTTTTTTGACTGACCACCACCAAAGTCATGTACCTTGTGAACAGATTATTCAAAGTCTGCAACCAAAGTTCATACTTGAACCTTTAATGATTTATCATTCCCCACCAATCTTAGATGTGATAATACGAATGGCATCATTATGTAACCCACATGCCTGGCATACATATAAAAACTTACATCGCAAACTGGTCAATCCACATTTTGCGATTCCCGCAGCAAAGCGGTAAAGCTCCACGAGACCTTACGATTGCATCGGCACTCACGGGGTAAGAAGAAAGCACGATGACAGCGGCGATGGTAACGATGGCCATGACGACGTCGGGAACGACTTGTGTGCCACTGCGGCCCATGATGGGCAGGAACATTTCGTAGAGGTTCCACAGCGAGTACAGCGTGATGAGGTACGGGGGTAGCAGTATCGCCAGGAATACAGAGAAGCGACCCGGGCTCACGCCAACACTCGCAGCCGCTTCTGAAAAGAAACGGCAGGCAGAATTAAAATCACGCAACACTTTCGATGCCAACAGCTGCGGTGGGGACAGCTGCCCACAGGGGGTCCCCCCCCCCCCTGCCTGCTGTCGAGCACCTTGAGAAGTACAGCATGGGAGACGGGATATAAATATGAAGTGTTGATAAAAAATGCTATCATGTTAATTTTAACAACATAACGATTACCGTAACTATGGAATTGTGGTCTGCAGGACTTCAAGAAAATAAAGATTACTTAATAAGATATTTGACTGCAGTTAACGAGCATAAGCCTGTCACAAGTATTATAATCATTGCAACTTTACAACATACAATGCTTATAAAGCACATTGTCAGTTACAAAAGTAATAATGAATCAGATGAGCTAAAACAAATATTATACCATATAACCACCACACCGTCAATTACTCTGGAAAACATTTACCAAATCACCAATTTAATGGATAATAGCTATTTATTTAAAACATTAGTTGTGCTTTTCTCATGTCATAAATATTATATTAGGAAATAAACTATGAAAAAAACTAAGAACAATGACGAATCTGATATAATGATGTTTAGTAAAACTGATGATACAATTATTGTGGATCTTACCATACAATATATTGCAGTATCATCACAACACTCCCATCATATTTTTTCCCAAGCTCTTATAACCTTGCACAATTCGGCAAACATTTGAACTCTGATCTATTATTATACATTCCATCATGCTATTTGTTGCTGGCTGCTAAACGGTTTGGCTTTTTGGCCATGTATTCGGCAAAAGTATATACATAAAGAAAAACTCACAATCAAAACGATTGCCAACTGACCCACAATGTGAAACGCGTGCATCGCACGCTACAGCCAGACCTGCTCTGTGCAGCGATTTCTTCTGAAGACCAAAGAGCACAGGGCGAGCGGCCAGGGAGAACCCAACCCACAGCGCGGGCAGGAAGGCGGAGCAGATGCCCTTCGTGTTGAGCCACAATAGCAGCGCGGTCCAGAGCATCAGTGCCGCGTCAAAGCTACATTCAGCTGCCCGCTGTCCCGTCTGTCCCGCCAACTGCAGTCACATGCACACAACATTACACACCGCAGGGACGTTTTGTTAATTTTAAATGTGAAAAGAAATCCCGTCCTCCAATTTTATTTAGTGTTGGTGTAACATTAAATTTCAAGTCATGTCATGGGATGATATATACATTAGAATCTCTGACAGAGCGGCGCAATTCTCCGTGTTAGAGCTATGAGATCCCTTCAAGTGACCTCTGTTCAACACAGTAGGGGGCAGCACTTTCCCACCAACCCGACCACCATCAGTTGAGCTTACAAAGTCATTCCCAGCACTAAATTTAGTGTTACATTTTTGTTTTGTGCAGCAGTCATTGGTGATCAGGCTGAGACATCAACTCACTACACTTGAGAAACTGGTTCACTCAGAGGTGACTGTCTGGATTCACACCACGGAACTCAGGACATCACTGACACTTAACACTATGATGACGTAAACAACGATTTTACCAAACAAAATACAAATCTTGAAACAGGTTTTGTAAAACTGTATATCTCAATCTAATAATATACCAATACTGCAATACTAAAAGAGAAATCATTATTGTGACCAACAGAACTACATTATTTGTTTCATTAAATTCTGAAGCCAGTTTGCATCTCACATGGTGGTGTCTATTTCTGGACAAAGCACATCAACGTAGGGGGTTGTGACCATGGCAATGACAATGTACGCAAGTAATATGGGTGCTCACTAACCGTGTCAGCTCACATTCAATGTAAGGTCATCATTATTATCCATATCTTGTATGGTATTGCCCCAAATTACATGTCTGGAACTGTATATGAAGACTTATGATCATTAACCACTTAAGCATCAACTATATGGAGCTGTCTTAATTTCAAAATAACTGTGTAGATTAATTTTATCGTGTTTATGTCTGTTAGATGTATTTTAATATTTTCCTGTAACCTAGGGAACTGCTCTAAAAATATATATAACTGTAAAAGTATTTTTGGAATCTGTACAAAGTGACCTGTGCTGTGAATTTCACAATAAGAAAGAGGTTATCTTATCTGCCAGCACTGCATCTTGATATAAATTGGGTTGTAAATAAAATCTTATCTCTAAAGGTGCGTCACTCCACGGCTCAGCCCTGCGAGCAATGGGCGGTGCCACTACTTTATTATTATGGAGGGGGGGGGGGTTAAATGGCATTTACTGTATGGAGGCCCCCATGCTGGCAGGGTAGCCCATGAGACACCATGCAGTCTGTAACATCATATTACTTCATATTTTTAAAATTTTCCAACCCTCGCCTATACCGGGTGATTGCAAATTGGTGGGGAGAAACGGTGGCACGGTGGTTAACGCACCGCACGATGGACAAGGCTACCCGAGTTCGATCCCTGGCCACAGCTGCCATTCGTGGCGAGTGACATTTGAACCGGTCTTGGCTAACCTGCTCGCTTCACCAACCCTCAATGCCCAGCATGGTAACGTATGGTCACAGAACCCCCATGACCAACACAGTGCGAGGCCTTCATTGAACAGTAGCTTGCCAAAGGGCTGTACATTATATCATCTAGAGTGCATTGGCTGATATTTTAACGGTCAAAGTACATGTTAGTAATTTAACAATAAGATTGTAAGATTTTGAACTTTTTACCGTTAGCCACTTGGCTCCACGGAGATTTCAAGCAGGGGGGAGTGGGATAGGGGTGGGTTCAATTCTATTGTTTGTCCCAAGAGTCACATAATTGCTTTCATGGGCCTTCCCCATTTTCATTTTTGAAATAGTATTCAACTCAGATTTTCTCAATTAAGTTTTAATCCCCCCTGCCTTCCCCGCACCTCCCGTGTCCTCGTGCGGTGCAGTGCATCCATCTGCTCTACCCAAGAGCATTAGCCCTTCCCGCTGAAGAAAATAAAAAAACTGATCATCTAAATCTGACGCGAGACCCCGAGACGACAACTTACGCCGCAATACCGCCGCTTGGCCAGGACAAGCACGAGCAGAATGATGGCGAGGGCGGGCGCGGCGTAGAGGCCGACGAGAACCGTTCTCTCCGTGTACCACGACATTGAGCGGCCGATCAGAGTGATGAGCAGCGCGGCTCCAGCAACGGTGATCACGGCGCCCAGCCAGGCCACCAGCAGCACGCCCACTGCCCGCAAGACCTCCCGCAGGTACGCCAGGCCTGTTCAGTCAGTGGAAACAATCGGCGGGAGGATGGCAGAGAGTGAAGGGGTTGGAGACAGTACAGTTCAAGGAGGATAAAGATTTATGGAATATTTTGAGGGTTTTTGTGAACACGATAATCACTCTTTGGTTCTTTCGGTAAAGTCACGTAGAAAGAAAATAAATTAAGTAATAGAATACGACGTTTCGATTGTAACACAAGCAGTCGTCATCAGGTAGAACTCAATTTGAGAGAGAGACAAAACACAGACACGGAGACACGCAGACAGACACACATGCAGAGAGAGAGAGACAACACAGAGACAGACACACAACATAGACACAGAGACCCAATGCCTCTGTGTCGTGGCCTTAAATAGACAGAAGGGGGGGGGGGGGGGGCAAAGAGAGAGGTGGGTCTGCTGGAGCAGAGAAATTAGCATGTCAATGAGAGAGCTGTGTGGAAATCCACCCCGAAGCGGCCGGGGTATTCTCTCCCCCTAACAAATGTATCTTATCGTGTAAATATGGCTATTCTCACTATAAGAAAACCATTCTTTATCAAATGGTATAATTAAATAAAGATGCAACTGTTGTAAGTAAGTCTATATTCAAAATATATTAAGCAAATCTAAACAGTACAAATTACAAGATAAAAGCAATTAAATATTAAGTACTAACATGCAGCTGAATGTTTCAGTCATTGCCAGAGAACTCTACATAACGTCGCCTTTGCTGTGGACAATACGCAAACAGCACCATGATATTTAGGGAGTGTTTACACTGCGTCAATTATATGTGTTTTAAACATCACAAAAGAGGCACGATGGATGTTGTCTTAGAACACACGATGCGGGCACGCTTCGGGCACGCTTCGGGCACGCTTCGGGCACGCTTCGGGCACGCTTCGGGCACGCTTCGGGCACGCTTCGGGCACGCTTCGGGCACGCTTCGGGCACACGCTTCGGGCACGCTTCGGGCACGCGCACCTGCACTGGCCAGGTAGAGGACAGCCAACGATGCCAGAAGATAATTTATGAGGATGCCCACTCGAGCCGGGTACGCCACGGCCTGCAGGCCGATCACGTCGAAGAATACCATCTTCCCATGGCGGTACTCGCTGGAGTCGGCCAGCAGAGATGAGGATGCCAGGTAGCGTACCAGACCCAAGATGTTGTCACCTGCGATATGAGACATGGCCTCCATTTAATCACAAAGTCGGGATACGCAGTCGTGCTGTTTAGCTCTCAGATCTGTGTTTGGGTTGTATAGCTTAAACTTCAAACTTCAAATCTAGAATTGTATAGCTTAATTGTTCAGCATTATATATCACTGATGTTTCAACTCCATGTGCTGGGAGCTTCTTCAGGAACTGAGAGCGGAATGTCTGACAATGACGAACAACACGAGGTATAACTTGAGCACATGTCAGAGCTAAACAGTGGGCGTTGATGTTAATAAGACAGCACAAAATAACTATGAATGTACACGTTAGACATTAAGGTGCAGTACCAGAATTATACTTTTATCAGAATAATTCTAATGTAGATGACTCAAGACAGTATTGTCACAAGCTCACTATGGAAATGGAACGTGTTGTAACTTAAAGTATGCTGCATATTATAGACGAATAACATTTACCCATGAAACCCTCGCTGCAGGGGAGTTTTGCCTTGATATGTTTGGTTAATGCCATTGATGAGTGTTTGGCTGGTGGAAGGCGATCAAGACATCTTCTGGTAAACTTGAAGTCCCAGGGCCTACACCAACTAGCGAGGCCTCGTAGTCACCCATCTAATTACTTACTTGGCACAACCCTGCTTCGTTTAACAAAATACAAAGAGAGTGGGAACATTTCGAGTGGTTGGTTGGAGGCAATGATGACGTTTCGTTTCGTATACCAAACAATACTTGTGTTTGGCCAAAAGCAAAGCTTCCGATTATTTTTACAGGTTCGTTTCGGTTCATGGAATTTCTGAGCATGACTTTAGTTAATGTAATAATTTCAGAAATTATATATCGGTTTATGCAATTTCAGTTTTAGTTAATGTCACACGAAGAATAATGTGCGTTGAAAAATTAGGGCGGTGTGCAACCAAGATGCTAAATAAATGTGCAGGAGGTCCGCCTAATTTTAAACGGCTAAAACGTGGACGGGAACAACAACTAGACAAATAGAAGTGCCCGTTCAAGTCAACACTTTGGATAGCAAGCCAACAGGACATTATCCAAATCAGATAAGGCTAAACAATTTACATTTCTGTTCTAAATGTTTCTTTGTAATCATGTCAATTCCAAACATGCGTTGCTAACTGCCCTTAACAAAGTCTATTTTTTCGGAATGATAAATATACTTGTATAGCCTATTGGCCATACTCCATAGGGCTAAAACCATACTTGTTTACTAATACACATGCCGCAATGTTTTTTTATTATTAGTTTAAAAAGCATATACAGTGTATCGCATTTCACAAAGTGCAGATACCATATACAGAAATAAACCTCACATTTTTTTTACACAAATCTCTTTGCAGAAAACACACAACAGTTACTCTGCTAGTCCTCGGCAACAGTGCCGATGCTCCAGAAATTGTTACATGCTTCCGAGTAGATTAATGTAATCCCTTTTTAGAGCTGCTGCAGCCATGCATGGCGAGGCACGCCTGTAATCCAGCACTCTGGAGGAAAGGTTTGGTGGATCAAATAGATTTGCGAAACTCCCAAAGCCACTGGGCAGAGGAGTTGTCAAGAGATGGCAGTACAGTAAGTAGGTTCCAAAACTTGGCTGTGGCGACATTTGAGTGTTATCGCCTTATATGTGCGATTTTTTTTCTTCCAGATGCTTTAGCTTCCTGCCAGAAAGATTATGGAAAATAAATTAACACACTTCTAAAAAAAACCTCCGATGGGAACAGTGTTCATATGCTAATTAGTCTGCGTGCTACAGGAGATGGTGAAAAGCTATAATAATCTTGTGTACGAAATTCTATCGGCACTTATTAAGCCTAGCAGGTGTAAAATCCTATCCCTGACCTTAGTAATACAGTAACTACAATTAATGTCCAGTGGACATAAGCAATTATAAAGCTATAGACCACATGTACTTATTGGTTGTGTGGAATTGGACATTTCCTCTGAAACACCACACTCATCATCGATGTGCTTTGCTCAGGACTCTCTCTCCCCTCATTCTCGTTTCGAGATTTATTTTATATAAAAAAAAAGCAAATACATTCTTGAAGCCCGTGAGAATTGCTCCGTTTCTTGGATTTACTAAAATATCAGCCGAGACTTCAAGCTGATGGCAAGTGACACAGATTAAACTGTACAGTGTACCTAGTGATTTTTGTTAAGTATTATTATATAGTAAGACTTAAATTGTAAATATCCAATTACGTTTTCGTAACTTATGACACGTTAATTAAGTATGTGAAGTGGTAATCACGTATAAATGTAAGTTAACGTTAACAATTAGACATTATTTATTTGCAATACGCCCCGCTAGGACAGGATTTATTATATTCAAGAGACTTTCATAAATGACAATATTATGTCGGCAATCGCAAATAACAGCCAGGGAACACTTCACAACTGTCGAGCATTGGCAGAGTTCTGAAGACACACTGCCCGTTCTTCCCCGGGGCAACATCGCCTTGTTCCAAGGCAAGCAACTTGTAAAATCAAACATTGCTGTATTATGCAGTTCATCTCACCGTGACTGACAGCAGTGACAGGATTGTGGTCCGTACTAAAATGCAAACCACTCATTCCACTATCCTTTGGAATGGCTTCTATCTACCCCCCTTTCCCAGAGCAAAGCACTCCGTTCTTTGAAATTATTTCACCTTAGCCTGGGCATGTTTATTATGCAGAACACAGTGGCGTGGATGTTGAACAGAACAAGATTTTTCATGGAGCTTTGCCTGTCCTGTCGCATTGAAGTGTGGTCTGTTTTTTCCACAAGCAATACACCCGACTGCATGAATACAGTATAGTACATGATCCACAAGAAAGGGCAATCTGCTCTGTTAATGCCCATGATCTTCAATTAAGATAATGGATTACAGCAGCGTGATTAAGGTTGCAAATGACATGTTAATTGTGAATAACTTCAAATCCAGTTTTTTCTCCTCTTGATATTTCTGTTAGAGTGCACGAGTGTCGTCATTACAGTGATTTTTTGAATGTCTCCGAACACATTCATTATTAATGGTGACAATTACCTAAATCATTCTGCCACATACAGAATGCTCAAGTAGTTAATCAAGCACTGAAATACAGAAAGGAAGGATCTCATTCAGTAGCGTAGCCATCGAGAGTGTCGACACTGCAACTGCACTGAGGCTCATGGGCTGGCCTATAAAGAAGTGGGAAATGAAACAGGGGGGGGCCCCCCCATTTCATTCAAGCATCAGGGCCCAAATCCAGCACGCTAACATCAGTGATCTCATTAAATGTTATCTTGTGTGTGCTTTTTTTGATGCAAGGGTGCAATGTAAAACCTGCTCTCTGGATGCTTCCAGACGGTATCCGGTCAGCCGAGTCATACTCCGTGTGATAAATGTAGCCATCTTTAATGAACGCGAGGTCAATTCCTAGACACGATCATACATCAAACGTACACATATGGCCTTAGTGTGCATTCGCATACAGTAGTTACCTTTTATTAATGGTAAAAGTGCTAAAAGCAGAGTTTCCAAGTAAAAATGCATTGCGTTCAACACTGCTGTGAACATAGTATACAATACAGTCCTTAATTGCGTATCGTAAGAGAGACGAGCTTAGCTGCGTAAGCCAACACTACACAAACATGGCATTGTGAATGTTTACGAAACATGCCTTACAAAACTCAGATTATCTTGTGAGCCAGCGTGGCTTGTTTTCAATGCCAATCTAAATGAGATCATATGCCAACTATGCCTCGGTATGGACTGCTCGTACCAAATGCAGTACATTCCAAGTACCTGAACTAGCAATCTTAAATGGCACTTGCCCTTTAACGCATGTAAACATTAAAATCAGCCTTTATATCAGGGGTGGGGAACGTCCGGCCCGCGGGCCGTATAAGGCCCGCAAAATCATTTGGTGTGGCCCTGCCAAGGCAAACCCGCAGGCGGGACTCGAAATTCAATAAATTTAGGAGCAAACCTGGAAAAGCAGTTGCGAGTAGCAGCAACATCATCAATACCAGCTAACATCACACGCCTCACCAAAGAGAAGCAGTTCCAGCCATCGCATTAGGGGTGAGTTAATTAAATGTTTGACCAAATATAACAGGCTAATTTTTAAGTTGATAATGTTGGATGGCCCGCGAATGATGTTAGAAATATCCAAATGGCCCTTGGCAGATAAAAGGTTCCCCACCCCTGCTTATAGTTAAGAAACTTAAGAAACTTAAGAAAACTACTATGAAAAATGAGCATTTTGTTCGGTAGCTTTTAAAACCGAGAAAGAATAAGATTAAGATATGAGCACACCTCAAAGAAAGACGCACGCAGTTCTACGGAGCTTCGCACCTGGAATGTTTCCAAAATCGCGCAGGATTCGAAAGTCTGTGTCAGATGGGATAATGCCGCTCTGGAAGACCTCCTGCCCAATGATGGAGGCGAAGGGATGTTGTGCCGAACGCACGTACGCCTGCACCAGCCACGGGTTCTCTGGACCTGCAGATAAAAAAATATATATGTCAATGACCGCATAACAAAAACAGAGATGTAAATTCTTCTTGGTTCTTTCGGTAAAGTCACGTAGAAGGGAGATAATAAAATAATAAAAATAAAACATAATAAAATACAATTCTCACGACGTTTCGGCCACAACGCAAGCAGCCGTCCTCAGGTGAAGAACAGGTCTGTCGGACCTGTCTTTATGATAGACCTGTTCTTCACCTGTGTTGTGGCCGAAACGTCGTGACAATTGTATTTTATTATGTAAAATGTTTATTATTTTATTATTTCCCTTCTACGTGACTTTACCGAAAGAACCAAGAAGATGAATCCCTGCAGTCACGAAAGCTTTAAATCGAAAAAAAGAGATGTAAATTATTGATATTTGTATAACAATGTCATTTCATCACCCAGGAAAGCCTTAGCAAGTTAAAGACTCTTTTTCAGTTGAGTTGTGCATTGGGAAGTTTGGAAAACTGTTTTTAAGACTGTTTGACAATGGGAGAATATCAGTGCCTGAAGCAATCCCATGCATACAAGTGGTTAACACTCATCTCCGCAGAGACATTTCATACCAAATATATATTCAATATATTTAATTATCTTCAGACTAAATCCACTGCTCTGCCATCTCCTGAATTCGCCACACCCCTATGCCTATAATGCCTGGTACATGTGTCAGTGGTAAGTCAATCTAAAAATAAACAAGACTCAAGCCTCCTTAGCTTCTGAGATCTGATGCGATCAGACAAATTCAGGTTAATCTGGACATAGGCACGTAATGATTGACTGATTAAATAATAACAAAAAACTTAATGTGCGAAATAATAGATGATTTACCATTCTTGTTACAAACAACATAATATATGCCATGTTGCATGTAAAGTAATTGAGTGAAATACATAGAACAAATAAAATAAAGCAAAACTTTGACCCCGAAACATGACAATTCATCCAAGTATGGGGGGGGGGGGATTGGTGTATGGTTACATGCCCATGAAATTACCTTAACTGTAACACCAGTGTCATCTTCCATACACTCTCGCGTCCTTATTTGATATCAACATACGGTCCAGAAAATTATTTTAAATATTATCTTGGCCATCAACCGGTTCAAAATGATGTACAATCCAAGCATACTCCTGAAGGAGAGATTACAGAGGGAGGGTTTAATCATACCGGTCTGAAAGACGAGCTCTTTGCCACCCACTCCTGCTGCTTCCAGGTTTATAAAAGCACGGACAAGCGATGCCCATGGGTGCTTGGTGATGAATCCGTGACTTGCCTGCACACCATGACAGTTGAAGGGTTAGTGATGAAGGTTTGCATCATTCGTTTACAACTTGCAACACACACTATATATACACTTAAAATTAAATACCTATTGCATTTAATACCAATTTAGTTTCATCCCATAAACTAAATTATGTATTATCATCTTTCCGCTCAACGTGTCATTAAACACATGCCCCTCTTTTTCTTGAATCTTCTTCAGATGCGGTGATATTTAAGGTAAAGGTGCACGCTACTGCTTACGAAAGTGTCTCCATTAGTAGGAGCTTTGGAGAGTCCTTCTAGATATTTCTTGGCCTACTCTTCCTCACTGGCCAGATATCTTGGAGGAATTGGAAGTACCCACACACTATCCAACGACACGCAGGCCGACGATTGACTAAGTGTAATGCACCCATATATACTGCTGGGTGACCAGAGGCAGGAGGATTCATAAAAAAATCGTTCATTGTTTAAAATGCCGAGCAAGGAGATTGAATCGGTAACTTCTAGACTGCTAGCCATTACAACGTGTCATCTTTGGTTATATTAAAATGCTTTACAAATCCAAACTGTATTCCATCTGCAGCATTAACAGGAGGCACTCAATGTTTTGTTACTCAACTGTGCTATTCATGAAATGTTTTTGTGCATTTGAAGTCAATGAGCATCGATTGCCTCTCAAAAAAGAAAGAGAGAAAACGTGTTTTACTTTCTTTCTTCACACACGGTTTTAGAAAGTGTATTTTTCAGCACATTTTAACAAGCACACTGCAATAATAACAATCAATTTAAAAGTCACATTAAGTGTGCAGCTGAGGTCACCATTTGGTTCACTGGCACCAAACCTAGTCTACATTCCTCCATCCACATTAGGCTGAGATAGACTGATGTTATTAATTTGACAGCATCCCTGATGAAATTATCACATGTGGACACAGTGTTGGGCAAAGTTCCTTGGCAGACACTTAGCAAATCACAAAACAAATATTCATTACTCAGCACACCCTTTGACATAGAATGGCCGGGAAATAACAGAGCTTTTGTTGCATAATACTGTATCTGTAGCATACCGAAGTGGGCCTGTAAATGTCAGTAACTGCACCATCGAGTTTAGCAGGAGGCAGCCATCCATTTTTTTTTAATATTCAGAGAAAATGCCCAAGGATTCACCTGCCAGGCTAGTTCCCTAACGAGACAGAACTGCAAATCTGAAACGGGTAATTGGGCATCTTGATGCAGCAAATCTGGCTATGACGGTCCCACCTGATGACAGAGACTTGTGTTGCCTCCGAAACGTCGTGATTTTATTGTTTTATTTTTATTAATTTTTATTTCATTTTTTTACCTACGTACCGAAAGAACTAAGAGTAGGTAATTGGGCAGCCTGCTCACACCTGAAGAACGTTCTCCTCGGCACCATTGAAAAGGAAGATGATGTCATGCAGGAGTGGAGTCTCCAGCTGTGCCAGCACCTGCAGCACCTCCAGCATCACCGCGCAGCTCACCGCATCATCACTCGCCCCTGTACAGCACCCACAGTGGAGAAGTATTTGAATCAAATACTATTATTTCACGTGGAACATCAGGGTCAAACCAGCACGGGGCCCTCACAATTCGGGTGGCATTCAACTGGATATTTTTTCTGTGCCGAACCGGAAACAAATTGAGATACGCTGACATCTGAATTTGGCTCAGTGCTAAGCAAAGTAATTTGTGTGACATTAGTACACCAAGGACACAGGGTAACCGTGTTACCTACATGCATCTCGGCTTGCTAATTGTGTGTGATGTCAGTGGCATGGGTCAGCTTACACAGTAGAAAAAACAACCTCGTGCCTTCCTGAGCCAGGGCTGGATTAAGGTAAATTCATAATGATCAATCATTTTCTATCCACTGCTGGATGAAGGCCTCGCCACATTGTCACCATCCCTCAAAGTCCAGTGCTGCTACCATTGATCACACTTCCACACACGAACTGATCTAATTGCTCCATCTACACGGTAGTAGCCTATTGGACGTTCTACTGTTTCGGCTGCCATTCCGTGACCATTCTTGTCCATTGGCAGTCATCCCCTAATGGTGATGTATCCAGCACAAGCCCATTTACCTATCTTCATTGTAAAATTGATGTCTAATTTTTTGTTTGTTCCCTGATCTATGGGTTTATTTTTCTCAGTCTCAATGTCCTCCCAAGTGACTTAAAAAGGAACACTGGGACCAGGAAACAAAAATTACACAACGTCCCCCGTGAATAGAACCAAGAGGATATCAAGGTGTGAAAAGAAAATAGCATTCTGTACCCACAGCACGAAACAATAATTACGACTCTAGTCTTACATTGCGTTCATTGCCTGTTAAACCAAACGTCAATAAAACCAACATATGAATACATTCTAAATGTATGTTAGTGATTGTAACATCACGTTTATCCATTAACATATATTTTATGCTGTATAACACAACATGAATCTGACATACAGATAGACTATTTAAAATACTGTAAATTGTTTCCACGATTGTGTCTAATGTACCACAAAGTCAAAAAAGGCTTTGTATAGAAAATATCCCAATTTGTGACCATTCACCGAAATGTGGAAGGAGTTCATCACCACATCCCTGTTAACATCAATGTAATAAACTATATTATTTCATCTCTATTAACTATGCAGCCACTGTAATAACCATTTATAAGTCACATTTTCTGTGAAGTAGGGAAATTACTTCATGCAGGGCATTCTCATCATCAGCGTTGGTGTACGGTGTTTTTAACTGCAATATTTTTCTGTCTTTTCTTGGATTTTCTGTTTGCACTTAGTCACATATTCACTTTAAGATGTTTTTTGTTCATGTTTTTGTTTTTTGTTTGTTGCGGTTGCCCCCGATTCAAGAGCCGAATGGCTCACAGGGCTATACCTAATAAATGAACTTGAACTTGATAAAAAAAATTGCACTCTGCCTAACAAAAAAAAGTGTAACAAACAAACCTGGGCCAAAGGGTACCGAGTCGAAGTGGCAGTTGGCGAGGAGGGCATGGCGCCGGGCACCTCCTCCATGGCCTCCATCACCATCGCCCAGGTGGCGCGGGGACAGCCTCACCACGACGTTACTGACATTGGCATAGACGCTCGTGAACCCTCCCAGAAAGTCAAGGTTGAACGAGCCGGAGGGGCGCTGCAAGTCCACGCGGATTCGGTGAGCTGGTCGTCGGCCAGCCGGTGACGAGGATGCCGAGGCCTCGAGCGACTGCGATATGGCCTCCACTTGCGCCAGGATATACGCTACGGTTTTGACCTCGGCAGCCTCGCTGCCCGTGGGACGCGGCCCCAAACCAGTCATGTATTCCAGGTGCTTCCTGTTATCAGAGCGGCAGGAATTTGACAGTGAGATATTTACAGCAACGCAATCAAACGCCCATCACTGCCAAGTTGTGTTTTGAAGGCCTGGTCATTGCCGATAAATGCAAATGTATTTTTGATGCCAGATGTGGTTTCAACAATATGGGTGTGCCAGCATGGAAGAGCAGTTAATATGGCAAAATAATGCTACATATGCCCAGAATCTACTGCAAATGAAAATATTTAAGGAATTGAGAATATTTGTCTTTGACACTGTTGCTTTGTTGAAGAGCAGACAATGGGTATGCAACAACCACACGCTAATTATATAAACAAACCTTACAAAACACATGGCAACACTGGTACATGATATTTGTGACGTATGCACTGCAAACAGTTTGATCTTTGAGTGTTATCCTTATAAACACTCGTATCACAGCCCCAGTCAATTAGAACAGTAACAAAGGTTACTGTCGAATTATCTTAGCCCTTTTAACAATTCATCTGTGCTCGGCAAGTATTTCTGCATGCACTGTATTTAAAACATGTTGTTCTTTGCAAGGTGTCTGTCACCAATGACTGCTCTGCTGTGTATTGTTAAGCTATCCAATCCCCCGGAATTTAGCAAACCCTGCACACAAAGCAGCCTCTGCCCTCTGCATGAGGCTCAGAATAGCTGCCCTCCCTGCCTGCTGCCCCACCACCCACCCTGACCAAGCCTAAATTCCATTGCACAACTTTCGTTCAGCCTATGTTCTTCCAACTTAATACAGACAATTTTCCATCTGAAAAAAAGACACTTGTATTCAGACCATGCTTTTATAATTATACCGTGTCCACAAAACTCCATTCACACGCTGCCATTACGACCCCACTTGGCCTGGTTACTAGACATACGGCCGAACAACTTAATTAAATCCATGCCCTTCTATTTTATCAACATTCGCCATAAATAATACCACCGAAGGATAAAGGTTTCCCCAGTCCGTTGTAATCTCACATGGTCTTGCAAAATAACAATGCACCTTGCACATCCATACGAGGTTATTTCATTAATCTTACCCATCTCATACTCTAATTTGATCCTTTGGCTTACAAAATTACCGTTAATCTTCAACGCAAATGTCGTGGTTATTCAAACGCTGCGCTGTGCTACAACTTCAGCCAAACCATGGCTTTGCTAAGACAAAGTGGCCTTTTAGAACTCCACTGCCCTGGCAATCAACACATGCCTGCACGACTGTATTGCAAATCAATGCATGGACCATGCCCTAGTGACCCCGTTCTTTTCTCGACTGCTGGGGGGGGGGTCAAACATCAGCAAGGTGACCCATTCGATCCCCTTTACAATTGCATAACCCCAAACCAGCCCAGGATGAGGGACTCTGTACCCGGTGTCTAATCGCCTAATCTCTCTTTCAAAACACTCCAAACGCCTCGCTTTACACACCCATCACCCCCACCTCATCGCCACCGTTACTTCTTAATCCTCACCAGAACCAAAGCCCGAAACAACTCAATCCTAACCCCTACTAACACACCTCGCCCCATCTGAGCCCTTCACCACCATTCATCTCAGCTCATCCCAACGCTCACCTCATCCAATCGAACCTCTTACACCAATAGCTCACCCCCACCACCCAAAAACTATCACCACCTCATCGCATCCCAACCGGCTTCTCGTCATCCCTCACCCGACCCCACTCACCTCACCTCATCCATCCCACACTTTCATTTCTCACCCTATAACCCACTCATGCTCACCCCAGCCCTCAACTCACCACACCTCAACTCACCTTTTACACCCTCAACTCACCAGACCCCTCAACACCTCCACACCTCCTTCACCCCACACCTCATCCATCATTCATCTCATCCAACCACTCACCCCTCACCCCCCTCACCCCCCTCACCCTCACCTAGCCCTCTCGGCCACGAACTGCCCGGGCTGCGCGTTCGCCTCGTCGAGGGGCACGGGGAGATGCAGCAAGGAGCGATGCACGGCGATCAACAGCAGCGCCGTGTAGGCGAACAGCAGCCACAGCAGCAGCTCCGACGAGCCGGCTCCACGTCTCCCGCCGTCGTTCCGTCGTGCCGAGTCGATCGCCTCGGCTCCCTCCCGCACGGCCGCTCCATCGGCCCCGGCGGCTCTGCGCTTTCTCAGACCGTCGTCCGACGCCTCCATGTTACCTTGGGCTGTGTGGCCGCGTCTCCCGGCTCTCCCCACTATTTAGCAAAGTGGTACAGTCCGACCGCCTCGCCGCTTCTGTATCGTCACGCGCACGCGCCCCTCTGGCCCCGCCCCCTCCCCATTCATTTATATAGGGACAAGCCACGCCCCCTTCCCCTGCTGCTCCACCCCTAAACCACGACTGAACACCCCCCCCCCCGCCCTAAGCTGACGAATGGTATGATCCACCGGGATTGCGTGTATAGGCACGCGCGCGCCTCACACCCGCCCACGTGGGACGACAGTTATGCCCACGTGCACTTCTGATGCCCGTTTGTCCAATCCACTGCTGGATGAGGGGTAAGGGCCCTCAAAGGCCGTGGTGGGGATGCTGGGCCAGTGTTTTGGTGGTGGCAGAAATTGGTGTTGAACAGAGGTAACATTGCACGTGCGAGGGGGTAACTACTAAATTTTGAATTTAAACTTTCGTGACTGCAGGAATTCATATTCTTGTTTTTTTCGGTGAAGTCACGTAGATAGAAAATTTTATTTTAATAAAAATTAATATTTATAAAATAAATATTTATTTTATTTTCTATCTACGTGACTTTACCGAAAGAACCAAGAATATGGATAACTACTAATCAACACTTTGTAGGAATGGGTTCGAAAAACAATGTGTAGTACTTGTGGAAGTGCTATCAAATACAAAAAACTACCACATTTCTGGCAGGCTCAACTGGGGACATAGTTCATCCCCTCTGTCAAGCGCTCCTACAGTACTCGGTAATAACCACGCCCATTCAACCACAAGCCCTGTCGATACTGAGTGGCCGACTCACGTTTTTGGCACTGGCTCTGCTTTTCATAGGCCCCACCTACTAATCTGCCAACCTCGCTCTTTGAAGAGCCAGAAAAAGAATGTTAAACCAGGATGATGCTGGATGTAATCTTTAGCGAAACGTAAACTTGTACATTTTGCTTGCTTTTCAACATTCCGGTTTGCTGAAAAAAACGAATCAATTGATATATTTTCCCACGTAATAGCTGAACGGTGACGCACAGCCAAATCTTGTACCATAATATAATGTCACGCGATGGTATGTGTCCACCAACCCCTCGTCGAAAAACAATGGATAAGACAGAAAACGAAGCATAATGATTCAACATTTAAAGTTCTATTTCTGCACTCACCATGCTTGGGACAGCATCGGTTTAAGATTTTTGCAAGCCACTGGTGGACCCCCGGAAGGTGCTGATGCCACCACTGCACATCAAATTGGGCCTTATGAAACAATTTGTCAGAGCTGTAGATAAGGAGTCGGCAGCCTTCAAGTACCTTCAAGACTTCTTCCCTAAGCTGTCTGAGACAAAGGTCAAAGCCGGTGTCTTCGTCGGACCACAGATAAAGAAGATCCTGGAGTGCAATGAATTCCCGAAGAAGCTCACTAGTAAGGAGAAAGTGGCTTGGAACAGCTTTGTCGCAGTGGTTCGTGGCTTCCTGGGCAAACACAAGGTCGAAAACTACGTGGAGCTGTCTTTTTGGTTCTTTCGGTAAAGTCACGTAGAATGGGAAGTAATAAAATAATAAAAATAAAACATAATAATAAAATAAAATACGTGGAGCTCGTTGAGACTGGTGAAGAACTATGGCACAATAGGCTGTAGGATGTCCCTCAAAGTCCATATCCTTGGTGCTTATCTTGATAAATTCAAGGAGAACATGGGAGCGTACTCGGAGGAGCAAGGCGAACACTTCCACCAGGATATACTGGACTTCGAATGCTGCTACCAGGGACAGTATAACGAGAACATGATGGGAGACTACATTTTGGGGCTGATTCGTGAAAGTGATTTACAGTATAATCGTAAATCTCGAAAACGAATCTTTTTTAGTAATATTTGTATTACTTTAGAAATAAATGCATGTACATTTTAATTTATATGTTGTTTTTAATTACTTTATGTGAACGAAAATACACAAATTCGCCCGTTTTCTCATTGAAAATAGGTAAATTTCTAAATAGCACTGTACTGGTAATAAAAACAAAGTTTGTGTGGAATAATAGCCATTTTCTATACTTTTAGGCATAACCAATTAAAAAATAACACTTAGTACCCAGGAACAAAAAAGTGTGTTACATAGTGTTACATGTCTACAAAAAAGTGTGTTACATAGTGTTACATGTCTACAAAAAAGTGTGTTACATAGTGTTACATGTCTACAAAAAAGAGGGATATAGACTAGGGAATATTAACCAATTAAAGACGTCATTGACTCAATAAAAATCAGTGGACTTTGGCAGGACACGTTCCTAGAACGGGTGATGACGAGGTGTCAAGAATAATGGAGAGGCAGTCAAGGAAGGAACGTGCTCACGAGAGGGCCACGGAAGAAATGGAGTGATGATGATGATCATATCGACACAAACCCATGCATACAAATGTTGGAGTCTGCATCGAGTGTGTGAATGGCCTATATGATTTTGGTTTAGTCTTTTCATTTGGCATATGACGTCTACTCAAGACGTTAGATTGTAGCTTATCAGTATAAGATTTTGTGCACGTTGTTACGCCTGTTTGTATGCCAGTACATCTGGTTCTACAGTACAGTGGGGTAGTAACATAGACAATAAATTTATAAATATATTATGAATTCCACACATCAATACTTGTGTCTCCAAATAGTTTTGTGGTTTAAAATACGACCTTGCCTCGGGCTGTCGTTAAATGCCCCTTTGCTGTAGATAACCCACACTGAAAAATGTCGGTCACAAAAACACATTTCCTGGTTTTAATACTGTTCTTCAGTACTGTGCTCGTGCTTTTTTTAGGCAATGCAGCAACAATTCATTTTATTTATCTATTTGCCTTTGATCTTGTGTTTTAATGTTTATGTTTGTGCCAATGCTGGATGCGGACCGCCCCACGCCGTGCGTGTTGTTTGATCCACAACCTTTTTGGCACCAGGGACCGGTTTCGTGGAAGACAATTTTTTCACGGACCGGGGGGCGGGCTCATTGGGTCTTTCCCCATTTTCAAAGCAGCTCTCCAGCGACGTTTGTTTTTTACTCATTTTGGCTAGGGATTAGCAGCTTGTGGGCTTACCAAAACTGTGACAAGTGCGCAGTGCAGGAAAGAGGCGCAGATGGAAGTGGTCAGTCATAAAATAATGGGAGAGGGCCACGTGCAGACTCACCGCTCACCTCCTGCTGTGCGGTCGGGTTCCTAACAGGCCGCAGACCGGGGGTTGGGGACCCCTGATCCACATATCAAACACGCTGATCGGTGCCGGTTGGATAAGGCGGGGAGCGGAGACTTTGAACCATTGGTCAATCCAACAACTGCTTTTGCTGCAGTGCTCTCTGCTGACAACGTAACCCCAGAGCAGCCTACAATGCCCGTTATATGCGTGGAGGTCGCCCATCCAGGTTAGCTTCTGGGATTTCATGAGATTGGGTGCATTCCTGATGATTTGGTCATAGGCAATGGGCTCTCGCCGCGTGTAAATAAAAAGTCAAGGTTCAATCTTGATTTGAAGCTTTTGGGACTGCAGGAATCCATACTCTTTGGTTCTTTCGGTAAAGTCACGTGGGTAGAAAATAAAATAAATCACGTTTCGGGCGCAACGCACCTGATGACGGACGCTTGTGTTGCGCCCGAAACGTCGTGATTTATTTTATTTTATACCTACGTGCCTTTACCGAAAGAACCAAAGAGTAAAGGTCACGGTTGATTGATAGGGTGCTTGTACACGAGAGAAATCGATACAGAGGGATGGTGTCACCGTCCTGGTATAATTCACCATTCAATCCATCCAATGGCCTCCGTCTACCATTGGGGCTTGCAATACCAGCGAAATGCATCTATTGTCTGGGAATGATCGTCTACTCTGCCAGGCGGAGGAGGTGGGGGTTCTACAAATGGCATGGCTGAGTTTTTAACATAATGGATGTGGAATTATAATGCAGGGTATAATGTGTAGCCCTTTGTCAATCCACTTATAGATGAATGCCTCCCCATACCGTGTTGATCCTAGGTGTTGATTTGTCATGCTTCACCACTCTGGTCAGCGGTGGGTCGGTGATGGGGGTGGGTCTCCCAGGACCGATTCAAATATAATACTGCGTATGTCACTGATGTTAGCCGTGGGTGGGGGAGGAGAAATTGAACTCAGATCGCCACGTGCATCGTGCAGTGCGATAAACACCGTAGATGTGTATAGTGTGTATTTAAACCCCATCTACCCGCACAGGTTTCTGTTCAACATTTAACCCAAAGACGTTTACGTGCAGAACAAGCTGAAATTGTATAGCCTCCACTGCAGCATATTGCCTGTTTAACACGTAGGCTTTCGTGACCAATAGTATAACATTGTCTCTCAGGCTCCTATATTGGGCACTATAATTTGCGTGTTTTAAACTACACAAGACACACTTTTTGGTTCTTTCGGTAAAGTCACGTAGGTAGAAAAATTAAATACAATTAAAAATAATATATCACGACGTTTCGCTCGCAACACAAGCGGTCGTCTTCAGGCGGAAACAATAATCGCTTGTGTATGGATCCTTGCAGCCACGAAAACTTCAAATCAATAATCGCTTGTGTATGGATTCTTGCAGTCACGAAAGTTTCAAATCAAGAATCGTGACGAGGTCCTCGTGACGGGGATCCCCCATATCCCGAGGTCGCCCTGTGACGTCACACGCGGGGGAGAGAGAGGCGGGGCCACGGAGCGGGCGGAGCCCAGAAGTGGGGCGGGGCTCGGAGGTTAACCCCCCCCCCCCCGACAGCTCCCGATCCTATTGGCCAACGCTCACATCGCGTGCAGCCGGCGGACCAATCGCGCGCGCGTTTAAAAGAGAGCGAGCGCGCGCGCGGCAATGTCCGGAAGCGCTCGCGCGCCCCTCGAACCGGTGGGTACCCCCCCCCTCCCCACAGCCCCCCACCCCCCATTTAACCCCCTTCCCCATGCCCCCCACCCCCTTCCCCATGCCCCCACCCCCCCATTTAACCCCCTTCCCCATGCCCCCCACCCCCCCATTTAACCCCCTTCCCCATGTCCCCCACCCCCTTCCCCATGCCCCCACCCCCCCATTTAACCCCCTTCCCCATGCCCCCCACCCCCCCATTTAACCCCCTTCCCCATGTCCCCCACCCCCCTCCCCACAGCCCCCCACCCCCCATTTCACCCCCTTCCCCATGCCCCCACTACCCTCTTCACCCCCCCCCCCGTGCCCCCACTACCCTCTTCACCCCCCCCCCCGTGCCCCCACTACCCTCTTCACTCCCCCCCCCCCGCGTGTCCCCACTACCCTCTTTACCCCGCTACCCGCCCGTGCCCACACTCCCCTCTCCACGCCCCGTGCCCCCACTACCCTCTTCACCCCCCTACCCCCCCCCCCCGCGTGCCCCCACTACCCTCTTCACCCCCTCCCACTTAACCCCCCCCGTGCCCCCACTCCCCTCTCCACCCCCATAACGGGTGATGACTCCAAAGCACCGGGCGCTTTGCCAGTCTCGTACTCGATAATTAATTAATGCGTGCCGTATTATAATTGTACAATGTTACTACACATCAATACGCATTGCATCTATTGTAGATGTGATCTGTATCAACGAGCCTTTTGTCTAATCGCGCATCATAATCTGTTCACGGTACATACGCACCGTGATTTATCAACTGCTGGATGAAGGCGTCAATGTCATTGATCCGTCCTCTCTTATCGGTTGTGCAATAGTTCACGAAGCGTATTAAACGCCGAAATCATTTAATCGTTCCGTTCTGTTTCCGCGCGTGTTCCGTTTACACGCGTGTTCTGATTATACGCGTGTTCCGTTTACGTGACAACCCCGATACTAATTGGCTGTGAGGGGTGGTGGCAGGTTCAACGACACACATATTTACGCGATCTAACCCAAAAAAAACCTTACGGATGATATTGCTCTCGAAAGCCTCCTCCTGCTGCTACGTGTTAAACAGGAAGCAGTATATTCTTGGTTATTTCGGTAAAGTCAGCGGTATGTTTGAACGTGGCAACACGAGGCTTGGATAAGTGGCTTGGAGACGGGTACGTCCCACGAAACATTTTAATCAATTTGGCCACTTTCTGTCGGTCAAGTCCCAAATATCCACACAACTCTATATCCGCATTAAAGCATAAACCACATTGGATCATCCGTGCAAGACTTATGCCCTCCCCTGTTACTAAACAAACTGACGGATGGATAGAGCCAATGCGTGAACGTATTAATCTCGTTGCAAAGTGTTTAAAAAGGTCGTTAATTGCATTCACAACTGAGCCCCTTAATGACGCCCCCCCCTGAGCATTGGTGTAAAGAGATTACGGTAACTTGGTCTGTGCTTCTGCATTAAGCCATGGCTCTGGAATGTATTTGGGGGGGGCACATTAATTTGACACACTTAATGGTGACAAGCCCCCAGTTGGGAACAGAAGTGGTGTTGGTGTCTGGTCAGCTGCTGCTGCTGCTAAATTTGTCGTCATCGTCACGGTCGGGTTGACGCGTGGCACCGGGCCCTCCACTCCAGCTGTGGAGGCAATACGGCTGTTGCTGATTAGTTATTTCGGTAAAGTCACGTAGACGGGAGATAATAAAATAATAAAAATAAAACATAATAAAATAATACAATTCTCGCGACGTTTCGGCCACAACGCAAGCAGCCGTCCTCAGGTGAAGAACAGGTCTGTCGGAAAGACAGCGTCTGAATGAACACCACCAAACTTGGCAGCGTATATTTAAGCTGGGTTAGGGGAGGAAGAGCGCCTTGACAAAGGAATTTGCATATCAACAGATGAATTTTGCATATTTATGGAAAATGCAGATATGGGATTAGTCACTACTTGTGGAATGCGTAGGAGGGGGCGGGTCTCAAAGTCATATTATGCCCGTGCAGCTTAAATATAGGCTGCCAAGCTTGGTGGTGTTTCATTCAAATGCTGTCTTTCCGACAGACCTGTTCTCCACCTGAGGACGGCTGCTTGCATTGTGGCCGAAACGTCGTGAGAATTGTATTTTATTATGTTTTATTTTTATTATTTTATTATCTCCCTTCTACGTGACTTCACCAAAAGAACCAAGAAGATTAATCCCTGCAGTCACGAAAGCTTTAAATCGAAAAAATGTTGCAGATTAGTTTCATTCAAATCACTTGGACATACTTTTGGAAAAGGTTTACACTTCATGAGTGAATTATGCTTCGTTTGAATTATATTTTAGTCTATCCCCTCCCCCCGTTTCCCTTTAATGTTTTGTTAACATCTGGAATGAAGCACAATATTTCCGTAAATATTTGATCTGTCCATCCGAAATTAAATATTTGGTTTGCATTTTCAGTGAAGTTGTTTTTCTCAATGATGTGTTTATCCAGGTCTCCCTTGAACAGATAATTACGGTCTCATTGGGCTCTGATTTGGTTATACATGAATATATTGATGCATCTAGCTGACACTACAACATGCAGTATGGTCAGATGTGCATTTGAAATTGGACCATATTAAAGGATGGGTATCGATTCTTTGGTCTTTGTCAGCACTTTCCAACTGTTATATGCGTTAGTGCTGTTTGTCCATCCCTTCGTAAAGGGGCGGGAACACTAACTCTCGTGAAGATTATTCCATATCTACCAGTAATATAAAGGGTTTGTTATATGGAAACTACCCTATTGAAAACAAGCCTAATTGACCGTTGCCCATAACTTGAGTACTAAAAATCTAGAGGAAAAAGGATTCACAATCCATGCAAACACATTCCTCTAAGAGGTACCTGTCGGCTTCCATCATACTTATCAACTACTTTTGCAGACATACATATGGTTACGTAGAATGGAAATAATAAAATAAGAAAAAATTCTAAAATAATTCTCACGACGTTTCGGCCACAACGCAAGCAGCCGTCGTGAGAATTATTTTATTGTGTTTTCTTTAAATTATTTTATTATTTCCATTCTACGTGATTTTACCGAAAGAACCAAGAAGATGAATCCCTGCAGTCACGTAAGCTTTAAATCGAAAAAAAATACATACGGTTGTAAAGTGTCACACGATCAATGCGTGGCATCTCTTAAATTGTGTTTCCCCATGTAGATTCAGATCCCCAAGGCCAATGGGCTCAAGTCCTCCATGCTGGGGCCAAGGGATCTGGGACCACTGGAGGGGTCGGAAACCATTCATGCTGGACTTGGTATGAGGCCTTGTCATTCCCCCCGACGACCCTTCCTAGCACCTGACTGATCAGGACATCATCGCGCTCCACTTGGCACCAGACACAACGTGGGAGTTCAGGAATGTGTCTTTTTATGGGGAAAAATTTGTATTTACTGTGTTACTTTCCCCACACCCCCCCCCCCAAAAAAAAGGCTGACAGTTTGACATGTTGATGACAAGACATAATGGATTCAAGAGAAAATTGCATGAATATTTATAATAAGAAACTAGCCACATTGGCTTACATGAATAGTTCATACAGAATGAAAGTGTTTTTTAAAGATGGATGATTTCACTTCACATATGGCACATGCCCAAGATAAATAGCAAACACATTCATAGTTGCTGAGTTGCATTACAGTACGACAGATGTAGATTGTTATCTTTGGAGTGTTCCATTATTTTTTCGGGGGGGGGGGTGCGATGTTTGATTTCTTCTGCAAAGGATCACTATGCCATCTGGACAAACAGCAATGTTATTTGTGTTGCAATTATGATACCTAGATGATAATATATATATTTTTACATGGATGTATGGTAATCGGGGTGGAGCGGTGGCACTGCGGTTAGCGCACTACTGCACTACATACCCGGTGACCTGCATTGTATTACCGGTCGTGGCTACCATCAGTGGCAAATGATTTCTGAGCCAGTCGTGGGCCTAAAATTCAGCAAACTGTGCTGACCTGTGTTGTGAAGTATGGTCACACAACCTCCATGACTGACACATTGTTGGCAGACCTTCATCAAGCTCTGCCTTCACAAAGGGTTGTAAACAATAATGTTCTGGTTAACAAAAATACAACGATGCTTTGAGTCATTGGATTAACCTTTATTCCAAAGCTCATGATACATGCTGTGCGCATAAACCAGTTTTTCGAGACACATGTTGCATGTATCTCATTAGTGTGACCCCTAGAGCCAATAAAATTCAGCACATTGGGCAACAATATTGATTACTCAATCGATTTGTTTACCCTGAATGGCACAATTTCATCTAATCACTTGGCGGGCATAAATGATTACACCTACATTGATATTATCGAAACATGTAATAATTTCCAGTGTGTGGTAATATTAATTATCTATTGTAAATTCATTGACGAGTTACACAACTGCTATGCTGTTCCTTGTTTGTGGTTAATGAGTTAACACCCAGGCTTCCTGCCGACAGTCTGCTGTGTGCAGACATTCCTCTATGGAGCAGTGCTCTTCTTAGATGCTGCACCAGTAGATGGATATGAAATAGTGGTCTTGTTAAACATTCAAGCAAGTATAGTTGACTGTGAGAAGGAAAGAGGCTCTTTGAGAATCGCTATACTTCTCAGGAATTATCGGTAAACTGGGGTTGTAGCAATGGTGTAATGATTAGCGCACAGCACTACAAACTCGGCGATCTAAATTTGATTCCTGGCGGACGGTTGGCATCAGTAGCGAGTGATATTTGAACCAGTCCTGGTCCCCTTTCACCAACATGCGCTGACCCGATGGGGAGACCAGCAATGGACAATAGTCTGTCAATAATAATTGGTTAACAATACAAATTTTACAGTCAGCATTATTTTAATTCCCTTGAAGGGTTTTGTCAACGCATTCGCAAAAAGCTGACTTTACATGCGGCATAAATTCCTCCCAGCTATGTCAGAGACAATTTGGCGGTGAAACATTCAACCCTCTACTCTTGAGGAATCGACGACTGTACCGCACTGGAGGACTTTTGCTCCTATGCCGCTGAGGCCAAACACATGAGCTCAGCTGGGTGCTTTAAAGAGATTCTCGTGTTGCGTTTACACAACGGAGGTTTTTTGCCGTCTTGGGTTTTTTTTTTGTCCCTGCTGGGAACGTTTCTGCAGAAGCGCAAATGGAAAATTCTGCTGATATGACGGACTCAAAGAAGCGCCGCAAAAAGAAAAGGCGGTCGCATTTCAAGGAGGCGCGTAAAGACAGCTTTTCAGGTGAGTCGGAGTTATTGCTTCACAGCTGCCGTTGTTGTATTCATTGGCCAACGGTTGGCGTTACCAGTTGCACGCTTTATTTGTTGACGCTAGGCTCTTACATTTTATAATATTCCAGTGAAACTCGTCTTCTCTGTAATCTGCTTATCCTCGTCTTACAAGTGGCTCAAATTCATCTTTGGAATGGCCTATTAACCACACATTCATTTATCCGATTACCTTGATTTTCGGAATTATTTTTTTCTCTCGAAGATACGGCTTTATCATTTATTGCACTCGTTTCAAAGCAGCTTACGCAACATAACAGCAATACATCACCAGGGCAACAACTAATAAAGACTGTTACAGGCAGTGGCAATTGACGATCAACATACGCACAGCAGGTCACAACAGCCACCGAAAATAAAAGCATCAGCAGAGACCCTCGGAAACACGTGGATGGGGCAGAGGGAGGCCAACCTAGACAAATGTGTCAGCAACGCACCGTGTCAGCAACGCACCCGATCACCACGACCTATCCTCCACTAACCACCAACCCATACCACCTCTACCATGCAGGTCCTTTACCTAATTACCACCAACCTTCCCTACCAACTACTAATCTCCTCCATAATAGAGGTTTTTTTTTGGGTTAGATCACGTAAATATATAAATGTGTCATTAAAACCCGCCACCACCCCACACAGCCAACTAGTAAGGGTTGTCACGTAAACAGAACATGGGCAATTCTTCATTAATACAGCACACTGCCTTTTTGGAGAGCCAAGCCACAACATTTACAATCTGAGTACGACGTTTCGCCAGTAATTACAACTAGCTTCATCAGGCGACAACCAGATTTGTGGAGAAGTCTAATATAGAGGCGTAGATGTGGTGACCACGCTTCTGCGCTCTTGCACAGCAGTAGCCAGACTTTGGTAGAATTTTTTTTACTGCGATGTAAAAGCAGCAGGGCTCCGGAACGGTCACTCTAAACAATTTCTTCCAATTGTGCCCTCGCTATTTTTTTCACGTAACAAATCGGAAATCTCACAGCAGCAATCCCAGTGTGTCAGGGAACAGCCCGTGGAAGAGACATCGACAAAAATTCTTCAAGTGACCTTTTTTTCCCTTCGTAAAGTAGGTTGGTCAAATCAATCGCAAAACCAAATTTAATCCGATGGATTTTTTTGAAGTCATTGGATAACTGAGCTGAGACCACCAATTCTCTATACTTGAGAACCCAGATGAACCATGGTGTAGCTGCCCTGATTCCAGCCCAGAATCTCAGCAGTAACGCCTTGGTGCTGTGACCTATAAGCCACCCAGCCACCCCATTCCTCTCGGCTACACATCACATTTAGCTACACCTATTTGTCCCATTATTTGCCAATAGCAACCTCCACATTCGGGTGGATTAAGTGATTTCCATATACTGCACAGTGTGAGAAATGTATATTTTAAAGACATGTTAATAAGTATATTAAATAAAATGTGATTAATTTTGAGATTTAACTGTGGAATTAAGCATGAAAACAAGGAACTTCCACACATTTGCAAACATTTAAAGTTTGTTGTAATTGCAAAACTGCCCAGTGGTGTTGCGAATGCTGGCAATTGCTGCTTGTGTGCAAACTGCTGCTGGCTTCGGGGAGGATTGATGATGTCCGCTGGGCCTGGCGTGTGACCTTTCTCCGTCCACAGATGTGTACCATGTGACTGGAGAGGTCCTGGGTCAAGGGTCATATGCGCGTGTGGAGTGCTGCGTGTCCCTTCTCAATGGCAAGGAGTTTGCCGCCAAGGTTTGACACTGTTGTCTTCTACCATAACTTAATCATCATCATCATTAACACCAGCAATGATGCATCCACTGCTGGATAAATGCCTATCCAAGTCTTCGCCATTTCTAACAGTCTGGCCATGCAACAATTCACTAAACTCTTTCTCACGAGCTAATTTAAGAGCTCGATCTCCGTGGTGGATATCCAGGGTGTGATTTCCTTATTTGCGTGCCACTCGTTAATTTCACCAACTTACAGACGAGGCTGGTTGCATAGGGAGCCGATTGCTCGCGCAAGTGCGAGTCGGATTCGTTTTACAGCACGCTGTCAAATGGCCTTTTGAAAAGCAATCGGCGAGAAAGGTTTATCATCCGCTGAGGATGGTGTGATGTTTTATTGCCTTTCAGGAGGCAGCTAAAAGGGGTGCCAATCAGTTGCACAAATTCCTGTGCCAGCTGCACTTCCAGACAACACCCGTGGAGAACCTCAATTAACTATTTGATTCCTCTAGCGTTCCTTTTTGTACTCGCGTAGAGTTGTTGGTCACACCCATGACCGTGGACCTTCACATTTTACACGCAGAGCACACCATCTCTGATCGAATGAGACGGGGGTTCTTATCAACAAAATCCAGAGATCTTGGGATCGCATTTGTGCTCGCTACATCCCAACCACCCCCTCATGCTGTTTACTATAATGGCACTTACCCTTTCAACATTTATCACGATACTGGCAGCTGGTGTGAGTTAGTGAAATTGCTGGGTACTCGATAAAAGAACAACATTGTCTTATGACACGTTCAATTCTCTGCTGAATGAAGGCTTCCCAAAGCCATCCTGAGGTGAAACAATCCACGTACCACCTGCACACGAGCTGATGTCATCACTCCATCTCGACAGTTGTTTATTTAGTTATTCTGGAGGAATCCGATGAGCTAGGAAGCTCTTTTTCACAAATGCCCAGTAGGGGCGGGTCCATGAGTTACATCAACTTGACGAAGATAATTACTAAATTATATCTATATGCTAAGACTTCATTAACATTCCACCAAGTGTTGTTGACTAGATCAAGCGTCAAACAAAACAATTATAACTACATGAGCACCGATTTCACCATAACTGGGGTCCACTTACAAATGTAAATGTAGCGCATGTAAATGTTTGCTTTACCTGCCTCGGCTGCCACTCCATCGTTACTCTCGCCCACCGGCCATCATCTCTTCTCGTCACTTTGTCCTGCCCAAGCCCACTTGCTTTTTTAACAGTTTCAAATGTTTTCGAGAATGTGCCAAAGTTTTTATCATTCACGTGTAGTGACATACAACGTCACTACTGTGTCGGGACTGTACGAGCGTAGGGACATATGACGTCACGACTGTGTTGGCTCGGTATGGGCGCTGTAGGCGGGTGTCACGGGGGTCGTGTCAGGCCGTGACGCTCTGCGTGAACCCAACAGGACACGTGACCGGATAAAGGGGGCTAGGGGCCCCAGGGGGGAGCTTGGGGGTAACGTGGTTGGGGGCCCGGACCTTCTCGAAGGATCGAGAAGGGGGGCGTGGCTTGGGGCAGAGCCGGCCACACCGCGGCAGTTATAAGCGGGGTGTGAACAGGGAGCTGGGCTGTTCAACCCTGGGGTGAAGATGCCATCAGCGGTCCTCGAGTCTCCGATCGTCGTTCTTCTTTGTGTAATCCCAAGCATGCCTCCTCACCGAGCTTCTTCACAAGGCACTCCTCAGCTTTTCGTTAATCATCTTCATCAATGTCCGCGTTTCTGATACGTTGTTATCATCACGACTGGTAATAGTGTTGCAGAAATGTTATATTTATTGAATGAACACGCGCACAAAAATGCTGGGTGCCCACCGTTGCATTCATTGCTTTTGATGTCGATGTTGTGGTCCAGATCATCCAGAAGTGTCAAGGACAGAGGCGGGATCGAGTTTTCCGCGAGGTGGAAATGCTCTACCAGTGCCAAGGCCATAGGTAGGTGACTGCTGAATTATTGTTGTTGTTGTTTGTGTTATTGCTGTTGTTTACCCAGGAAAGCCTCGCCGAGTCCATTGTCAGGAGAGTCCTGCTATGTTTTCGCAGCAAGGGGCGATGATTTGTTTCCCAAAACAGTAAATTTGCGACTGATTTCTCATATTTGGACCGTGATGCCAGCACACAATTGCCTCCTTACAAATGACATTACGTTATTTTTAACGCCTCACTGTGAAGCGGACGGTGTTGTAGTACTTATGGTTAATGCGCCCGCAGTGTTAACCAGGGCGGCCTGCCGGGTTTGAACCGTAAACGTCTGCAACAAACGGCGAATGCGCTCCGAACGTGCCACGTCAATGCCCCCATATCACCTTCAAAGAGTGTGCACGGTGGACTTGTGGACACAAGTACACCGTGAATTCCTTGTGCAAATTGTGCGCACCACTACATTTTTGTTGTAGAATTGGATTACAAGTCAATTGGCCCTTCTGCATTGTATTGCATGCAGCTGGTCTCAGGGCTGATGGTGTCTTGTGCATCTTTCAATGAGGTCAACTTCATGTTTTCAACTCCTGTTGATTTGCAAATGCAGGCGATTTATAATCTGTAACGTAATTTTTCGGTTAATTGTATGTGAAGGTGGTAATTGCCTACGTTAAATGATATCCGTGCGTCTGTTTTCTTTTTTACATTTATTCCAGGAACATCTTAGAGCTGGTTGAGTTCTTTGAGGATGAGAAAGCATTCTACTTGGTGTTTGAGAAGATGCATGGAGGTAGGAAACCAAATTGTATTGTCACAAAACACTGACTATCCCCACTGTGTTGATGCAGTGCACATGCACCAGACGTGACTCATGCGGATGCAAAGTCATTATCAGATAACTGGCGTCCAGAAACGCATTTAGCACGCGTTATTTTTTACGGAGAAATATCTCACCACAAAATGTTGGTGTATGTTGGGTAAACCTTTCCTCCGTGTATCCATTCGCCAAAATAAAGTGGGTTTCCATTTTGATTTAGGGAAGAATATTCAACGTCTCGTGGCAGTGTAAATGCATTGGTGAATAAAACCTGATTGCAGTCAATGACCGGATCTAGGAGTCACTCGCGATATCTACAGCATCAAGATAGATTTCCATTATTTATAACGAGGTTATAAATACAGTTCATACATCTATCCAAAGCACTGTAGAATTTTGACCATATTTAAAAGTGTTTATCGCTGCTGATCTCCCTGATATGTGTGCACCCTTTTTCTGTGCAATCTTGAAATGCAGTTGCATTTAGATGTTCTACATTTTAATCGGAATTACATTTGTAAGTGGACTCCAGCCGTGGTGAAATCGGTGCTCATTTAGATATTATTGTTTTGGTTGAGGCTTGATTTAGTCAACAACACCTTGTGGAATGTTAATGAAGTCTTCGCATGTAGATATAGAATTTAGTAATTCTCTTAGTCAAGTTGATGTAACTTGCTGACCCGCCCATACTGGACATGTGTCGAAAAAAAGCTTCCTAGCGCATCGGATTCCTCCAGGGTAAATAAAGGATACATTCTGATTCTGACTAAAGCCGTCTAAATTATATTTCACTCGTAGTTATTAAATGTTGGTGTGAGTGGGGCACACAATCCACTCCCCCCACCTCCTCCCTGGCTAGTATTATCAGTTGAGCCAGAGTGCATTCTGTAAAAAAACTTTATATATGTTGGTCTTCCTCGGTGCGCTGCTGCCTCCAATAATGCTGCTCTATATTAGTCTGCATCTTTATGCGGACGAGTTAATTTCATCTCGACCTAGTCAGTCATGCTGGAGTCGGTCTTAGTGGTGGGCATTCAGAGTCATCTTCACGCTCTGATTTTCGTCCGCTCGTAGTCATCGCCGACTAAAATTGAAATCACTTCAATGGCGAATGTTTTCATCACGAATATTGTCGACAAATGAACACTCGCTCCAATACAAATCTACGGCTTTTTTGCTGTTATGATGGATTTTCTCGTCGTGTTGTACGATGGGGCTTTTCGTTATCATCATTTACAGCATTGATTACACTGGTCAACAAAAAAGAAAAATTCTGGCCTGGACTTTTGCAGCTGTTTTAGACTAATTTCAGGGTGCCGATTCCAAATCTGATCTCAGATTTGCTCTATCACATCTCATTTTATGCTATCGGCATACCCCATTTTCATTGATTTTACCCGAAATTAACTCTGTCACTTATGATTGCAAGTTGTTGCGAGTCAGTGACTGCTTTAGTGTTAAAATATGGTGCTGTATTTTTATGATAGTGTGTTTATAATATCATTTTATGTAGATATCCACATTTTTAAATAATTTTCTTCTGCAGTTTTTATTGAAAATGCAATTTTGATATCTCAAAAACCTGACGTGATAGACAAAAACTGATGCCAGATTTGGAATCGGCACCCCCAAAATTACATTACAACCGTTGGAAAACCTTATGCCAGAAAAAGTGTGTTGACCAGTGTTATTTGTGGTGTTTGCCGCAGGTTCAATACTGACTCACATCCAGATGCGGAAGCATTTCAACGAGAAGGAAGCCAGCCGGGTTGTGCAAGATATTGCGACCGCCCTTCACTTCCTGCACAACAAAGGTTGGTCTCACGAAATGCAATTCAGATAGCCTACAGGTTTTTTTTTTCAACACTCTGTCATGTAAGATTCTTGCATAGATATGAAGCTTCGATTTAAAGCTTTCGTGACTGCAGAGATTCGTCTTCTTGGTTCTTTCAGGTAAAGTCACGTAGAAGGGAAGTAATAAAATAATAAAAATAAAACATAATAAAATAATTCTCACGACGTTTCGGCCACAACGCAAAAGCCGTCCTCAGGTGAAGACCAGGTCTGTCGGGGAGACAGCCTATGAAACGTCGTGAGATGTATTTTAGTATGTTTTATTTTTATTATTTTATTACTTCCCTTTACCGAAAGAACCAAGAAGATAGATATGAAGCATGTCATGCCACATTGGTTCGTCAATTAACACGGACCTTTATTCTCGTGATACACGCTTAAAATTACACTTAAAAATGTATTCTTTGTTTTTATTTATATTGTAATTGGTTTGTCTAATCCCTACAGTCATCGGAGGCGCTATGTTTTCCACAATGGAGAATTGTGATTCCGATTCATCGAATTGGTAATAATTCTACGAATAATATTTCATGGTTTGGCCCAAATGTTCTGTTTACTAATATGTGACATATTTTTAAAGGAATCGCTCACCGAGATCTCAAGCCTGAAAACATCCTGTGCGAGTTTGCCGACCAGGTGACGGCTCGTGACTATTGTCCGATTCGGATACGCAGACCATCACTCGGCCTTTCCCGCATATTAGCAAACACGAACAATTATTATGCAGTCAGAATTTTAAGATAACTCACTGCTGAGAATTTAGTGTGTCGCAGATTATTTGTATTGATATCTAGAATTTCAGAGAAACACGATTGCATGTTCTACTTTATATGAATGTTTTTTTTTATGGGTGGTTATAACCCATCCTTTTCTCTTCAGACTGTTTTATGTCTCACTCTACCTTAGTGGCTACCCTGGGCATTGTTTAAATTTCTTGGCCATAATGACCTATTATTCTCACTTTGGACGAAGAGACACGCATTGGAACCACAGATTTACATAAGGCCCATAGATTTCCTCAGGCCCTATACACTATAATATACACTACTGCAGTGAGAAGCCCATTGAGATCAACATCTCCCCCTCACACACCAATGGCACATGTCTATGCATTGTATAATTGTATAATTTTGAAACGGCCAAGAGGTTCATGGCACACACCAAACTATTGTAAACGATAAAGTGGATCAGAAGTATGAGGGCCCAAAAGCCGAATCATCAGGGCAAAGATTTTTTTAAGAATTTCGACCTCTTATAAAATATGTTGATCGTCGTCTTTTACGTTACATCTTATTCGCTGAAATTGGCAAAGCGGTTTGGGAGGAGCTCTCTGGACAAGTATACAGAAATACGTGTAACACGCAGATTTGGGCGGCGGTGGTGACACGCCCGTGATGGTGACACGCGATGACTCGGTGGGTGATGTGTCACCTGTGCAGGTGACCCCAGTGCGGATTTGTGACTTTGATCTTGGCAGCGGAGTGCCGGTCGGCAGCACGCCCATCTCCACACCAGAGCTGGCCACACCGGTAGCCAGCTCACTCGCACCGTGTGTCACACACGCGCACACGCACACACACACAACAACAACCGCCATTCGCCACTAAGTGGTGGTGACGTCACCACGACGCTTGTGCCAGGCCATGCGCACCTTGCGGCCACGTGAAGTGTCAAAAGCCCGCTGGCAGGAGGTCACGGGGCAGACCCAGGTGCCACGGGTCGACTAACTGAGATGACTGAGATGACTGGCTGATGCACCACCTGTACCCCCTACTGTGCACACGCACACACAAAGAAACACACACAAAGACACACACGCGCGCACGCACGCGCGGCATAATTTCAGCTGGGTCTGTAACGGGTCGGAAACTCAGAAAATATTTTCGAAACCGGTCTCCCAGATCCAGTACACCTCGAGCCACCGCCATGGCTATGAGCACACATGCCGCCGACAAATAGTCTTCCACTCTGCCGGAAAATATTCCGTGAGAAATCGAGCCCTCGAGCGATTACTACAGACACGCTGTTTATTTGAGGCTGTGTAGGTGGGGTACTATTACTTTATATGCTCTTCTTTTTGTTATACTGTATTAAGTGAGGGTGTAGGATTACTTGCATAATTATTGTTGTGAGTTTTCATCAGCATTGTTTACTGGATTACTGGATGGAGCCTTTAAAATGTTGATATGACTAATTATTGTTGTCAGATATTTTTAAGACTAAAAAATATACACAATTACATTTGGTCGTTTTTACTTCATAGTTAAGATGTAGGAGAGTGTCAAACTCAGCAGTTGTAAAGTTGTGAGTTCAAATCCATTTCAGGTGTCAAATTACCCCACCGTCTCTCCAAGTCTATAAAATGAGGACTATCTGTGGTGCAGTCGGATATACTATACAAATACTAGTCCCTGTCATAGAATAGTGGAATTTCCATTCCAGGCTCAGGACTCAATTTTATATGAACACCACTCTCGGTCTGTTTCAGCAGGAGTATATTTTAACTTTGGAAAGTTTTTTTGTTTAAATTTGGATTTAAAGCTTTCGTGACTGCAGGGATTCATCTTCTTGGTTCTTTCGGTAAAGTCACCGAAAGAACCAAGAAGATTTTTTTGTTTAGTTTCTCCAAATACAATGTATGCTCTGGGCATGAGACATTGACATCTCCATTAAAAATGTGTCATAAGCTAAGAGTACACCACCTTGTGTCAGCGAATGGCCAGGGAAAATTACATCATAGATCTGCTTCTGAAGTGATTCCCCATAGGTGTGTTTATTCGATTCTAAAAAATATATACACAAACATATATCTTAGCTGAAATTCGACAAATTAAGTGGAAAAATAAACTCATTGGGGGATTTTCATGCAGTTATTAGTCTCAGGGTTGAGACCATCAACTTCCTTCACTTGACAACCCAGTTTTAATCACTAATGTTGGCAGTGTGGCTTAGCGTTCTCATATGGTATTAGCCTCTTGAGCCACCGGGGGCCACCTCGCTCTAAAGCGGCGGTGTTGCACGCTTGACATGGGCCCTCGTGCGAAGAATTAACGGGAGGGGGGGACCCCTTGTCCCTTTTCCCCCCCACCCCCTTTTTGTTGCGAGTGGGCCACAGGGCACCTCCGATTAGCGCGGTCGGCTATGTACGGCGCGAAAGAAGTTCAACATAATACATACATACAGGGCAGTTGCACCGTCCTGCACGCTTGATAAGCTAGCTCACTGCTTTGACATTTTGGGAACATAATTTGACGCTTGAGATGAGGTCACTGGGACGCTCTCGACAGCAGCTGCGTGCGTTGTCGTTGGCGTTGCGAGCAGTGCGGCTCCGCCGAGTACATGGCCCCCGAGGTGGTCGAAGCCTTTAACGAGGAGGAGGCTTCCTTCTACGACAAACGCTGCGACCTCTGGAGCCTGGGCGTCATCACGTACATCCTGCTCAGCGGTTACCCTCCCTTCGTGGGCAACTGCGGTGGGAAGTGTGGCTGGGACAGCGGGCAGCCCTGCTCGCCTTGCCAGGTGCGCGTGTGTACGGCGGTTGCCGCTGTACGTGCTTTTATTCACGTTTGTTTTGGCATAAAACGAGGGTTTGTTTAGTTGGAAACCACACGCCGGCACGTGCTGGTTATGAACGGGCTTCCTTTGGCCGGAAGCTACTTGAGTGAAGATTGTGGGTTAAGCTGTTTAAAAAAAATAATATGATCAATATTTTTTCATACAATTTAAATGCATACTTAGTGTGTGCTATTTTTTTAAATATTGTTCACTTGTAATATTTAACATTCTCAATCGGTGTCTCAACATAAGGTATTTTTTGGCAAAAATAATAATCATTCGGAAACATAAAAAAAGATATAGTTCTGGTACATCTGTCAATGTGGTTCTGTAATTCGTTAAATTGAGCCACAGTAATATTCCATCCAAGTAGCAATCTGGCTTCCTTAGTCCTGCTTATTTTCCAAGACCTGACAAGACAATCACAAAATTACTCGTGTCCTCGGACACAAATTTAAGTAAATTTAGGCCTAAACTCAACAAACTCATAATGCCATTAGCATATCCAGGAGAGCCTCGCTGAGTCCTAAGACTATCTTAGCAGGACAATGACTTTGAATGTTTGTGTGGGAGGAAACAGATTCAAGTGTCCATTGCCTTACTGGCATCTTCTGGCCACCTTGCAGTCCATATCTCGGTACCAATCAGGTTTAACCCTGCTTGATTTCCAACATCTGAAAAGTTTTGATGCATTCACGGTGACTTGGCATGTCATCACTGTCACTGCCCATGTCTTCCCTTGCAGAAAATGCTATTTGCACGGATCCAGGAGGGTCACTACGAGTTCCCGGAGAAGGACTGGGCGGGCGTGTCAGTCCATGCCAAGGACTTGATCTCCAAGCTGCTGGTGCGCAACGCCAAACAGAGGCTGAGTGCAGCGCAGGTGCTGGATCATCCCTGGCTGAGAGGGGTGAGGCCATTACACGCACACACCGACAACTCTCACGTGCGTCGGCCGCCACGTGCGAGAGAGGGAGCAGGTGAGCACGGTCTCCGGACGTGCGTTGCGCTCGCGCGTTCTCACTTAGAATTTGTATTTTTTTCTTCGGCCCTTTAATCGTGCGTTAAGTTGTAAGCAGGCGAGGTTCATGTTCAGAGAGGTCTCTTGAAGAGGTTGAGCTGAGCTAAATATTACATCGAGAAAAAATTACACCAGGGGGTGAAATTGTATAAGTACGTTTCAAAGATAAATGTAAAATGGAGGGCCGTGAAAGATGGTGGCAACTTGGGGTTGTCTTCATCCAGCAGTGGATAGATGATGGCTGATGATGGGTACAGTTAAACAGTGCGAGGTTATGGCTTGTTAAAATATACAACTTTGGGAAACGGAACAATATATTTAGCATTATACATCACCTCGCTATAAATTATTTTAACCAATGCTTAAACTATATTAAAACAAAAATGCGGTATTTAAATTCCATCTGTGTCAACCTAAAAAAAGAGCAAATTACGAATTGGAAAAAATAAACTGAGAGAGGTATTATTCGTGTTACAAAAATTGCACACGAAATATGTCTCCATATTTTCCAATCTACAAATAATGAAAATTACTCCCAGGAAAATAAAATGGGAGGTGTTAATGTTGTACATTTCTTCAAAATATTATTCCCCGCATTCAGAGGCGCGTAAGAGCATCGGTTTGTTTCTGCTGGTTCACACCGACTCGCGTATCCGTCATTCATGCCCAAGCAGCCCAAACGCTCGCACGGCAGAACATCCACGTTTGCCGAGCGTCACTTTCATGCACACTTTACCCCGAGGGCTTGTGGGGTGGCCACAACTGGGGCTGCCTTTTAGTCTTTCGGTAAAGTCACGTAGATAGTTTGTTATTTAAAAAAAAAATTATTTGAACCTATCTACGTGACTTTACCGAAAGATGCAAAGAATATGAATTCCTGCAGTCACGAAAGCTTTAAGTCAAGATTCGACACATGTTTGTTTAGCCCTTTGACCGAATGGATTGGGTCAGGCTTTGTCCTCCTGCAATGTAATACGGTGGCGAGCTTCCTTCCAGCACCCTGCCAGTGCGTGTTGGCACCGACGTGGTGTGTGGCCTGCAAACAATATCGCATTTTAAAACAAATATTCTGTGCACAGCGAAGGGCATATCACGTAGTCTGTTTGTTCAATTATTCTACACTGGTGGTAAATACAGTACGGCGTGTTCATGAAGACATCATCCATTATCAAGAATTAGACAGCAGTTTGAGCTACGATGATCAAACCACAAACACTTGGTAGGATGAATATTTTATCATATGAGCCACATCCACTCCAACCATCCAACTCTCCAAATTGCCACTCGGGCATGTCGACATATATTGCATTAAGATTTGTGAGTCTCGGATGTTTTTGCCAACTGCTCAGGTGGGAATGTTTCAATTGCTTCTGCTTATGTGCTGTTGAAGGTCACTTCAGCCATTCAGATTGTTTTGATTTACACTTTACATTAATGTATATACAGTATGTTGAATTTATTTTGCACCGAACGTAGCCAACCGTGCTAATTGGAGGGAAAGGATTATGTTAAGACAAATTCCTCATATGGCAGCCAAAGGAGAGAAAACGCACCTGGGCAGGCAGCTACCCTCGTGAGTAGGTGCTTGATGGATTGTTTTGTCGCATGACCGTAAGAGATGATGACGGCTTGGGGAGGCCTCCATCCAGCAGAGGTTCGATCGTGGCTAATGATTATGATGATAGATATAATACATCACACTTTCATGGACACCCTGTGATTGTAACCACGTGCCAGTTTGTAGATACATGTTCCAAGTCAAACAAACGATGTCTTCTCGAGAGTAATTTAGGAGGTGCTATAGCTCCTTCCCAAGCCCTGACAAATAACACTGAACCTTTCTCTATTGATGCCATGGGTATTTTAATTATATGGACCAGTGAGTGGAATAATATGAAGAAAATACAACCCTGTATCAATACAATGCTCGATGAAGACATCAATTCAGTAATAAATGTGTATCATTTTGCCATGGAAATCCATAGCTAGCAATACCTAAGTTCTTTGTGATGATTGCAAAAGGAGCTGCAAGACATTTATCAAGTTCATAAAAAATGGAAAACCCCTTAAGCAACCGCTATGAAACTTACCACACAACTGACCAACACCAATGCCCAGATCTGTTTAGTTTTTGGGAAAGATTGCAAACACCATAAAACAAGCTTTAGCACAATTAGTGTATGTGCGCTGGGGGACAAGCACATAGGTATAACTACATGAGGCTAATGTGCGCACACAGCATGTGTGTGCACTTGTGGGGAGCGGTGGTGAAGCAGTTAGCGCGCTGCGCTATGAACCTGGTGACCCGGGTTCGATTCCTGCTCCCGGCCATCACCGGTGACGATTATCTGAACCGGTCCTGGGCCTCCCCTAGGTCGACTCAGCCTCAAATGAGTACCTGGTGCGGTGTGTAAACATCGCCACTGGGGAGACAAAGGCGGTCGGGCATGGTGCTGGCCACACCCACCCCCTCGTGTACCATTCCGGCCTTCATAGGTGCTCGCTAACAGCACTTGCCCCTACAGTCTATTAAGGCTATATGGGGGATCTTTGTCTTTGTTTTGCACTCGTGCGTTCCACTGCAGACAATTGTACAGATAAATACTCCAATAAACTGGAAGCTTTCTTAATGGGCTGGCTTACCAGCTTGTTTTACACTTGTATCAGTACCTGCTAAGGGACTGGAGGCTGGCATTTGGGACCTTGGATTGCCACCTGTATGGGTGGCAGCCCTCCTGGTTGTGCTGGGATTTTTCTGGGGCGTAAAAAAAGTTTACTTTTTTTTAATCAGTTACTTAAAAATCAACCACTCGAGACAATGCATTTACATGTAGCTCTCCTCCCCTCTTCTTGCGCTGTGAGATATTCGTCTTCCCACGGTATGCCCTGGTTTTACTGTCACTCACAGGTGGTAAACCTCGTGGGAGCGGTGCTTTGAGAAGGCTCTGTGTAAGCTGTCCGTTAAGCTGTCTGGCTGGGATTTTTTTCGCTATAAACAAAAGCTGTCCATAAGATTTGTTGTTTAGCTTCACAGGGGCATTAAAATGCCTAAATGTATCTAATTCAATCTGGATGTTCCAGGAATGGATTGTGGGCACAATGTAAGATTTTGTAGAGGGGAAAAAATTACTTTGTTTGCATGCATGTTTGTGAACTGCGCAACTCGGCTTTAATGTTGCGCGTTGCTGAATGTTGCGCTGTGTGCAGTCGCGACGCTGAAGATGATTATCGAACACAAGTAACGAATTAACGCCGAGGCAGAAAATGGTGAAATCGCCGCGACAGATTGTGGTCCTATGATCATTCCAATTATTTCGGTATAAAATTCCTGCTCCATCGCATTTTCAAAATGAACACAGTGGTTCATTCATTCATAACAGGGTTTATTCTTGTCACTGGTAGAAAAAGGAATGTCCTTTTCAGCCAATTGGCCTCCTTTCACAAAAGGCTAATTATTTTGCCAACTGGTATCATCTTCAGCCATGTTAAATCCACTGCTGCCTTGCACCTCTATACATGAGCTCATTTCATTGATCCGTCTCCATGGCGGATGTTTTCTAGGGCCTGTTCCTTTGGCTGCCACCCGGTCGAGAGAAACAACCGCTGGCCATCATCCTCTCTGGCGATGTGTCTTGCCTCATGCCAACCACTTAATTTAATTAACAATCAATTTGATGTTTATAACTTGCATATGTTCTTTGACCCATGTGGTGTTCTGCTCCTTGTTGTAATTTAAAGCGTGCGCTTGACGATTTTTTTTTCAGAATGTTTCGCTTTTGTCCCATTTTCTTTGTCACTGTGCATGTTTCTGATCCATATCTCATAGCAGGGTAATGTATCATATACCAATGTGCCATTATACCGATATTATATTTAACACCAACATATCGATGTGCCTAAGAAAGATTTTACCTTGCCTACTGCAGTAAAGGCTGGTGTGACCCAGCCTTATGGCAACGATTAATTAACAGGTGTTTTTTTAATCGCCAGGAGAGGGCAGCATATTTGTAGTTGTGAAAGCAGGAAATGTCCCGGTTCAGTGAATTGTCACATTTCGGGAGTCATCGATTCAAGGAAGACAAAAACAGCGTTGTGCATTGATTCGTAATTAATTTTGGATTAGGTCGTGTCGGTATAATTGCATTCTTGTCTACTGTAACCCTCCAACACCCGACAGAGCCAATCAAATCAAGTTGTTACGTGGGCAAATATTACTATTGTTTTGTTTTTTAAACAAAGCAGAATGTGGAATAGCGAGCTACATTTTTTTGACAAATGTTTTTTCCCCCCGACGTTTTGCGGGATATTACATCCATCTTTGATTTTCAACATTACGATGGTTTTCTGAATAACCAATAACCAAGTCAATTGGCACATTTGTCCACGCGACAACTTAATTGATCGGCTGTTGGGTGGTGGTTATAGTAAAAAAAAAAATGACACGATGTCTACATGATCTAACGCAGGGGTGGGAAACCTTGTTTCTGCCAAGGGCCATTTGGATATTTATAACATCATTTGCGGGCCATACACAATTATCAACTTCAAAATTAGCCTGTTATGTTTGGTGAAAAATTTAATTAACTCGCCCCTAATGTGATGGCTGGAACTGCTTCTCTTTGGTGAGGCGTGTGATGTTAGCCGGTATTGATGATGTTGCTACTCGCAACTGCTTTTCCAGGTTTGCTCCGAGATTTATTGAATTTCGAGTCCCGCCTGCAGTTGCCATGGCAGGGCCACACCAAATGATTTTGCGGGCCTTATACGGCCCGCGAGCCAGACGTTCCCCACCCCTGATCTAACCCAAAAGAAACTAATTATGAATGATAGTATTTGGTCGTGAAAGTCTAAATGTTAAATTAGTGTGCATCGTAGTGCCTAGAGTGGGTTCACGGATCACCCTAAAGCAAGTGCACGCTCACACAACATTTGGATGAAATACAGTACAGTATAGTTGTAATCAATTCTCATCCGTGCGATTCGATACGTGTATGGTGAGTGTAAGAATCGTCAATGAATGAATGCACTGTTACACCCCTAGTTTTCGTGTGATGAAGTCAGTGGTACATTATTAAGTGAACTCTTTATATAAAATCTGTGGGCGGATTACCCCAGTTGCAGATTAACTGTGCTTATTTTCATCTTTCTCTGCACAATGGTTTAATGAATAGCGACGCGATCTCCTTCGATAACTATCACGGTTGGCTGGTGCGAAAGAAGTTCAACATACTGACAAAATGCGTCGGTGACTCAGTGCCCAAACATGTGGGCAAGTAAATTGATAACTTTGAAAAACATTACAAACGGATGACACATTCAACGTTCACACCCCCATTCTACATAGCTAAACGGTGACTCGGGTATTTTTTTAAATTTCAACCTATATTTACATTACCCATATTTTGTATGCAGACCATCCTTACCCACCAGATGAGAGTTGGCTGCAGCGCACAGCAAAGGGCAGAACATTGACGCCTTGATCCGTTTCCACCAGCAGAGAGCAGCCGGCCACCGCTGTTCCAGTAACCCTGGGTTTGGTGTGGTTTGGTTGTTGTTGCAGAATGCCCTCGAGAACACGTTGTTAACGCCGCAGCTGCTACAACGGTAAGCAAGGATCATCAACCATCGCATGACCTTAAGTGCAATTTGGTCAAGTCAGTGTTTGTTCTGTGTGCTTCCTTGATTATGTATAATGGTTTGTGTCCTACTCAATGTCTGCCAAAGTAAAAAACTGCTCGTGTCAATGCAAAACTGTTCGAACAAAAATAAGAATAGGTTTTACCCTTCCTGGAAATAAAACAGGAGTTGTGTTAAGATGTTCAAACACCAAATAGAAACCTTTTGCAATGAATCAGGTCCACATTAACCATACAGAGTACTTGTGGTGAACATGCAAACAAAGATGCTCTGATAATATATTATGCATTGTCTTTGAAACGGATTGGCCTACATTTTGTATGGCCTAGTCTCACCAGTGTCAGACCAGAGAACGCCAAAAGGCAAAAAGGTCCCCCCCCACACCACACTTTGCGCAAGAACGCAGAAGTGTGTGGTCACGACTTCTACGCCTCTAAATAAGGAACGAAACAGGTGGACTTCTCCACAAATCTGGCTATCGCCTGATGAGGCTGGTTGTAATTACTGGCGCAACGTCGTACTCAGATTGTAAATGTTGTGGCTTGGCTCTCCAACACACCGGTTAGTGCTGTACTCGTGACGAATTGGCCACTTTCTGTTTACGTGACAACCCTTACTAGTTGGCTGTGTCAGGTGGTGGTGGGTTTAACGACACATTTATATATTTACACGATCTAACCCCAAAAAAAACCTCTTATGGATGATGTTGGTTGCGAAAGCCTCCTACGTGTTAAACGGAGCATGTTTGTTTGCATGTTTTGCCACAAGTATGTGTGGTTAATGCAGACTTGATGCCTTGCAAAATGTTTGAGCACCTGTTTTATTGGCAAAAAGGGTAAAACCTCTTCTTATTTTTCATAAATATAGATACTGTAAAAAAGGTCCCACTGATACAAACTCTCAACTGAATCAACGAGTCGCTCCATCTATCCGGCACATCATAGTCGAGTGTCCGACTCCACCCGTGGCGCTGCGCCTCCCCGCAGGAAGAGCAGCGTCACCGGCCTCACGCAGTTTGCAGCGGAGGCCGTGGCGTTCAAGCGGCAGATCTCGCAGAAGGACGAGCACGGGCACGGGGAGGAAGGGGCGGCGCTGGTGGACATCGCGGAGTTCGCCGCGGCCGCGGAGTTCGCCCCGGCCACGGAGGATTGCCGGCCCCTCGCCAGTCAGCTGCACTCCATGCGCCTCTCGCCACCGGCCCGCTCGCGGTTGGCGCGACGCAGAGCCAACGGCGGCCGTTCTCCGGTCAAGCAGGTGGAGGGGGGGCAGCCGCGGGCCGCCCTGGCCGGCGACGCGGACCGCACGGCCGCGGCGGTGTAAGTTTGTTTTTGGGATCGGGGCCACGTGCGCCGTTTGTCCCGTGGCGAGGCCGGTCAAAGCGATCCGGGCAAGAGCAACGATGAGACCGTTACGTGTGCCGTGTGTACGTTGAACTTCTTTCGCACCGTACGTAGCCAACCGTGCGAATCGGAGGTGCGGGGGAAGGACAACAAACTAAACACTGACCTCTCGGTTTTGCATAGAGCCACACATACAAAGACTCCTAAAAATAGACCCCCCCCCCCTCATATAACCTATATATATACACACAGGGGCACAGGAAGACATACACATGAATTGCACACATGGACATGACATTACAAAGACACACCATGATAAACGTCTCAGTTCGAAACACACGAATAGAAAGATACAAACGATATCCACACACTTGACATACATGAGATACACGAAGTCCTCTACCCCCCGTATAGGCTTAGCAGACTTTGGAGGCAAGTGCTGTTAGCGAGCACCTATAAAGGCCAGCACGGCACACGAAGGAGTGGGTGGTCAGCACCACGCCCGACCGCCTTTTTCTCCCCAGTGGCGATGTTTACACACCTCACCAGGTACTCATTTGAGGCCGAGTCGAACTAGCAAACGCTCAATACTGGTTCAGATAATCATCACGGGTGGTCAGGTGTGAGCGGGAATCGAACGCGGGTTTCGTAGGGCAGCGCGCTAACCACTGCACTACCGCGACCCGTGACATACACACATTACGGGATTATCACAGTGGGTTAAGTTGCTGCTCGTTAACGTTTCTGAAAGGATAGCATAGCTTAGGGAGTGGGTGGCGTGTCCATAACCAAGCACGACCGCCTTTGTTTTCCCAGTGCTGATGTTTACACAATCCACCTGGTACACATATAATGCTGAGTCATCCTAAGGGAGGCCGTTTTACATATCACTCGCTATGAATGTTACTCATGGCTAGGAATCGGGCCCAGTATTCAGGTTCAAAGTGCAGTTGACTAACCACTCGGCCTCAATTCCCCACAAGCGCACACAACAACACCCGCATGGACGTAACATAACCTCAACACTCTGATAAGCCAAACTTGTTTACACGACGGAAAGATCGCCCTATCGCCATACAGACTGTTGGGACTCGTGCTCATAGCGTACAACTATTAAGGCCAGTGTAGATGTTTACGCACAATTGTATGTCTCATTAGAGGCCGATTCGAGCTGGGAAGTTCAGATGACTGGCACTCATTGAAGACATGGTTGGTCATTAAACTCAGGTCTGGCGCGTTCTTAGTGCAGTACGCTCAACACTACGCCGCTATTTCCTGTTTACATTCACACACACACACAACAACAGCTAATATTCCTCACTAAGTCATGGTGATATCACGACAGGGCTTATGCCAGGCTAGGTGCACTTTGAGGCCACGTGAAGTACTCTGGTTCTTTCGGTAAAGTCACGTAGTTAGAAATAAAATAAAACAAATCACGACGTTTCGATCGCAACACAAGCGGTCGTCATCAGACAGTCACGAAAGCTTCAAATCAAGATTGAGCCACGTGAAGTGTCAAAGGCATGGTGGCAGGTTGTGGAACAGGCACAGGTTACCGGTTCACTTGGAGATGACCGGCAGATGCACCGCCTCTCCCCTCCCCAATGTGCCACCTTGCTTTGTTTTAGCCACCCAGTGCTCTTCTCGTTGTGAGCTTCACTCCTTCTTCACCTTCCATCGCTGGAGGGGAGGCATCAATTCGTGATATTTCTCCGCAGAGGCCGATCGTCAACGACACGCCTATACCGGAGTGTCGTTTCACAAGCGTAGAGAAGAGGTGGCTTTGATTGTGGCGGAGAGACCTTAATTTTTGTGTGGAGCAACAGGCGCCAGGTAGCTTCCGTGTAGCGTGACACAGCCGATGAAAAGAGAACTCTTCTTTCTGTAATTATTGGGAGTGAGACCACTGCTGCCAAACTGCAAGTGGCCATTTGCACAACGCCACTCGTGGTCCAGCGATGTCGCCCTCTCACCGACACTTGATGTGGATGGATTGTAAACTACTCGTGCGGGTGCTTTGTTGGGACTGATTGTAATCCCCCCACATTTGTGTGGCAAGCTCCAGCTCTCAGAGCAGCAGCAGCAGCAGCAGCCTCCAATTCCTTCGAGGAGGCAGCCGTGAGCAGGTCATCGGCATACGTAGCGCGATTGATCAGTGTATGGGTACTGCACACTCGAGACTCGCATGACTTGCACACCTATACACTTGACACCACTGAGACATTGTTAAACCTCTTGATTCTATACACGCACATGCAACGACATACAGCATTGGATACACACACATGAATTTCACATGCATGTACTTGTAATATACATAAACAAGAAAAATATTTCTCTGTATAGCCTCCATAGATTGTTAGGAGGACAATGCTCTGAGTGAGTGCCTATGTAGGCCAGTAGGACTCATGTGGTGGTGTGGCCAGTCCCCGGCCGCCTTTGTCTCCCCAGTCTTTGTGTACACACCTCGCGAGGTATTCATTTAAGGCTGGGTTGATCCTCGTTGGGTCTTTCGGTAAAGTCACTTAGAATGGTTCAAAGAAAATATCAAATAACAGAAGAGACCCAGTACCGCTTCAGATGTCACAACAACCGCTGTTTGCCACTAAGTGGTGTGGACGTGCTGTGTGTGTGTGTGTGTTGAGGTCACTTGGATATCACAAGCATGCACGGTTATGTGTACATCCAAAGGAATGAACAGGGAATTGTGGGAAATATATATTTAAAATAATTACGGATGACATTTTAATGGGTGCTAACTGGAATAAACGTTGTGTTTTTAGCTGCAGGAACACTCAATGGGGCTGCTGTATAAAGCGTATCATAGCCTACGTGAGACATGTTTAAATACAGGTAAATAAGTGCAATATTGCATGGTTTGGTTTCTGAATATGTAAAAATTATATTTACTATTTAGCCAGGATTTAGCCGCCAAGCCGAACAAATGTAGGTACACACTAAATGTTGTCTTACTGTAATCGTATTGGCGTTAAATCCGACCGACTTTCCAATTGAAATACAGACATTTAGTGTAGCCTGATGTAATAAAATCCCTTTTAAGTATCAGCACAGCCTGATGCTTTGATCTTGCGATGCTGTAATGAGGTTACGGTGATTATCGGTAGGCGGTGGAAACGGGAAGATTACAATGAGGAAGAATAAGAAACATGGTTATCTAGGTCATGTTATCACTCAACAGTTTATCACCTTGCTGCTGTGAAGATGAGCATATCATAAAAAAAATTACTCAATGTACCCCATCGTGTTTCATCTCAGAAGCGAAGTTGGATTTCGTCTGGTTGTTACCCGAATGAGTAACTACAAAGGTTTGCCAGGTGCTGTCGGGTTGAGGCTACGAGAGGGTTTGGAGATGGCAGTGTTGTCAGCCCCGTGCATGCATAGCGGGTTTCTGCCACATACAATACACTCGGTAATGAATTGGCAAAGCTTTCTAATACAGGATCCTTCTGAAAAAAAGACTTAAAGACTCAGCGAGGCCGTTCTGACAAAATAATTGGCATTTTTATTATTCAATGTCATGCATTCTTAAGGTGCTGATACTCGTATAACTTCAGGTGATTCAAAATATTTGCACTTTTTTTTCCTTCGTGAATGGTTTTCAATACAAAAATGTTCTATCATTAAAATGCTGTAATGGTTTGCACAATCGCGTTTAATTAGTTTGTCTGCATAGCATGGCTTTTATTACATACCAATAGGCCTGTTAACATTCCAGTGAGCTGCATGTCTTATGGATTATTTAAATGAATATTAACGGCACGAAAGACGAACAAATTGTGGTTGTAATGCTGTGAGGGTCCTTCACAAATAGAGAGCTTCAGTCACATTGGGAGTTGAAAAGTCTGAATTCATCCGCGCCGTGTTTACAGCCTCGCTCGTTGGCATGTCCTCCATCCTGTGTGTGTGTGTTCGCATCTTCGAAGCTCATTAAAGAAGATATTGGAGGATAACTTTTGCTCTTGTGCCCTCACCGTTTTGAATGCAGTTGAAATACCCACAGCAGCAGCAGCAGCGGCCGCGCAATGATAGCTGATCAGTCTGGTTCCCGAAGAAACTCGCCGCATGTCAGAGCGAGAATTTGGACGTGGTGCCCAACACGACTTTTGCTCAGTTTCTCACAGGGGATTATTGTGTCCGTCCGTCGTGCAGGGAGGGGCTGGGTGGGGAGGGGAGGGTGGGGAGGGCGGGGCTGGGTGGGGGTGGGAGGGTGGGGCTTGGGTGGGGGGGGCTGGGTGGGGAGGGGTTGATCACCCCGTGGTGCCCTTATAAAACTCAACGTTTCACCTACTCACGCCGGCTTGTGCCCGCCCTCACAGTCGGGCATATTTGCGGAATACACCACGCCGCCGTTGACGCTGGCCATTGACCGAGCAACCCAACGTTCCTACCAGCTCCCTCCGCAGGAATCTGATCATCGAGGGTGGAACGTGATCTTGCACCAATTCATGTTTCCTGAATAAATCCTCACCGTGTGGATTGCAACGTAGAACGTCGGCCGTAACAACCTCAGGAGTCGTTGCATAACCAGAGGGGTGGAAGGGCGGGGAGGGAACAGGAGGGCAGAACCCCTGAACTGGCTCGTGAAGAGTCTACACTAGTAGGATCTAAGGGGCCGTCCATAAATGACGTCACGCACCTAGGGGGGGTCAGACATTTGTGACGATGTGTGACAGGGAGGGGGGGGGGGGGACTGTGACGTCACATCAAAATGCGCAACTTTAAATAAATATAAACACGTTCTACTTAAATATACTTTTTGATAAATGTTTTCTCTTACATCAGAGTGCAGCGCCACATTAAATACGCACTACAATGACAATAGTTTAAAGCGATTTAAAGCATGTTTTTTTTTTTGGGGGGGGGGGGGGCAGAGCTTTGTGACGTCATATTTTGTGACGCCGTGTGACGAGGGGAGGGGGGTCAAAAATCGTCCAAAATCGCGTGACGTCATTTATGGACGGCCCCTAAGCTTTTTGCGCTCATTGCACCCGAGGGTGCTTGCCACAAATGAACCTCACTACCCCGCTGTTCTCGGCAAGCAGCATGAACCACCGTCACGCGAAGACTCCGGTGGTCAGCGTCGGCTCGTGGCTTTCGGCTGCTGGACATCGAACAAAGGCGGCGGTCACCGCAACGCGCTGCACATTCTGCGGCCACTTGGAACGCCCTTGCGATATCAGGAAGATACTTTTAAATTTAGATAGAAAACGAATTTCTTTAGAAATGTTTTTTTGTGTGCTTAGTTTGTTCTTCCCCTAGCTCCTAATTAGCACGGCTGGCTATGTACGGTGCGAAAGAAGGTCAACAAACAACCTCGGCTGTTTGAAAAAACTAAATGTGTGAGTTTCTTCCATTTTGTGATGTTGTCCATCACGAGGTGTTGTAAAGTAGCTGAGCTCGCGTCAAAGTTTAATACACTTCATTTCAGCTGGAGGTCTTGGATGTTTATTTAAACAGTTACACATGAAATTTCAAGATTGAAAACGAAACTGATTTTAAGTAAAGACAACTCTTTGCATTTATAATCCTCAGTGTATTTCATGTAAAGAGTATACAGTACATTGAGATACAACCAGTCTGAATACATTATCATGAAACAGTAAACCTGAAGGCAAAGCATTTACTCATTCTTCAGCAGTAAACCCACAAGCAATACAATGATTACCTAAAGCCAGTTCAAGGCACCTAAAAGCCTTAATATGGTTATATTCAAGCATGTCAATGTTGGTGGGTGGGCACCGAGGGAGTCTGGGATAAGGGCCTCAGCTGGATTAGATCAGGAGGGGGCTCTTCCCACACAGTGGCAGCTCAGGGTCTCCTACGAGTCGAGGGTTTCTGGTGGTTATCGGCGAGATTACAAATGCACGTATGAAGTCTGTGCCCCGTGGAGATGAACGCCTCCCCAATGCACAATCGAGCAAGCATAGCGGGCGTTTGAATTTAATGTAAAGAATTTAATAGAACACCAAACGATACAATGGAATGTGAATTTAAATAGGAAACTAAATGCGACGGCATCTGAAGACGATGTTCATTTTGTAGAGAGAGTGGGGCAGAGTCGGTCACAGGCAGAACGTATGGTAGCTTTTGATCCTGGACTTTGAACAGGAGCGAGAAGTCGACAGCATGGTGAGCTGGGGGACAGGAATTCCTCACTGTGGAGGTAGCAGAGGATGATGAGTGACCTCCCACTGACCAAAGGTTGACTGGGGGCTTTTGCCATCTGTGATGAGGATATTTTAAAACAGGACCTTGACACCGCACGACTTTTGAAGATGAGACAGCAAAGTGACAACCAACGTGAACCTTGGCTTACCCTGGAGCCCAACTTCATGTATCACATGCCTCAAAACTAAAATGTATGATTAATTAGGTATCTAATGATTCACTAACCCCTGTGATTAGATGGACAGTCAATTCTGGATCTCGATTCAGTAATCAATTCTTCCTCGTCTCATTTACCACATTTAATTTATATTATTCGCACTATTTTCTGCCACGTATTGTCTCATTGATTCCAATAGCACGAAGGTTTACCGCACGACTTTGACTTGTTAAATGCTCAGCAGGAAGCTTTCGCATCACGAGCCGGACGTGCCAGTTGCCTTGTTCAGCACGAGAGCCGAACTCGCCCTTGATTGCACGCAGCCAGGCGGGCGACGGAGGAGCCGTGGCAGGTCGTTGGTTCCAGTGTTTTCCCGCACGCGCCGCCCGGTTAAATGTTGTAGACGGAGCGCACCGTGTCTACGTACACCTGGTCGGGCATGGCCTTCCTCTGGCTGCCCGGCTGCAGGAAGCGCTTGATGTTCGGCTCCTGACTCAGGCGTCCCTTGAACTCCTGGCACGGGGAGAGGGAGCAACGCCAGGTTAAGGGGGTCGCGAGGCTCATGGCTTCTACGGCTGCGTAGGCTTTCACGGTTGTGCTTGTATAGCGCTTTTCGGGTCGTGCCGCATGCTGCTCGGCACAATGACTGACATTCTGCATCGCTTGCCGGGAGCCAGAGGTGGGACAAAGTCATTGTTATGCAAGTCCAAGTCGAGTCTGAAGTCATCAAATTCATGACTCGAGTCTGACTCGAGTCCAAGTCACATGACTCGAGTCCACACCTCTGCCGGGAGCTGATAGCCTTCAAGGGATGTCGATGACGGACAGCCAGTGTTCGTAAGGTCCCTTTACCTGGAGGTGCGGGAAGCCGGAGAGAAGTTTAGGGAATCTCTCCTCCAGCGCGAGCAGCAGCTCCAGCAGCAGAACATCGGCCACGGTGAGGGAGGTGCCCACCAGGAAGCCTCCACCACCACCATCGCCAAGTACCTGACCATCGCCACAACAGCAGTGCAACATCACCGTCACCAACAACCAGTACATCGGCACTTACGCTTCATTTTCTTGGTTCTTTCGGTAAAGTCACGTAGAAGGGAAATAATACAATAATAAAAATAAAACAATAAAATAAAATTTTCACGACGTTTCGGCCACAACGCAAGCAGCCGTCCTCAGGTGAAGAACAGGGCTGTCGGAAAGACAGCGTCCGACAGCCCTGTTCTTCACCTGAGGCTGCTTGCGTTGTGGCCAAAACGTCGTGAGAATGTTATTTTATTATGTTAAATTTTTATTATTTTATTATTTCCCTTCTACGTGACTTTACCGAAAGAACCAAGAAGATAAATCCCTGCAGTCACGAAAGCTTTAAATCGAAATTTTACGCTTTATTGTTTTGCTTCTGTCGTTTTGGTGACGCATGCAACTCTTGCGAATGACACTCATCCCGGTCTCTTGCATTCTCACCTGGTTATACAAATACACTTGAAGTAACTTGACGCCAGCAAGACCAGCGGCAGTACAACACCATAAACTCCATCACCAGCATCAGTGAATCATCACTTCATCGCCGCCACCAGCGTCGGTACAACATCCGTCACTCCATAACCAGCATCCGCACATCATTCCTCCATGAGTAGCATCAGCACAAGCAGCACAATGTGACCATCACCATATATTACACCCTAAAAATCCGCATCACCGCTCGTAATGCCAAGAATGCTTTCCCGACCAGACACACTGATACTCACAGCCACAACATGAACTCAAAGTATAAAAAAACACAGGAAGAGATTGGCTCAAGTTTTATCGGCGAATTGAGTCTCCATCGTTCTACGGATGTACGAATAACAACAACAGCAACAACAATAATACTGCGTGGATATACATTTGGTGGTGAAGCCCTGCGATGCTCACGATTTTTCTGTTCCTGGATTTTTCTGTTTGCGCATAGTCACTTTAAGATATTTTCTTGTTTATGTTTTTTGTTTGTTGCGGTTGCACCCGATTCAAGAGCCGAATGGCTCACAGGGCTATACCTAATAATTTAATAAATGAAACTGAAACACTTCTGGCGAGAGGGAGCTCTGGAAAGGTCCTCTGGATTGTACAGGGTGCTTCAAAACAATGTTAACACTTACATGGCACTATCGTTTTTAATGGGAAAAGAACGGATAATTCACTGTAACATGATAACGAGTGTATGCTAATCGCTTTAAAAACTCAAAGAGTCTCCACTTGTTCGCCATCATTTTCAACACATTGCCTGGAATCTTCTCCAGGTGGTCTCCAGAGCCCGGAGGCACAACATTTCTTGTGCTATCGTTTCAAATTTTCAGAAGTGTTCAAATTTTTTTTAGTGTTTCAAATTCTCGGAAGTGTTAACAGTTTTTTTGAAGCACCGTGTAATTTTGTTCTCTGCCTTTACCAGACACACGGCTCTCCGTTCTCTTCTTTAGAACTTTATTCCCCCTCCCCTTCCAAACCTACTACAGTTCACGTTGAGCCCTCCTCCTGTGGGAGGCGATTAAGACACGGCGTGCGTGCGATGCTAATTAGCTAGGTGTCAAGTGGGGGGAAGGGGGGGATGGAGAGGATGTACGTTGGCACCGGTGTTGTTCGCTTGGGAGGTGTCAACCTGGCAGCAGTACAGACCCCACCTGGGCTAGATCCAGGAATAACGCACTTAACGAGCGCTGGGACACGCGCCGCCTCGGAGCCCTGCTCCCTGTCGCCACCCGTCCAGTCTCTCCCCTACACCGGCTGCTCATCGTACTGCCAAGTCCACCTGGGGCAGAGCTGTGGAACCTACGGCCTGCGGGCAGCAAGCGGCCCACGATTTCGTTTCGTGCTACCAAGAGGCCATGCGAGTCGTACCACTGTAAAGATATTTATCAGCCACTGCGACCGTCTTGGCTGCACTTATCGGGTGCTAGAGGGGCACAGAAGTGACTGAGGTGCGTGTTCATGTGCTTAGATGCACAAAGGACAGGCAACGATCCCCCATATAGCCTTCACAGACTGTTTGGGCAAGTGCTGTTGGTTAGCACCTATGAAAGCTGGAACGGTATACGAGGGGGTGAGTGGCCAGCACCACGCCTGGGCGCCTTTGTCTTCCCAGTGGCGATGTTTACACACACCGCACCAGGTACTCATTTGAGTCTGAGTCGACCTAGGGGAGGCCAAGGACCGCTTCAGATATTCGTCACCGCAGCGTAGCGCTAACCGCGACACCACCGCTCGCCCAGACGCGCACACACGTGCACGCACCTTCTCGTAGACGGGCAGGTAGCGCTTGGAGGCTTTATCTTCCACCTGTTTCAGCCTCTGCTCGAATTCCTCCGGCTTCAAGAAGGCGAGGGGCAGCATCAGCTCCCCCAGGTCTCGCATGCCCTCCACGTACATGTCCACGCTGCTCCACAAAGACAAAAGTCGTCACCCCCCGGGGCAGTCGCCATCAACTGCCGGGCCAAAGACTGCGATGGCGAGCACCTTGGATTGAGTGGGCTGTATGGGTGTGTGTAGGGGTTTAGTATGAGTGAGTGGGCTGTATGGGTGTGTGTAGGGGTTTAGTATGGGTGAGTGGGCTGTATGGGTGTGTGTAGGGGTTTAGTATGGGTGAGTGGGCTGTATGGGTGTGTGTAGGGGTTTAGTATGGGTGAGTGGGCTATATTGGTGTGTGTAGGGGTTTAGTATGGGTAAGTGAGTGGACTGTATTGGTGTGTTGGGTTTAATATGGGTGAGTGGGCTGTATGAGGGTGTATTGGGGTTAAAATGAGTGGATTGTATGAGTGTGCATAGGGTTTAATGTCATTGAGAGGGTTATATGAGTGTATGTAGGTGTTAACATGAAACTAATGGTTCTAGATTTGAAGCTTTCATGACTGCAAAGATTCATATTCTTAGGTTTTTTTCGGTTAAGTCACGTAAGTAAAACATCAAAATAAAAATAAAATAAAAATAAAAATGCAGCTAATTCGGCTGTGACGGTCCCACCTGATGACGGAGACTTGTGTTGCCTCCGAAACGTCGTGATTTTTTATTTTTTTATTTTTATTTTATTTTTATTTTGATGTTTTACTTACGTGACTTAACCGAAAAAACCTAAGAATATGAAACTAATGGGTTGTATGTAGAAGTTAAAATTAACAAGTGGATTGCATGGGTGTGTATAGGGGTTATGTGAATGAGTAGATTGTATGGGGGATGTATGGGGGTTATGTGAATGAGTGTATTGTATGCAGAGGTCGCAACCGGGTACCCGATACCCGTACCCTACCCGATACCAGGCTACCCGTACCCGGCCGGGTACGGGTACCCGTTTGCGACCCTGATGCGGCCGGGTACGGGTAGACCATGAGTCACTGGTGAGTAACTGTTTGTCACTCATTTCCCAACGTCTTGTCTCTTCTCACAATTCAAGTTCCTAGAATCAACCCACCCGCGCCTGCAACATGGCTTCATCCCAGAGGTCGCAATCAGGTACCCGATACCCGTACCCGGCTGGGTACGGATACGGGTACGGCCGGGTACGGCCAGGTACGGGTACCCGTGTGCGACCCTGGTGCGGCCGGGTACGGGTAAGGAATCAAAACCCGTTTGCGACCTCTGATTGTATGGGTGTGAATTGGGGTTATTTGAATGAGTGTATTCTATGGGTGTGTATAGGGTGTATGGGGGTGAATGTAAACGAGTGGCTGCGATGTGAGTGGCTGCAGGAAGGAGTGGCCCCGGCAGCACAAGGCCGTGCTCCTCCTCACTGTGCTCTCTGGCGCGCATCTCTGGGCTGCATGCCGGCCTTGTCGGCGACATAGTTGATGATGGCACGAGTCTGCACCAGGCGCATGCCGTCCATCTCCACCATGGGCAGCTGCTCGTACAGCAGGACGCCGTCTACGCGCAACGAGACGGCGGAAACGAATCGCCTCCGTTTGGCTACGTACGGTGTGAAAGAAGTTCATCATCCATGCATACAAACGGAATCGGGAGCACATTTGGTATTCGTACGATTTTTTTGTAACAGGAGGGAGGGGGGGCAATTCTGCGATGCGGTTTTTATCCAAGTTAGTCACAACTTTTGATCAGGTACCGAGGGATTTGTCTGTTTTGAGTCGGAGAGCGTAAATAAAGTGTGTGTCGTACACCCTTCTCCTTCCAACACGAGGCAATTCATACCGTTATCACGTGGTGTACACACGTGCCAACGTATTAGTGCTTCAGCGCCACCGGTGTGCTGGTAGTGCTGAAATCTGCATGTTTTGCCACAAGTACGTGTGGTGAATGAAGTTACCTAGTTGGTGTTTTAACATCTTAACACCTCCTGTTTTATTGCCAGAAAGGGTAAAACCTCTTCTTTTTCATACTGTAGATGCCGATGTTTACAGCTACAAAATGTGGTCTCCAGTACAACCCAATTACCCAGGAATCCCTCACCGAGCCTTAGAATTCTCTCCTTGCCACTCGGGTGATCGACCAATTCCATTCAAGAACGAGTGGCATGTGGCAGTGCGAGATTGGAGCACCTGCAGAAAACCCACGCATGCCTGTGGGTAACATTGCAAAACCAGCCAGCTCCTGGATAACTCGCAGTCAATGGTCACCCATGCACGTGGGTGCTCTCAACTGCGTTTAGATTCCGATCGTCCTAGAGCCAGCAAAGTGCATTCAGGGCGATTTGGCCAACGAGAGGAGGAGATATCACGATGATGTACATAAGAACACAAAATAAAACTAAAACTGGGCAAGCAAAATCATGCACCGACTTGGCAGCCTCACCCAAAAGCAGCGTCGTCTGCCACTGGTGCGTGCTTACACGAGCGACTCTTCCCTCGGTGCCGCGATGACAGACGTGAATTTTATCCTGCAGCAGAGACAGCTGTGGTCGCCTGGTGACGTACAAATCGTGCTCGAAAAGCAAATCCGACTACCCCACCCATGCAAGGAGACCCTGGGAATGCGAACGTTCAAACCCAACAAGGGCTTTAGGATTTCCTCACGTTCCAAATTGACATCATCTCCAAACTCCGGATAATCCAACATGCTGCAACCAGACTCATCACCTACATCCGTAAATATGACGGACATCACCCCACTCCCTCCACTGGCTCCCATCTAATTCCAGATCTATTTCAAGATCGCACTGCCTTCAAGATCCTCCTTGGACTCACCCCTGTCTACCTCTCATCTCACTCTCCTCCCCTCCCATCTCCCATCTCACTCCCCTCCACGCACCCTCCTATCTCTCCCCTCTCATCTCACCCTCTTCCCTTCCACGCACTTTCTGCACACAGGGCGTGCATTGCCTCTGCCGCCGCCCGGCTATTTCCTCCATTGCCCCTGTTCAAGTCAAGGCTCTGAACCTTCCTTTTTCCATCTACCTACAATGGTGTCGTTGATAAGAAATAAATATGGCCACTGTTCTATACCAATGCCTTGAGATGGTCGCATTCGGACGCTATATGCATGCAAATTATATTGCATTGTACAACTGTGGGCCTTGTGCCCTCTCATCCACTGCCCCACTGGGACGTGGCTTGATGCCAGCAGCCCTAAAAGAAAATCGGCAACCCTCTCACAATGGCATTTGAACCCCGATGTTCTCGGGGCATACGACATTCTCGTGGTGACATTCCTGGGGTGTCAGTGGCTCGGAGTCATTTCGCTCAGGCAACACGAAACGGGGACTCGGCTGGGAAATGTTGATGCAGTGCCGTCAACTATTAACTGTGTTTACGAGCATAAAGCCTCCGGTGGCGAGATGTTATCTACCTGGTACGCAGGAGGTCATGGGTTCGATCCCGACCCTGACGCTCTGTATATTTGGAGTTTGCATGTTCTCCCTGTGGTTGTGTGGATTTTTCTCCGGGTCCTCCAGTTTTTCCCTCCACATTTAGAAACACGCATTTAGAGTATTTGACGGCTATAAATTTCCACATGATAGGCCACTTCGTTGAGCTATCATTTGTGGCCAGGTCGCTTCTGAAAAGAAGCTATACAGCTCAGTGGGCCTTACCTGGTAAAATAAAAAAGAGTTTATTAGTTTAAATGGTGACATGGTACCCATAGAAAAAGGAGAAAACAATAAATATCCCCCGTTACTTGCAGATTATTCCATTTATATGAATACGTACAATGAGGGGTGAAGCAGTGGCATAGTAGTTATAACACTCTGCGATTAACCTAAGTTGAAATCCTGGCCAAGGTGAACATCGGGAGAGTGATTATCTGGCACATCGCCCAATGATGCTGGATGTAATTACCAGCGAAACGTCATACTACTCAAATTGTAAATGTTGTGGATTTACTCTCCAACACACCGGTGTGCTGAAATAGTAACTAACTGGCATTTTGTTTACGTGACAAATCCCTTACTAATTGGCTGTGTCGGGTGGTGGAGGGTTACAATACATTTATACTTATGCGATCTCACCCGAAAACGTTAATTATGATAACACTATGTAACACAATTTTTGTTTCTGGGTACTAAGTGTTATATTTTTTTTATTGCTTATGCCTATAAAGTATAGAAAATGGCTATTATTCCCCGGACTTTACGTGAACGAAAGACACACATGCACATCATTTTCTCATTGAAAATAGGTACATTTCAAAATACCACTGTCCTGGTCACAAAAGCAAAGTTTGTGGGGAATAATAGCCATTTTCTGCACTTGTGAGGCATAAGCAATTAGGAAATAACACTTACTACCCAGGAAAGACATTTTTTAGTTTGTTACACAGTGTGATCTGAACCGGCTGCGAGGAGACCCTGCCACCACTAGCCTTCACGACCCAGCTCTGACCGGCATAGTGAAGCACGGTCAAACACCTGACGACCATGACCGCCAGGGCATGGTGAAGAAGCCTTTGTCACGCATGGATTACTCGCGCCAAGGGGTCAAGGCACTGCCCTGCAATCTGCTTGCTCGCGCCAATGCAGGCTGATGGGCTATATCTTTGGTCTCCTCTCCCACGTGATGCAGGGGTCTTGGAAGAGGTGGAAGTACCCACACGTTTACCCCTCGACACGTGACCTGCCGATTGACGAACTGTGGCGTTCCCATTTATACTTCTGGGTGGACGGAGGTGGAGGAATTCCAGAATCGGTCACCTCGAGATAGCAAGTTTATTGTGCTATATAACAACTTGGCAGTATTCCGTGGGGATGATTTTATAAAATGTAATTGTTTAGTGAAACACCTCTTATATGTGGCCCAATTAACCACAGCCCCAGTTTATCAGACAAAAAAAAATTCATCTGTCGATGGAATCTCAACTTAATACGATGAAATTTACGGCAAATTTATCCTATTATCCCACATACACCCACTTGGATATCAGAAGCTATTTTTGCGGATGACAAGATTCACTAATAACGCCCTCTCACTCCGATGCGAATAAGAGCATTTGTTGCTGAACATTCGTAAGCACAAAATTTCACTCTTTCTTGTTTAGTAAGGCTGGTCAGGGTATCTTGTGGTAGGGGTAGACTGTGTTTCACCCTCCAAAGTCCTCATTGCATGTCGAAGACAAGCTATCATCACGTTGGATTTGTGTTTCGGATTTCGTGATTTTGAGCTCCCGTGAAATGAGAGGGACACTTGGCTGTGAATTTAAAAAGAGGAATCTGGGTTTCAGCCGCCCCTGAATCAACCAGATTCTCAAGCAAAGTGAGCTCAGTAACTTAGCCTTGCTACCGGTGGCTGGACAAAAAACTCTACCGTAAAGGTTGAGATTGAGAAACAATATTTGTTTGACTGTCATGCAACAAGCAATTTCATAGCAGAGTTTTTCTCGAGAAAAGATAAGGTGGCCACTTTAACATTTTTTTTTTCAAAATCTCTGCCACACTCGGGGCACACTGCTCCACCTCTTTGACGTTGACGCTAATAGCACAATAGGAAAAAATACCAACATTTGTTTTTCTCTTTCCCCCAGTGTTATTCCAACTACAACAAGACAAAGAATCCATTCACCGAGCAGCGCAACCCCCCACCCACCCACCCACCGTGTTCAAGAATGGACCCACAGAAGCGGATATCACACAACTACTCTTGAGATGCCTTCAAGTGACCCCTGGTTCACACAGAAGGGAACAGCACTTTTCCACCCGCCCTGCTACAGAGGTGATGCCCGTTGCATGGCGGTCAAACCGTCATTTTTTATGCTCAGAGGATGGAAAAAAGCCACATTTTTCTGCAATCCATTAATGGCCAGGCTAAGACCATCAACTTCACTCCACTTGAGAACCCGGCTTAAACACAGGCGACTGGCTGGATTAGATCCCATGTTCTCAATTGCACCCGCTCAGTTGCTGAAACCTCTGAGCTGCCCGGCCAACTCGCAGACCAACACGTTTATTATCCTGCAGAGAGATAAACGGGCAAACCTGCCTGGATCAGGGTCCAGCAGTGTCAGCTCAGAGCTCTGACCTCCGAATCACCCGTCCTTCTCAAAACAAAGTCGAATTTTGAAACGCCCGTTGCCCAACAACTCAAACACTGACAATGTGGGGGGAAGCCACGCAATAAAATATATATTTTTTAAATCTTTATTTCCGTTTATTTTCCCAGACTTTATTCGAGTTGTGCTATCGTAATCTATCACAAGACGTGATTCGAGTCCATTCAGATCTCTCTCAGAGTTGCACCCTCACCCCGTGTCTAAGGAAGCAAGATTTCGCATCAATTATCATGCAAATTGCTCTCAGCATTTCTCCGGACGAACCTATCGGTCTCTTGCTCAGAATTCCTCACCATCTTCCCCGTGTCTCCCCGTGTATGCGACTGTCTGCGGGTGTGAGTCTCCCCGTGTGTCTTTGCCAGTTGTGTCTCTGCCGCTGCCAGTACGTCTCTGCTCGTCTCACTTGCTCTGCCTGTCCCTCACTGCCGCCTGCCGATGCTACTTTTGCCTTCTCCCCGTCTGTCCCACTCTCGACATTTCTGTCCTAGCGCTGTCTCTCGATCTCCTTACGTCAAGCGACCTTAAAAAAATGTCTTGTGAAACAAATACATGGAATTTATTTTTAGCTTGGCAATAATGAAACGGTGTTGGTGGTTTGGCATTTAATGTTTTTCACAGAGAATATATATCTATAAACATAACTTTACAATGATCATTTGGTTTCTGTTGTTTGAAATATCAAATTCTTACTTAGAAACGAGCAATTATAATGTGTCAACAGCATTTGTAAATAAAATCGTCATGTGTGAAGGTCAGAAATCTATAAATGGTTCTAACCTTTGAGCAGTTTCTGATATTCATCTTTCGTCTTCAGAAACTCCTCTTCAAACTGTTTCGAGGGACAAAAGAAAGAAAGAGAGGGAGCGAGCGAGAGATTTAAAAACAAAAGCGACGTAATACAAAGTTAAAGAAAGAATGTCGCAATCATCTCGTGCCATCAGTACGGGTATAATTCCGCCACCTGCCACGTTGTGTAACAACAACCGCCGCAGGAGAGAGACACTCTCGTCAGCACACAGCCGACTACGCAGCGCGGTGCCATCACAGAGCTGAGGGTGAGGACGAGCAGAGCATGGCGACTCCAGGGAACCGATCCATAACCGGGGTATGGCCCACGCCCTTACCTGTGCAATGCAAGACAAAGACAAAGATCTGCCGTGTAGCGCACACGGGATGTTGGGCAAAGTGCTGTAAGGAGAGCAGCTATGAAGGGCAGCACGGTGTTTTGAGGTGGTGTGGCCAGTCCCCATACCCAACCGCCTTTGTCTCCCCGGTGCCAATGTTTACACGTAGCACCAAGTACTCATTTAAGGTGGCTCAGTTAACCTACGGACGCCCAGGACTGGTTCCGATATTCCCCATTGATGTTAGCCATGGCAGTGAATTAAACTCAGACATCTGGGTTCATAGCGCAGTGCCGCCAACCACTACACACATACACACGGGTTTGCACTCGGCTCACTCATTCCACACGCGTATGCGACTGGAATGACGATGCCAGGCGTCTGCATTGACCGGGCGTGAACAGGGTTGACGAGCCCTAATGGACTATGTCCGTAAAACCAGTCCAAGGAATTCCAATGACAAAGGCAGCAGAACTTGCTTTGGCGCGCAAAAAATGGGGCATCAACTTAACCCGAACTAACATACATTTGGCATCATTATTGGAACACCACTTTGCTTGGGATAAGAAACCCAGAGGAAGTTTAAACAATTACCAAGTGCCAGATTTTAGGAGACATCTAGTCTTCACGAAAAGCGTATTATGCTCGGCTACATTGAGAGCCGTAACTTTGTCACTGGACCTATTGCCTCACTGAGAAATACTCTCACAAACTGGCGCTGTTCATCTGCAGTCCAGGAACAGCGCATAAACTCTCTATGTATGTTGAACTTCTTTCACACCGTACGTAGCCAACCATGATAATCAGAGGTGCTGGGGAAGGACAACAAACTCTGCAACTGCCCATCTCTCAATCACATCAGAAGTTTATGTTCTCTCTGTCTTGTTCGATTTACGCGTGCAATGGCACCATTCGATTGCACAAACAATTTGCAGCCTGTTCCGCGTGGAATGGACCTCACATTCTACTGACAGGGCCCAGAAACTTTAAATTGGCCGAAGATTTGCCGGCTTAAAACAAATGCTGGCCCATAAGCTGACAGACTACAATGTTATTTGATTTCTTACGTAGCGAAACGGACCACTTTACATGTCCATCCCTTTTGTCGATCCACTGCTGGATGAGGTCAGCGGCACACACAATCTGGTGGAGTGGCCAACATCTGTATCCCCCCCTGCAGATGTTTACACGATGCAACAGGCCCTCCTCTGAAGCCGAATCGAGCTCGGGGAGGCCTACTACAGCTTAAGTCCAACTTGCTACGCCTATCGTCCATGGCCAATGGTCAAGACTCGGCCTCCAAGATTGTCGTGCGGTGCGTACGCACAACGCTGGGCATAGATTTGCGGATGTACTTGCCGTGTATGACACTTCCATGGCTTTTGTGACCACAGGGTAACAGTGGGCAAAGTGGCACTGCAGCCCGATATATGCAACATAACATCAACACGCACAAACAAATGCAATGGGGAACGGATTATGATTGTTTGGACGCTGCATACAGTACGCTCTTTGAATACCGTACCCCCAGGGCATTTATCTCTGTTGACAGAGACAGGGGGGGGGGGGGGGGACGCAGCCTTGGATACCCGCACTCGGGAAAAAGCCACCCGCGTGACAGAGTGAGAAAGTGACCACGGGAGCCACGGCAGCGCAAGCGGTGGCCGTCGAGTCGCTTGGCCGCCACCGCCGCCGTCACCAGCACAAGGACGAGACGGTGCAGCTCAGAGGTCGCAAACGGGTTTTGATTCCTTACCCGTACCCGTACCCGGCCGCACCAGGGTCGCAAACGGGTACGGGTAGGGTACGGGTACCGGGTACCTGATTGCGACCTCTGGGATGAAGCCATGTTGCAGGCGCGGGTGGGTTGATTCTAGGAACTTGAATTGTGAGAAGAGACAAGACGTTGGGAAATGAGTGACAAACGGTGACTCACCAGTGACTCACGGTCTACCCGTACCCGTACCCGGCCGCACCAGGGTCGCAAACGGGTACCCGGGTAGCCGGGTATCGGGTAGGGTACGGGTATCGGGTACCCGGTTGCGACCTCTGGTGCAGCTTCACGTGTTGAGGCGAAACATTTCGACGATTTCCCTGCTCGGCGGCAAGACAACGGGAAGACATTTTCGACGTACGAAGAAGCGGTATTTTTCACTGCGAGGCCCGTGGGCCACTGGCGGTCACTGGGGCCTTTAGTGCGGCCCCCGACAATACACAACACGTGACAACACCCCCACCACCATCATCATCAACATCGTGCTGCTGTCAAAACCCCCCAATGGTTTCACACGTGTGGCGGCCCTCGCAACTGATGATGTCTTATCGGCGAAAGTGCCCCCCCCCACCTCCCCCTCTGAAAATGAGTGAAGAACACTGACATGGTGTGTCCCAATAGCGGCAGGCACCACGACGGTGGACAGAAGGTTGGTGCCCGGGCATCGCCTTCAACGAGGGAGACGCGAATGCTGCACTTGCGCACTGACGAACACATTGGCCGGAGTTCGCAAAAAATGTTTCTGACGGTGGAAACAACATTATCCAACGTGCGAATCGCTCCCGCAGGCTCAGTTTTTTATTTTCAAAAAAATGCACATTTACGATTCACGCGTGAGCATCTTTTTTGTTGTTGTTGTTGTTGCCAAAAATGGATAAATGTCGCCAATGTGGGATGTCTGCCAAGGTGATGTGGCACGGCTCCCCTTCAACGAGATATGAATCAGGCGACTGGGTTTGACCGAGCGCTGTGGATTTAACGAGTGTGGCAAAGAGGCACTCCAAAAAAATCGCCACCGTCTGCTACGATTTGTCTTTTTTTAAGCGCCCTGTTTTACACAATTACAAAAAATCCGAACCCACTGTCACAATATCCTCTTTGCACAATGCAGGAATTTAACCAATTGCCTTGCGGTTTTGTGCTGGGTGGGGGGGGTATTGCCAAACATTTTTTGTTACAGGGGTTTCAAAGCTGCGTCTGGTTCCCCGTAGGGGCAAGAAGAGCAGGAAGAGCAGGCGCATGCTTGAGCGAAACCAACCTCACCGTCCTGATTTATCTCAAAGAGCATCTGAATTACACTGCAGGCACAACATCAAGATAAAGACGCCCCGTGTAGCCTTAACAGATTGTAAGGAGCAAGTGCTGTTCGTGAGCGCCCATTAAGGCCGGCACGGTACACGAGGGGGTGGGTCGCCAGCACCACGTCCGGCCGCCTTTGTCTCCCCAGTGGTGAAGTTTTTATACATCGCACCAGGTACTCATTTGAGGCTGAGTCTATCTAAGGGAGGCCCAGGACCGGTTCAGATAATCGTCACGGGTGTTGGTCGTGAGTGGGAATTGAACTCGGGTCGCCGGGTTCGCAGCGCGCTCAGCGCTACACCACCGCTCCCCACATCACACATACACACACCCATCACCACCACAACACGAGCCTTAGTAAAGCACACTAATGGTAATACTGTAATAATGATGCCATTTTTGGGGGGATTAATTAGCGTTATCTTATTGAGTGAGAATACATTTTAAGACTATTTTATGGAGGGCCCTGCATTGTGAAATCCCATGCAGGAGGTAATCACAATAACTGGAGAATCCCCTCCCCCCAAGCATTGCAGGAAACAATGCCCGCATGATAGGATTAAAACACCCATTGCTGGACCGCCATCTCCCGTGAACCTCGCAGCAACAAATGAACAAAATTGTTTATTCCCAGGCGGTTTCCCATCGGAGCGCTAAACCAGACTCAAACACGCTTTGTTTCCCAAGATAGACAAGATCGGGCACATTCAGGGTAATTCGGTCGTAAATCTAGACCAGTCGTTGTGCGTGGGGTGTGACGGCATCCACATTTCTTAGCCGTGGTGTTTTGTTTCACAAATGTAGGAGGGCATCTGCGATTTGGTGAGGAGGGCAGTCCAAATGGGCCATCTCTGAGTGTTTTTAATCATCATTTCGTATCAACGGCTATTGCACACGATTCAGAATCGCGGGCATTGACAAAGAAAATGGAACAAAAACTGAAAAGTGCTCAAAGACGCGCGAAGAGGTGCCCTGCTTGGAATTAGACTGAGTGACAGGAAGACTTGTACTTGGATTGGAGAACAAACGCAAGTTAGACACAACATAATGGGTATTACGTAACCCTTTCCGATTCTGATGACTTACATGTACGACAAGCTCGTACATTTACGTATTCAGTTGTTCTTCCGGAACGGAATCAGAAAACTAAAATAAAACAACTTTATCGGTACCGAGGCTCCCACAAGGCCATACGGGAGAGCGTGTGGCACAGCTTGGCACAAGCTGTCAGAAGTTGGTCGTGTCTCTATCGTTCTCTGCCACGAGTACAGTGTCTTTACTCTGAACAAAATTAACATTGAACCGCTTGCGCGTTCCAAGATTCAGCGGTGAACGGGACCCACCCTGCAGCCTGCAGACGTCTCGGAACGGGAAAGGGTTCAAGTGGATTGTGCGGGACGCGTCGCGGCCAGAAGGGAAGACAGCCAACGGTCGAGACTGGCGAAGGAGTGGCAGCCAGATAAGCGAACACACCCAGGGGAACGTCCACCGCGGAAACCACATGACAGAATCGGCGCGCGGCAGCGGGACGCATCGCTGCATCGCAACGACCCTTGGTTGATGGGCGACGGCTGGAGGAAGCGTCCGGCCGACAGTGGATAGATCGTGGCCGATTGCGACGATGACGACGAGCCATTGGGAGGGGACACAGCCGAAAGTTTTTATTCAGAGCGCAACGTTTACGCAAATACGCATCCGGTGGCGGCAGCTGCAGCGCTTCTCTTCAAGTTTCAAGTTTCATTTGTTAGGTATAGACCTGTGAGCCATTCGGCTCTGAAATCGAGTGCAACCGCAACAAACAGAAAACAAAAACTTGAACAAGGAAACATCTTAAAGTGAATATGTGCAAACAGAAAATCCAAGATAAGACAGCAAAATATTGCAGAAAAAGCACCGTACACCAACGCTGTGTGCAAAAATCCCAGTGGGATGCAAGTCAAACAACAACAACCACAAGACAACTTAGATTAAGGCCATCAGTCTAACTCTGTACTACAACAAACATGGCCAAACTAAAAAACTTTTCGAAAATCACCATAAAATAAAGCCATGAAAGCAATGAAACAGTGCAGGTCATAGAAACGAGGGCACTGGCTGCAGGGACCCTCAGGGGCGGTGGTTCTCAACCTGGCGTGCACGTGACCCCCTGGGGGTTACGGGACGCCGTTTCTGGGTGTGTGAGACACGGCCGGATTTTTTCTGGAAGGTGAATTGTCGAAACACAAATTAAGCAGGGGCACGTAAGTACGACTACTTTGTTTCAAACCCAGTGAAGGGTTAAGGACCACTGCTCTAGGGGGAAGGTGCAAATTATCGCCAATTATCTTCCCTTTGTCTCTGCTCAATGAGCCGCGAGCACCGTCAGGTGCGCTGGCACGGGGGTTCGACACCCCCACCCCCCCCGGAATTCCTCCTCACAGTGAACGCGATTTGAAGCCACCGCGAGTATATTTCAGTTCTAACTACGGTACGCGTGTTGATGGCGGCGGCTTGGGGAAGGCCTCATCTAGCAGTGGATTGGCCATGGCTGACGACGATGTATTTGCTATAGGAATGGGGCAGTCGCGCAGTGCTGTGTAGGGGTGCTTAGGGCACTGCACTGTGAACCCAGTGACCCGGGTTAGATTTTTGGCCACGGACAACATCGGCGGCGAGTGAGATCTGAACCAGGCTTGGGCTCCCCTCCCGTCACCATCGCACACTGACCAGCTTGATGTAGTATGGTCAAACAACGCCCCCATGGCTGAGATGTCATGGGGAGGGCCTTCACCGAGTTGAGATGTGCTGTCGGGCTCTAAATGCAGGCAGTGAACATCCCCGCATGACAGTAAACGTCTCTATAAAATGGGTGCATTTTTAGGGGCAATGGAGGGATAATTTTAATAAAAGAGGCCTATGCGACTTATACTATTAAATTGTTAAACGTAAATGTAACTCAATAGCAATTATGTTTATATACATATGCACAGTAGATGTTACGACCATTAAAAACCCGGTTTGCGCGAGTTCCAATCTCAAATGAGGGTCAATGCAGCCAATCATCTCTGCTGGATAAATATAATGAGAACTTCAGTGGGACGTAAACATCAGATTGGTTATTGCCACGAGAATTTAGAATTCCCACCACTTGTTTCAGGACCACCAAATGCTGATGGCCAATTCACTCCGAAAAAGCTCAATCTCGTCAGATTTTCGAAGCTGAACAGGGTTGGGCCTGGTTGGTGCTTGGATGGGAGGCTCCCTTTGAATATCGGTGGTGAAAAGTCATCTTCCTCGCCTGGTATGAAGGAGGTTGTGGGTTTGATCCCGACCCTGATGCCTGCTGTATGTTTGGAGTCTGCATGTTTCTCTCCCTGCGGTCGCATGGATTTTTCTCCGGGTCCACCGGTTTTTCCCCTCCACATTTAGAAACAAGCTGCGTTAACAGTATTTGGCTGCTATAATTTCCACATGATAAGCCACTTTATTGAACTATCATTTGTGGCCAGGTTGCTTCTGAAAAATAGCTACGTAGCTAAGTGGCCCTTACATGGTACAATTTAAAAAATAAAATAATATATAGTTTTTAATAGTTATATTCTTTGGGTCTTTCGGTAAAGCCACGTAGATAGAAAGAAAAAAATATATCACACAAGTTTCGATCGCAACACAAGCAATCGTCCTCTTTTCTCACCTGATGACGATTGTTTGTGTTGTGATCGAAACGTCGTGATATTGTTATTATTTTTATTTATATTATTTTTCTATCTATGTGGCTTTACCGAAAGACCCAAAGAATATGAATTCCTGCAGTCACGAAAGCTTTACGTCAAGATTTTTAATAGTTGTTTGCTTGGGCTGGGAAACACCTAGGAGATGGTAGCACTGCAATAGATGCTTGATCGTAGCTATCAGTATTATCAGCTCATTTCGTTTGTGGGTTATCTCCGGATACTCCAGTTCGATCCCACATACCACTCGTGGCCATTCGTCGCAATGCAGGCCCCTCTCCCGAGAATAGACTTGAGTCTCAGTGAGGCTTTCCCTGGGTAAACAAAGGGCATTACTTTCAACACGATTGACATGGCCAACTTATTTGAGTAGGCAAAACGTTGGCCTCGGACGCTGACCCACCTCGATGCCAGCGGCAGCCAGCACCCATCGAATGGACTCCATGCGTCCACGTCCATCGAAGTAAACGAGCTTTGCCTTCGAACTCATGGTGGCTCCCCGACACTCTTGTCCCTGCACCAGCCTGGCTCTCGCGATCTCTCCTTGCTGCTCTGTCTCCGATGCTGCTGCTGCTGCCGTTCCGCTCTTCCTCCTATCTCTCGCTTTCGCTCTCCCTCACTCTTTATCTCGTGTCCTCCCAGCTCCTCTAGATTCTCTTTCAGCTCCTGCACACGCTGCAGACAAAACAGATCCCCGTTGTTGTACAAGAAACGTTCAATCCTCTCTGTCTGCGGTCTTTTGAGAGCCCGCGGTCACTTACATGCGCCGTACGTATTATTGACCAGCGCGGTGAAATATGGTCAACTAACCCTCGCGATCCGCACCAGTCCGGGGATTCCGTCACCCAAAATGGCTGTTTCGTGTGCTCCAGGCAAACATGGGAGGAGTGGCATTACTGATTGGAACACTGAGCACCAAACTCGGTGGTCTAAAATAAAGTACTGGCCATGGCTGATAACTGTGGTGGGTGATATCTGAACCAGTCCTGCCCCCCCAATCCCCCCCCCTTTACGAAACCACCACTGGTGAAGTGTGAATTGTGGTCATAATCCGCGTGACTAACACGGCACGGAGAAGCTGACAGTGGAATGACAACGAGCTGTTCACAATAATATCCAAACAAAAATTGAGGAATTGTGTTGGCAGTAGTGCGCAAGCGCATATCAAATAAACTTCCCGTTAACCTACCACATGTACAGTATGTATGTATTCTAGATTTGAAGTTTTAGTGACTGGTTTAATCGGTAAAGTCACGTCGGTAAAAAACAAAATTAATTAAATTAATGTAATTTATTTAGTTAAATTAATTTACCAGTGCTCCTGCCGCCAAAACAAAATAAATTAATTTAAAAAGGCACGTAGGTAAAAAAATAAATAAATTGAGTTAGAAATTTTTATTTAATTATTTTATTTTTTTACCTACGTGACTTTACCGAAAAAAAACAAAAAGTATGTATGTATACAGCAATGTTTATTATGCACCTGGTAAATTATTCTAATTATTTTACATGTAAATGTGAGGACCATGTACATGGAAAGTAATGAGAATAATTATTCTAATTATTTTACATGTAAAATACTTAGAATAATTTACACCACTGTCAATCTACGTGCTATGAAGAATGGCCATCGCCCAGGCTCCAACTGGTAAGGAGTTCAAATGCACCGCCTGCCTCAACGCGTGCAGGTCAAGGGTCGTCCTGTCCAACTACCAGTGCTCCTGCCGCCACCTACATGGACCTCAAATTCCTCCCCGATCTTCGTAAGCGAAGAACCTTTGAAGGCCACAGTGTTATTGACAATCGTGTTGAGTTTTTGTTGTTGTTGTGCTTGTGGACCACTGCTAACGCAGAAGCAGCAGCACGACCAAACAATTTGTTAAAAAAAAATCCGCTCCTAGATTTGACCATACTTCAGTGCAGATTGAATATTGGAGGAGAGGGAGCCCTCCAACGGATTCAGGTATCACTCACCCACGGCTGGGTATCAGACTCGGGTTGCTGGGTCCATAATGCTGTGCGCAAACCACTGTCCCCACTTCTCTACCCCTGTTTGCGGGTCCGTTTCGTCTCTGAAAGGAAACGGGATTAGCGCGCTGTGGCAAAGCGCTCCACTCACAACCAGCATATCGCAGCTTCAATTCCCATTCGGTTTCACTCAGCCCACCATCGTCGTCATCATCTCTCATGGGCCAAGGCAATTAACGAACCACTTTGGAAAGTCCATAGGGGTCGACTTTTGGCGAGGCTGGCCACTACCACCATGGGAATGCGGATTTTCCACCACTAGCTCAGGGCTATAAATGGACATGGGCACCGCCCAAGACTCGACTGATCGTGGCAGCATTTCCCTGTGTTGTACATGCAGGATAGCGCCCCTACAATACAATTATTTTGGAATTTTTACACCCGTGAAATCGCATAGCATCGATAATATGCTGCAAATGATGGCATCGTATTGCAACAATTTAACGTAACGATGACATTGCCCGGTGGCAACTGCAGTTGTGCGTCATGGTTGACACTGCCCTGACACCCAAGTGCTTCAATCCATCGTCGGCGATTGACAACCCCTAAGCCTGGCGACTTTAATGGCTCAAGCGAACACGAGGAAACAAAAGGAGAAAAAACAAGCGGAGGAAATTCGAATCGGAGGTGGTGGGGTGGGTTCGTGTGCAATGAACCGTGAGTCTGAACGACAGACACGGTGAATCGAGCTCAATTTCTTCACCTAAAACAATCAAACAATGGGGGCCCAGGATGACCGGCGCTTGAATTCCCACAACCGCGCACGGAACGGCGATGGCATTCGTGAGAACATAAAGCGGGGGTGGGTGTTTACGTTCACCAAAGCGACGCATTTGGACATTGGCTTTTAGGAATAGAACGACAACCGCGTGGAAGGAAGCAGGAGACCGCGCCTGCTGTGCTGCACAACACCGCGCTGCTCAGACAACAATGTATTTAGGTGTACTGCCCTCCGCTGCCCTGAACGCCTATTACACCCCTCTTTTGCACATGACGAGCCGGAGGCAACCCTGCATGCAAGACATTCGATTTAATGCCCATGGAGCCTCATGGTGTATGCTGGAGAAGCAATGTAAATGCATCGATTCCTAAGCTCACGATGCATGCGTACAATGTGTAATTGATCATTTGCAATCAGCAGACGTTATAGGCGAGCGGTTCCCGTCACCTCCTGTAGCCACTAGCGGGCACTCCCCATTGTCAGCAATACAAAAATAATAATTCCAGAACAGAATTGAGAACACCAAATTGCACCAGATTTCACAGAGCCACCGACCGGGTTTAACCATCACAAGCCTCATGTGTACGAATCAAACTTTACTGCTTGATTATGAGACAGCCGTTACACAATCTTCTGTACCTTGCCCTCAGAACCCGGTGCCACATTTTCTTGCCCTCTCTCTGCAATGAGCTTCGCACGGATAATTTACGTTTCATACGCGCGAGGCCGATTAGCCCGATTGGCAACGTACGGCGCGAAATAAGTTCAACTTACTTTCGTATAGTAACAATTATGCCATTTATTTATTATCAAGGAAAGTCTCACCGAGTCTCAAAACTGTTTTTAGCAGTGTCTCGGCATTGAGAAGTTTTTGACAATTCCCATCAGTGCACTGGTGGTGACCACCCTATAGTCTGTGGCTACGCGAGCCCCAGCACTTCAAATTTTCCCCCAAACTAAATGAATCCCTCATTGCAAGCACACCAGCCGCACTGGAGGCGAATACTTTAGAGCTGTCTATAGTATTATCCCTGCGCTCTCAGCCACTTCACTGCCTCTTGCAGGCACAGAAGTGACTGGGGTGTGTGTCCGTTAATGTGTAGGGAGTGGTGGCGGTGGTGTAGTGGTTAGCGCGTTGCGCGTTGCGCTATAAACCCGACGATCAGGGTTCGATTCCCGCTCACGGCCAACACCAGCGATGATTATCCAAACTGGTCACGGGCCTCCCCTAGATCGACTCAGCCTCAAATGAGTATCTGGTGCGGTGTGTAAACTTCGCCACTGGAAAGACAAAGGCGGTCGGGCGTGGTGCTGGCCAACCACCGCCTCGTGTGCCGTTCCGGCCTTCATAGGTGCTCGCTAACAGCACTTGCCCCTAGAGTCTGTTAAGGCTACAGGGGGTGGGGGCGGTCTTTGTCTTCGTCCGTGAAAGGTATTCAAATGTCCTATTCAACCCTCAGTACGGACCCAGTATAAACATTCAACGCTTGGCCATTGTTGATCTAAAGGTTCCAACCACAGCCCAACGTTGCATTTTTACAGGGGGGGGGGGGGTCTCTGAGCCCCCTTCCACGAACGCTTTGCGTGTGAGAGGAAAATGTGGCACCCTGAGAAAACCCACCACTCATTCGAGGGAATAGCACTCAAGAATCAAAACATGGGTTCACAAGCCACTTTACTGCCATCTCCTGGCCATCATCGCAGCCGCGCTGGCTGTGGGAGCCACACAAATGCCATTCACCAACCCTTGCCTCCGACTCGTTGGGTGACGGGCTTTTTATGCACGTTGAACTTCTATCGCAGCGTACATAGCCAACGTGTTGATGATGCTGATACATGGAATGGTAAGCATTCAATTCGCATGTACAGCACAAACACAATAGTACAATATTACAATGCTACGTACGTATGTGCAGTTCACTGCTTTACGTAAAATTCAACAGATAACAATATGCGGTTCGGAACACGCGTGCCATCACACATGCCACATGCATGCATGACTATAAAGGAGAAGTAACATTTTATGACAGCACACGGTTGCTGTGGGGTCGTGATGACTGGTGCGAGAGAGACTATATAAATCTATCCGGAGGAAATTGCGGTCGCGTTCTGTTTGCAAATCTGCAAGTGACCTCCATTCAAAGGCTGTCTCGCAGCGTTCAATGGGGGCAATCACAATGCTCAAGTCGTAAAGATATATCATTTGAAAGACATTCACGTAGAAAAAAAAACACTTTTTCGGTGGAAGTAGGGGAGTGGATCCTACTTGTAATATTTTGGCCAATTCTTCTTTTTTGAGTTTGTGATGTTGTTGTTGTCCATGTGGGAGAATACCCACACAGACCTGGTCAGACGACATTTACCATAAAAAACACTCACTCAAGACTTTTTGCACAACATTGTTAGCCTTCTATACAAACCCCAAATTCGAGGAACACAATTGTGTACTACTGCAGGGAGATTTAAACAACAACAAAATACCAGCGATGCACACTGCGGACAAGACACTTGCAACGAAGGTTTAGAATTTGCACGTGAACAACAACAACAAACACCATTGAATGATGTGACCCTGACCTTCGGGCAGCCGAGTCGGAGATTTGACAATCCGCTTCTGTGACCTGTGATGGCCGTGTCCCAGTCCTCTCCACACACACACACCTGTGTGACCTGTGAGAAATGGCTCCTCCTGTGTGCGTCTAGCTACTTTTTTTTAAACCAGCACCACCGTCTTCCCTCTCCCCCCTCCTCCCATAGAGCTCATCCACCCACTGGCTCAGTCGGGGCCAATGGGAGGCGGGAGCGAGCGTCCCTGCCCTCGTCTGTGATGCAAGAGACGGGGGTGTGGAGGGGGTAGGAGGGGGGGGCAAATGTGGGAGGTGACCGGAGGGGGTTAGGATGGCTCTTGGGGGTTCGGTGCGGGGAAAGGGCCTGACAGTGAAGCTCCCGAAGGCAAATCCATCAATATCATTTTGTTTCAACAGGTGCGGCCAATTGAAATTCGTGACATTTTGTGATCAAAGTAATCTTTGCGGTGAGTTAATCTTAAAAGTTGGACATTTTTGGCTTGCGCAAAGGCATTCACGGGCCAAATATTCGAATTACACATTTTATTTTACCAGGTAAAGCTAACTGAGCTGAGAGCTATTTTTCAGAGGTGACCTGCTCACACAATGGCTCATCACAGTGGCGTATATCATCACGTGGGAATTTATAGAAGTAAAACAATGTAAAAGTATTTTTTTTATTTAGAGGACAAACCCGGAGAAGCCGGAGAAAAATCCACGCCTACCATGGGGAAAGAGAACTTGCGACCTCCAAACATACAGGTGCCAGGGCCGGGATCGAACCCATGGACCTCCTGTATACCAGGCGAGATAGTTAACATTTCGCTACCATGGTGCCCCAATGGCATTGCAAATGAAGCACATTGCAGACTTAAGAAGCTTTGAAATAAGATACCGTACAGTATTGTGTCGAACAAATGTTCGTGGGCATCTTGCGTACCAGGCGAGAGCGATAACATCTTTAAACACGCGCCTTACACGAGGCAACGCACCATCTTCCACAAAGCCCTCGAAGAACAATTCCAAGCGACGTAACAGGAACCGAAGCCATGAATTGCATGTTAACTAGCTCGGAGGCAAGCATACCGATTGATCAGCTCTCTTGCATTGTTAAAGGGGACATATAAGTCACGCGGCACCACGAGACGCCATCCCGGCAGCGACCAGTCAGCGGACACAATCGGGTCACCATGCAGAAGGAATGCTACTCTCAAGTAGATCGCTCCGCACCATTGACAACTCCACGATCGTAATGCGGGTCCTGAGGTTATTCATTCTGACAGGTCTTGTGCTCATATGACGGAGGTTTTCTCCACGATAACGGGGGGTTTTAAAGCACCAGGATTGTGGTTCTAAGGTAAAATGCAAATAAAAAAAGTGAGTGGAATTTTGACGAACTATTTTATCCTCTCCCATAGAGATTTTAGTTGCGATATTTAGATCGCTCTGAGCCTGAGCAGACTTCCATGTGTCAAGGGCAAGTGTCACACCACATGTATCCATCGCATGTCTGCTCGCAAGCAATTGAATCACACTCGACTGTACACTTGATTACCACTGCTTGAAAATGTGTCCAATATTATCACAAGTAATTTTATTACGTCTCGTCTCTCCTACTTTTGGTCCAACTTTGCCATCGACGTCGCAAGGCTGAAGTGTCGGTGTTGGCTCGGTGCACTGGACCTCTCAGCCCATTCACTTACTCGAGCAAGTCTTTTGTAATTCACGATCTCTTGATTAGTGTGAAAAAACCCACTAATAATTGCCAAGTCATCTTTACCTGCCACACTTGAAATGCAAAAAACTCGGAAAAATGTGCTGATTCACCTACCGTCAGTCACATCTGTACGGGTGGCTCTCGTCTAGCAGTGGATGAAGGTAGATGAATGAGTGAATGTTGAAATAAACCATAAACTGCGACCTCTCTTCCTGAGTCATAGCAGGGAGTGGCCACCCACAGACCCATACATCGTTATTTTAATTTCGTCTCGACTCTCTCAAGGTACGACATATACATTTTTTAAAATATGTTCTGGATCAGCGTGTTACCAGAACACATGCATACATACTTTTGTTTGTGTGTGACGTATGTGCAGTGCCTGGCACAAGTGATGCCTGAAGATTAACACAAAAAGGGCGTGCACACACCTGTTGAAACCACTATCGATGCATCAGCATTACCGTCTTCAGTAGAAGGCATCAATGCCACAACTCAAAACAAACGCAATCAAATGTACAGCCCGTTTGTCAACAGACTACTAAACCATTTCTATTTTTATATTCTTGATTCTTTCGGTAAAGTCACGTAGAAGGGAAATAATACAAATAAATTTAGAAAATATTTTCTTGATGTGGGGTTCACACGTGATGATTGCTTGTGTTGCAATGGAAACGTCGTGAGAATTTGATTGTTTTATTTTTATTATTTTATTACTTCCCTTCTACGTGACTTTACCGAAAGAACCAAGAATATAAATCCCTGCAGTCATGAAAGCTTTCGAAATTCATTTTTTTTTATTTTACCAGGAAAGGCCCACCGATCTGTATGAATCTTTTTCAGAAGCAACCTAAACACAAAAGCTTATCACGTGGAAATGTTTGGCAGTCAAATACTTAGAAAACATGTTTCTAAAAATATGGAAGGAAACCCGGAAAAGCGGGAGAATAAATCCACGCCTACCATGGGGAGAGAGACACACAAACTCCAAATATACAGCAGGCGTCAGGGTCGCGATCGAACCCACGACCTCCTGTATACGATGAAGGTCTTCTGTGCCGTGTTGGTAACGGCAGTAGCTCAACCACAATTCACTACGACTGAACACGTACGGCCCGATTCGATCCACTGCTGGATGAGGGCCATCCCACACCTTGAGGGCGACAAGGGACACGTGACCAAGAATCCACGACGACTGGTCAATGCGGGTTGGTGAAGGGTAGGGGAGCGCAGAATGGATTCAGTTGCGGGTTCCTCTGCTGCCCACAACACACCAATGACAGCCTGCTTAGCTTACGCGATCTGATAAGATCGGGCACATTCCGGATGATTTGGTCATTGAAGGCACGACAATCAACTCTCCACGGAACAGGTTTTAAACATAGGTTCATTCCTGAATAAACCACAGTACATTTATTTTTATAGCATGTAAATGTTTTCGGAAAAAAACTATATACATTAAAACGTTTATACATCAGTTGCTGTAGTACAAGGTTAATACACGATATTAAAATAAAACTTGACCGTGAAAACGTATCAAGGTAGTTGAAGGTGAAGAGTGGTATTTTCCATAATCTTGTTTAACATATTTTGCACATTATTCAAATGTTTTCCCGAACTTTTTTTGCAATAAAACCGCATTATTTTTTTGCTTAAGTCTACACATTCCATGTGCACCCCAAAGTGTCTCCCCGTATCCAATTAGCAGTTGGCTACGTACGGTTCGAAAGATGTTCAACATAGTTACATACATACGTCCCATTAAGCTTCCTTTGGTTATGAATAAGGCTTGGAATTACACCGACACACACGAAGCAGCACATGCTAATCAAAACAAGCACGTTCAGAAAAAAAAAACCACGTGTGCTTGGGCAGGACACATGGCTGATGGAAGGCTGGCAAGACTGGTGATGGAATGTTAGCCAAAAAGTAAAATGCACCCAGGAAGTCTATCAGGCAGGTGCAATGATGAGATCAGTTCACCCAGCGATGAGATATATTCACCTCCGATTATCAGGGTTGGCTATGTATGGTGCAAAAGAAGTTCTACATACACACGCACATATGGATTGCAGCATTGTAGGAGTGTGAGCAAGGGATGACAATGGCATGGGAATACCTTCATCATGCAGAAGTAGTTGCCGCTGCTCATGATTGTTACGCGATTCACATATGTCAGTGACAAACTTAGAACGAGTCACTATGTAGTATTGTTCGACAATCCATAACAGAAGAACTGCTATTAATTATGATGAAGTCCGGGGACATAAATAGAGATGCTCTACTCTCACTGCAATAACAATGTAAAAAATAAACATGCCAGGCAGCATGTCATATTATTTTCCTCGGGTAGACAGACATCTGCCAAGTTGAACCAAGGGCTCTTACTCCATACGTCCACAGACTGAGATGTTTTCTTTGTCGTCGCGCACACGAGTATTACTCCCATAAAAACCTTCTACCATTCTATTTCACTTGTCACAAAAAAACCGAACACATAGCAGCTCAACATATATTCTGTACACACACATACACATCGTATTCATTATATACACGACACTAGTGGAAACTTGAAATAACAAGGCTATCCAATGACAAAAACAACAATGAGAAAAGCATGCAAAATAAAACAACCATTTTCTCGAAAAACCAGCCTCCTTTAAATAAACGCACGTGGCAGATCCGTGCCCAGAAAGTAAACAATTGAAGTTGATTGCAAGTTGGTTTGTGTAACACCGCCATCATATTTGGTCAAAAGGGAACGTGTACACAAGCGTAGTTAAGGCAACTACACGAAACAATTGAGGGGATATAAACTGCATGCGCTCTAAGTTATGGACTTTGGATCATTGTTACAGCTCAGATGCGTCTTCTCGGGCTGTATCTCGTGCCGAGCTTCAAGCTCCCAGCACGTGCGGCTAAAACGTCGGACATCGTGCCGAACGACATGCGGCGCGACCCGAAAATCTCATCAGAAAACGTACACAAGTATAACCCGTAAAAACAAAGTTTTTCACTATAAATCCTTTATATGCGTGGCGGCTATTGTCCTCTCGTCCTCTGGCTTGAGATGGCTGCCACCTATGGGTCAGATGATTGCATTGCACCATTAAGCAATTGGTAATTAAATATATTTTGGCCCTAAAAAGTGTAAAATTTTGGGAAAATTTTCACGAACATTAATTGTCACTTCACAACGAGTCTGTGTGGAAAATGTCATCTCGATTGGATCACGGGAAGTGGGTTAAAAAACGACCGAAAGATTTGCACGGTCGTAAGCAAGCATGCGAACTTAATATAAAGGATTTAAAAAAGAAGTCGTATCTTCTTCACCCCCTTCTCCAATTTATCGTGCGCGCAGCCACGCGATGCGGTGGGGCCAATCGCGCTCGCAGGCCCCATCGGCGCAAGTTTGGCACCTTTTGCAGTTGTAATGGAGAGGCGGCATCCCGAATGAATCACGTTTTGTGATAGAGTGGAGAGGTCGCCCGAGAAAAATGTACATTCTCCCTCCGAAAGGAACTCTTTGTAAGAACACACGAGGGACGAGAGATAAAATATGAGGCCGAGGTAACTGTGAGTCGGTGGCGATGTATAAGAGCAAACGACTGTTCCGAACGGGGGGTCAAAACATTAGAAAATCATCATGAAACTATGTACAGACGTAATTTGCGTGAACTTTCGATTCCACCATAAACACGAACGCGGTACTCGTGGTGGAAACTATTGAGCAGCGTCACGTACAGCGGCCGGTGAGGTCAGAGCGGGTGTGATTGTAACCAACCACTGGAAATTCCCAAGACGCAACGGAGATAAACGTGACGGCAAACACTGATTTGATCCATAATGGAGCTTGCAATGTCCTCAATCATACTCATGATTCGCTTCGCTCTTACAAGAGTAACTCTGACACGTAGCCAAGATCTTAGAAGGACCTTAATACACTCTTGGGCTACAAATCATCTCGCAATTAATAACGGTCGCAGATTTCGCATTATAGGTCTTCACATTCCTCTTCAAACATATGGAAGAAAGGGAGCAGATTTCTCAACCTAATCCCTCCCTGAGCAATCAGGGCAGGTCTTGGTCAGCTGCACACATCCACACGCAAGATAAAAAATACGACAGAACCATTAGAATGCTGTTGCATTGTTTTTTGGAATTGTACTATCACCAAAAAAATTCTACATTATGCAATTGAGATGACTTTAATATAGCTCCGAGACAGTGAGTGCCACTGATGTGTAGGTTGGTCGCGGTTGTGCTAGCTCTCTCTCGATGCGTTTTCTTTTTGGATACACTGTGCGTTGTTTGGTGCTATGTCTGACGTTTTCATACACGTGCTCGGAGCGTCTTCCAGTACCCCGAGCGTCAGTTCCTGAAGCTTCCGGCACGCGGAGTGAAACGTCGGACATGAATCTGAGCAACAAGAACTCGAAAACACCTCGAAGAGCTGCCGAGGTGAATGACCATCGCTTTAATTAATATCTGTAAAACGGGGAGAAAGTGAAAATCAACACGTGGGTTGTTGCCTCCTCCCAGCATGCCCATTAAGGAAAAGTCAAAATCTCCCCAATAAGTGCCCGATTATTTTGAAAGCTCTTCCGGTCGCTTCACTAACAGCTCCCAGGAATGAATTGGGTTGCGTGGCGGCACCCTGTTACAATATCATAGGCAATTATGACGCAGTGAGTAGCGACGGTGCAGGAACCACATTGCTCGGCATCAAAACCTACGCACACAACGCACCCACGTACGTATGTACGTATGCATGCAGGGCTGCGTGTGGCTGTGACGTCGATAAAAAAAACCTGACAATTAAATTACTTTTAGGTGTCTCCCCACTTATCACCTGCGATGACTTTCATCCTGCGGATGGCACCCATCAAAAAATTACAACGCCCACACGTCTTCCTGTCACGCGAAGAGCGACTGACATTTCAGTTTGACCTTAAATTATTCCTGAAGTGACATGCTTTAAAAAAACATGCTTAAAACGGGACAAAATTTTTATTACTTAACCATTGCCTTGCATACAAATTAAATGTGAATACTATGCATAGTTTTATACTTTAAAGGCACCCAGGAGCACATTGTATCATATATGGACACGGTTTTAATGCAATTAAAGTAACACAAATAGTATTTAACACCACAACCAATGCGTAATTCCCCAGATATCGTCTGCTAAAGAGATGCATTATCCCTCACATGGAGTTATCCGACTTCGTTATTTAGCACCTCTGCATTCTCGTGTGTTCGTGATGTGGTTTAGGAGATCACGCAGACATCATGTACACGAGACTTTCAATTTCAGGGCTACACATCATGTCATAAAAAAGGCACTGTACCAAGCATCACGTTAACCGATGTGGATGTATCATTGTTATCCACAAATGAGTACGTTTTAGCCAGGTGCTGTGCTTTCCTTCCCCAGGAAGGAATTGGTCTAATACTCCAAAAGCAGTATGACTCAGAAAAATTTTTAGACTCACATGGGCGAAGGAACGGAGGTGGTGGAGTGTGCAACAGCCCCAACTTTTGGACAGGGGAGTAGTGGCAGGCCAAATGCTGTTTCCCCTCGATTAGTAATTTTCATGGACCTCATTGGCTACTGAGTGGGGGGGTCTCCACGACTACTTGCTCCCCAACTTCAAAATCGCTACCATGTGTCCCTCAAGAAGTCGGCTAAGGCTTCCCTCCAAAGACAAAATAATTAATTGTCAGGTCATCTAACCTTGCACCACAACCGCCAGCATCGCGCACAGCCGACGACACTGCACGATGGGCACGATAAGTATGCCGATGCCTTTAATTTGCACATCCCACACTTGGTCCCTAGCGACAGACACACAGACAAGGCGTATCACGACTGTCACAAACGATGCAATCACTTTGAAAGCGTGAAAACAAATATAAAGTGAACCACTCGCAATTGTTAAGAGTCTAAATTTCATTGAAGGATCTTACGAACATTACATTGTGATAAACAGATTGCCGTTTAAACCCTCTGCAGAATAATAACGTGTTGGTCTGCCAATTGGCTGGGCGGCTCAGAGGTCTGCACACTGAGCGAGCGCTGTTGAGATCATGGGTTCAACTCCAGGCAAACGCCAGTGATGAAACCAGGTTCAAAGTGTCCCAAGTTGATGGTTCTCAGCCTGGTCACCAATGACTGCACGAAAAAAGCGAATCAGATTACGTTTGGTTCTGTACTCAATGTGGCTACATTTCCAGCTCTGAGAAACAAAAAAAAATGTTTCACTATCATATGGCAAACATGTGTCCCAGTTGCAGGACAGCAATTGGCAAAGCGCTGCTCCCAAATGTGCAAACCAGACGTCACTTGAAGAGAACTCAACATAAAGAGTTGCAATGTTCTGCAAGAGATCCCCATATGGATGCTTCTTCTTCGTCCTGTGACATGACACTGTTAGCACAATGGCTATACATTTGGGATTCTTTTTTGAAACATAGGCTGAAGAAATTGGACTTTAGAAAGGAATCCTTTAAGGATGCCAATGACGCTGTGTTCTTTTATTCGGAACTTTCAGCGTGATATTTGCAATATAAAATAAGTATTGTTCCAAAGCATTCATGCCTTCCTATGTGTTACAAATGACATTCAACGATAAAAACATAACACATAGAGAAACACAGAAAACTGAATTTTGCTTTTGCGTTGCTGCGTGTACATTACTGGACCATGAAAAAAACAATGCAGTCACTGCATAAAAAAAACACAACGTTTATTTAAACTGTTCAAAGGCACTCACTCTCGTGATAATGATCCTCATAGTTCTGCAGAAATTTGATTTGTGAGTCAAAACCCTTTGAAACAGGGTGGCCCGCTTGCTCCGCACCGCTTTTGACATCCGCAGTTCGAGCTGCACTGCTGCTCTGCTGGAGCTGCTGCTGCTGTACGGTGAGGCCCGACTGGGCGGATGAGCCTGGCTGCTCGTTGCCGCCACCCTGCGTTTGTGCCGCCCCGCGGTTCGACCCCAAAGCCTCGGCCTTCCTGTCGGGTCCTCCGAAGAACGACGAAATCTTGCTCTGACCTGAAATGGTGTCCCTTTTCCCAGCATTCTGAGACGCTGGAAAGGGGAATGACTCAAAAACGTCAGATTTTAGTCACGCACTAATTTCTAAACGAATATAACAGAGCCACGACGATTTGAAAGACTTCAAATATTTAACTGCTAGTGCTATAACTACTAGACATATCACTCACGGTTGTAGCAAAAAAATATATAACATTACTGAGAATAAAATTATGCTTACCCATTCTTAAATAATGTTCTCATAACAAGTTAGTAAGTGCTCCAACATTGTAACACCAAGGCATTACACACATTGATATGAGGAGCTAAAGAGCGGAAACACTTATCATAACATTGCTGCATTGAACCAGATGTTCATGTTGTCACGATCTAGCGACGTCCCCATCTACACAGCACATGACCTCTGGCTCCATGTGGGAGGAGGGGGAGGGAAGAGTGGGGGGGGGGGCAGGGAGATACGGTGAGGCCACACATGTTAAGTAAAACAAAAAGAAGCATTGTTGAGGAGGCACACTGCAGCTGAAGGGATTTGACTATCTTATCTGAGGGGACGGGATAAGGCACTTGAAAAACGTGTTTTAATGTGTGACGTGTAATTTTAACAGTAAAAGCATGTGTTAAAAAGGCATACACTTTCTTATTATTGAAATTAAGACCTTAGCTGCCCCACTGTGGAAATGCTGGCTCTTTCCCACAGCAGCTAAATACAGGAAGGCTGTAATTAAGCATCAATTCATCAGTCAATTGCTGATTCTTAAGCTCATGCATCAGATGTCGTGTATAAGAATCAATACTTTTATATCCACACATGGGTGTATAGAGGGGGGGGGGGGAGCTGAGAGACAATTGTACCGCTTTCTTAAGCCACCAGTTAAGTTGATACGCTGGTTCGGGTGTGGTGGGATCAACTGTGGGTCCACTAAAACACCTGACCGGCGTTCAAGAACAGCCCAAACATCTTCCCAGAGGGGAACTCGAGATCATCCTCTCGTGAGAGGCCCTTCTATCAGCAGTGGCATGAGCAAGTCACTGCGGGGCCACATCTTTCTATTTCATGTTTTCGTTAACAGGTCCACACAGCCCATGCACCATAAGAATCCACAGGGTGAATTTTTTTTTATGATCAGAGACTGTCAAGATTGCCATCCCTTGCCTTTACTCGTGACAGGGTGGACAGGCCAGTCAATGCCTTACCTGTGGAGGCTGGGGCACCAACTCCATCTGACCGAGCCTTCTTTGCCTGCCTGTGGCTCCAGTCGCAGCCTTCGCCCGTAAGGTCACGGCACACTCCCTCAAACTTCTCCCGGTGCTGCTGGAGGATGAACACCGAGAACTCTGCCGCACGCACGGTTGGGGCACAGATAAGGTCGTCGTTGTCGGCTATTCAAAGCAGTGCTGAGAACGTGCGTTTATGACGTGCGATGCTATGCTCGCCCATGAATGCGAGAGAAATAAAGCTCGTTGGCCCAGGTGCGGCCCCGCACAGCTCAGCTCTTGCCCCTCGCACAGCTTTATTGTATGCATGTTGAACTTCTTTCACACCGTACGTAGCCAACCGTGCTAATGGGAGGTGCGGGGAAAGGACGACAAACTAAACACAAAAAACAGTTTGAAAGAAATGAGCTTTCAATCTAGATAACATCGGAAGGAGGAGCGTTCCAGATGGCCGCAGAAGCGCATCTGAAAGTGCGCAGTGACCATCTTTGTTCGATGGCGAGCTAAAGGCCACTGCGAGGATGACCGAGTTCGCGTGATGGTTCATGCTCCTCGAAGCTTCACGAGTCAGTGCATGGGTTCTACCCCTCCTGCTCCCTCCCCCTGCCTCCCCTCCCATGGCAAGAGAGACAAGATGGTAAAAAAAAACCATGTTTTTAACAGCGTTCAAACCATGTTTTTGTTAGGCTATGCTATCGCAATACTATTATCCATTCATTTAGTGCAGCTTCTCTTGACCTCAGCAAGGAATGCTTGACTGCATATCTCATATCCGTGACGATTACATCACATCCACAATTGGTTCCCAGGGCAGACAGGCTAAGAGCCCAGTTGGTGCTGGTTTCGCGCTGTAAGGCTTACTGTGAAACTCCAGGTGGCAATCGCCTAGTTTGCAAACATGCCTGGCTTGCTTCCCAAAAGTCATGGGCAACGTGGCAACTGCCCCCTTGCTCAAATGAGCATGAGGCAACGATGTGCTCTGTTATTAGCCAGCGCAAGGCTTCCGACAAAGAGTGGTGTGCGTTGGGTTATGGCCGTGCCTCCAATCCAGCACTTTGGAGGAAAAAGTTTCACATTTCCTAAATGTCCGCAATAGAGATGGCAGTACAAAATATTGATTCTTGAATTCATCTGTACGAGCCTGTGAGTGTTAAACCTCTCGTATACATGCGAGTTTTCTCCAGCTATTCCGGTTTCCCCCCACAAACCAAACACTAAATGGGTGGAATTGGCCAAACATTCCAAGACAGAACCCTCCTGACAAATAGGTGTGCGATTCAATGAGGCTTTCCTGGATAAACAAATGGAATTATTACTTTTTGGTATCTTATAAACCCGACAAATATCTGGGGCTGAGTCAACCCCCATGCAGGATTTAAACTCACGAGTGTCGAGGGCCTTCATCACAGAACGACAAAAACAAAAGACAAAGATCCCCGTTTAGCCTTCACAGACTGTTGGGGCAAGTGCTGTTAGCGAGCACCTATGAAAGCCAGAACGGCACACGAGGGGGTGGGTGTCTAGCACCATGCCCAGCCGCCTTTGTCTCCCCAGTGGCGAGGTTTTTACGCACTGCACCAGGTACTCATTTGAGGCTGAGTTGACCTCAGGGGGGGGGGGGGGGGGCCCAGAACCGGTTCCGATAATCGTCACTGGTGTTGGCCCTGAGCGAGAATCGAACTCGGGTCACCAGGTTCGTAGCGCAGCGCACTAACCGCTACACTACCGCTCCCCAAAGAACAACTTGACCATGACCACATGCATGATTATTTCTATGGACTAATTTCGGTCATTGTTCGCAAAATAAATGTAAGTTCATCTCTTTTGTTCACGTAAAAGCTTGTTAGATACGTTAATGTTACTTGAAAAAAGGCAAACCAAGAAATCACTGCCCATCTGTTTGTACGCTGTTTGTTTTGTTAGCCTTTAAACTTAAATGCATGTATAGTATGCCCCCAAGGGATTGTATTACATCCCATGTGACAGTTGAGTGGTTCCACTATCAGACAGAAGAGAAACCTAATCCTACTAATGATTGATGCGGTGTGGGTAGAATATTTCCTACATACACGGGACATGTTTAATTTATACAACATTTTTGCTATCAGAAAATATTTCAAAACGTATATATTTTTGGGGTAAACGTACACAAGCTTTCAGATATGTTAAGTCTGGATGAGTTAAGAGATTTCTACAGTTAAAATTGGGTAAATAAAAATGTAAAAATACCCCCGACGAGACGTGTGCACGGAGCAGCGATTCCTAAAGTGGACACTGAGAAGGCTAAGGTGATGCTAATGGGATCCCGGTGAAATGGCCAATCAATCATTCACGATGATGTGTATCATTGGGTCAGCATTGTTCCCCTCATAAGGAATGAGGGAATACATAATTTCAATTAAGAAGCAAAAACATCCACCTTTTAGAGAATGGGGATTTCTCACTTCACGAGTAATGAGATTGATGAGATTACTCAGCCTACATCCATTAGCTCTTTCACAAGCATGTCACCAGAGTATAATAGTGCTTGCAATTTAGCCCCATTCTCAGGAATGGCACACATGCCTCAAAGTAAATATGACCCTGTACTCACACACAGTAGATAAAGGTAGTAGTAAAATAAACTGAGGAAAAATTACACCGCTGAAATGCCTCGATTGTAAACCTCTTCTGATGAAACCAAACACACGAAATCTCAAGCCCACTACGACGGCAACTCGAGAATACACGATAGTACCTCTCGACACGTCTGTTTTTAAATCCGAAACACCAAAACATTCCCTTGAAGTGTGAATTCACGAAATGTTTTGGAAATCAACGATGACAAATCTAAACAATCGACGTTAACAAAGTCCATATAATTGCCTCAGGGTGCGACAGTCAGCCAGGGGCAAGGTGGCCAAGGCATCACATGCGTGTGAATGGTAACAGGTCACACGATCGACAAGCATTTAACAACTTATGCCCCCACCATTGGGTGAATTATAACAAAGTTGGGTCACATGACTGGAATAAAAAAGCCATTCTATTTTTTGCACCGTGTCTTGTTTGTTATGTCGGATCTGTTCTATCATTTGTTCCGCCAATCGAAGAACATTTTCAACCCGGTAAATAATTATTACATAATTATTATTATCATCGGTTTGTATGTGCATGATTTGATGCGTGCATTGTGAACAATGTAACACATTTAATTACTATACTCAATTCATTTTCACACACTGGGCCAGTGAGTTGTCGGTTCACCATTCATGAAAACCTTTCTTACCATTGCAATACATTCATTGAACATTGCCTGTAAGAAGTTATTCTTTACAAATAATAAACAATAAATACGCGCATGGAAACCAAAAAAACCCATTATAGAACAGAACACATAAAACTGAAAATTCAAACGAATCAGTAGAAGAATTTTTTTTACAGATTTTAAAATCAGATTGACCCCTCAATCGCAACAATTAATCGAACTGTGGGGTAGAGTAAATTGTTACTGCCTAACTTAAAAGTTTCACCGATGACCTGATCTCTTGGAATGCACCTGATCTCATCAGATTGCACAAGCTAAGCAAAATGCACAATTGTACTGTACTATGCTCCCGCATCTGTGCTACCCGCCTTCAACAACCCACACCGATCCAGGGTGGTGAAGTATCATGAAAATAAAGGACCCACGTGGCATGGAAAGGCCCTCTTCATTCGCCGGTGAACTGACAAAAGGGCTGTACGTGGTACAAAACAAACACGTGTACAATGTGAAGAATCTTGACTTAAAGCTTTCGCGACTGCAGGAATTCATATTCTTTGGGTCTTTCGGTAAAGTCACGTAGATAGGTTCAAAGAAAATAACACGAAACTACGACGTTTCGATCACAACACAAGCGATCGTCAGCAGGAGGAAAGAGGAGGAAATCTGCTGAATGCAGACTGTTTCATAGGGTGTAGTCCGAGGGTCATAAAGGAAGTGGGCAGGGCGAGTGATATTAATGTGAGAAACTAGCATGTTAATGTAAGATGGAAGGTTTCAGCGCTTACTCCGCAGCAGCATCGCGTGGGTAGGATCCTCCAGGAAGAGGGCGGCCAGCGCGGCCACCATGGCCTGGAAGTCGCCGCTTGATCGGTAGTCCTTGAGGGCGCCGCAGAAGCGGTCAAACTCCCCAGCGCCGAGCAAGATCCGCACCTCATCCACGTACTGCGCGCACGCTTTCCTGCAGCGCTCCGGCTCCGCGTCGCCTGCACGAGCGGCAGCGGCAGAAAATACGGGAGCACGCAGAGGACGAACATGGGACCGGAGCGTGTGGCATCGGGGTGGGTGCTCAGTCATAACCGCGAGTGGGGAAAAAAAGTTACCTATTCTATTTAAAGCTTTCGTGACTGCAGGGATTCATCTTCTTGGTTCTTTCGGTAAAGTCACGTAGAAGGGAAGTAATAAAATAATAAAAATAAAACATAATAAAATAATTCTCACGACGTTTCGGCCACAACGCAAGCAGCCGTCCTCCCCGACAGACCTGGTCTTCACTTGCGCTGACCCGAGTGGTGAAGTATGGATAAATAACACCCATCATCATCAATGTGCAGAAGAACTTTATCCAGCAGTGGATTGACAGAGGGCCGTGGAAAAAAGCAAAAGGATTCGAAAAATGCGCCCCACACAATTCAGAAAATTGGCAAGATTTAGTGACAATTTCATTCCAGAATAGATTTTTTTTGCCATTATGGTTCATGTAGAACCTAAACTCGCTGAAGGGTGTCCAAGAACCTGAAAGGTTTCCATGAATCGGTCACATACACACACACGATTCAACACATATTTCAAATATCATATGCACCCCCCAGGACCAAATCACGCAGAATGCTCCCAATCTTTGTAAATATCACAAGCTAAGCAGGGTTGACAGTAGATAGTACATGGATGGGAAATCACCATGCATGCAACAGGAGTAGAATTGTGCAGGGCTACATTGTCAGCAGATGACCAATGCAGCATATACATTGTTGTACTGTACTACACTAACATTTATGCAACTTTGCCTTCCCCAACCCATGCCGACCAGCTTGGATAATTATAGTCATATAAGCTCTATGACCCGCACGGTGTTTGAAGTCTCTAACACAACCGTGAAATGACAAATGGGCTGTATGCGTTCATCATGCGTAATAAGAAGCGACTTGAAGCGATGATCCATTATCTGCCCACTAAAGTAAACCTCCCAGCAGTATTCCCACGCACCATTAGTAAGCGACATCCCCGAGCGATCACGAACGCACGTTCGCCAACGCCTCTTTACGAGACACTCTCAACGTCGCGCCCGCCTGCGAAATGTGCTGAGAAGCCGCCGACAAGCATCTCGTGAAACGACTGCGCCGGAGGGCTGGAGTGGGGGCGGCGGGTGCTGCTGCGCTCAGGTGGGGAGTGTCAGGATAGCGAGCGACAAGAGGCCGGAAGGTGGAGGGGACGGGGGGGGGGGGGAGAGCAGCCTTACGTTGCTTGGCAGGTTGCGGCGTGGGTTTCTCGGACACAGCTGCGACGGCGCACGAGGTCGACGCTTGCTCCAGCGGCCTCAGGTGGCCGGCGCCCTTGTTCAGGTGGGTGCTGCTGTCCAACTCCTGCGCGGAGCTCTCGGCAGAGATCGCCGACGAGCAGCCGAGCTTCGACTTGGGGTTCCCGCGTGCGCTTCCATCCTCTGGACTGAGCTTCCTTTTGGTCTGGCCTCCTGTGCCCGAAGGGATTGTGGCAACACACTTTGAGACCACTTGCAGGGAGGAGACATGAGCACCACATCTTTCCGAAAAGTTCAAGTTCATTTATTAAGTATAACCCTGTGAGCCATTCGGCTTTTGAATCGGGTGCAACCGCAACAAACAAAAAACATGAACAAGAAAACATCTTAAAGTGACTATGTGACTAAGTGCAAACAGAAAATCCAAGAAAAGACAGCAAAATATTGCAGAAAAAACACCGTACACCAACACTGTGTGCAAAAATCCCAGTGGGATGCAAGTCAAACAACAACAGCAACCACAAGACAACTTAGATTTCGATTTAAAGCTTTCGTGACTGCAGGGATTCATCTTCTTGGTTCTTTTGGTAAAGTCACGTGACTTTACCGAAAGAACCAAGAAGAAGACAACTTAGATTAAGGCCATCAGTCTAACTCCATACTACAACAAACAAACATGGCCAAACCAAAAAACTTTTCGAAATCACCAAAATAAAGCCATGAAAGCAATGAAACAGTGATCATAGTCGAGATTAGAACGACAAATCAGAACGTTACAACGACAAATCAGAACGCTGAAACGACAAATCAGAACGTTACAACAATGACAAATCGGAACGCTGAAACGACAACAAACCTGACTGTGCTGCGTTGTTCTGCTGGAGGAGTTCGGTGCGCTGCTCGCGGGTCAGGCTGTGCTCCGCCACGTAGCCGCAGCCCTCGCCCGTCAGGCTCCGGCAAGTCTCGTCAAATGCCTTCTTGTGATGCGGCCGGACGAAGATGTAAAACTCTGCCGTGGTGTGGTGAAAGGAAGGGGGACACGGCCATAAACCGTCGCGGGAACTTCGGTCATCCTCGCGGCAGCGGCTTACGGCTGGCCTACGAATTAAGATGGTCACCGCATTGCGCGCTTTCAGAAGCGCTTCTGTGGCCGTCTGGAACGCTCTTCCTTCCGATATTAGGAAGTCGCTGGAGCTATGCACTTTTAAATCATCTACATTGAAAACTCATTTCTTTAGAACTGCTTTTTGTGTTCTTTGGGTCTTTTGGCAAAGCCACGTAGATAAATGTAAGCTCGGAGAGAGCTCGGCGATGCTCTTGCCGAGCTCTCTCGGAGCTTACATTTACAAATCTCTTCCATTGACACGCTAATCTATCACAATACAATGGCCACCCCCACAGCTTCGTTTGTCAAGATTTTTCCCGATCTTACATTTACATGCAAATTGCATCTCTAGCCCCTCCCACTGACCCTTGGGCTACACCCATCCCAAGTCTTTATAACTCCTTTCCTTAGCAGCGCTCCCACCATATATTCTCAGTAACTCTCCCGCGATATTTCTCACCTGATGACGACTGTTTTTATTGTTTGATCAATCTAAGTGGCTTTACCGAAAGACACAAAGAATATGAATTCCTGCAGTCACGAAGGCTTTAAGTCAAGATTTAACTGCTTTTTGTATTTAGTTTGTTGTCCTTCCCCCCGCACCTTCAATTTGCATGGTTGGCTATGTACGGTGCGAAAGAAGTTCAACATACATACACACTAGGGAGGGTGATGAGCAAGGGATGCGAGGTAAACATAGAATTCAGGGTGTGAGAGGCGAGAGATTAGGGATGGCTTTAGGTATAATTGCACTCCTGGATAGCAGAGCAGAAAATAAACCCTCCAACTTTTCCACACCCTCCACTTATACATGCACAGACAAAGGCCCCCCCCCCCCCCCCGACCCCTTACAGCTGTTAACGACTTTTTGACAGTGCTATTAGCACGCAGCTATGAAGGCCGGAATGGCGCATCACGGGGGTGGTCAACACCAGGCCCAGCCGCCTTTGTTTCCCCAGTGCTGATGTTTTACAAACTTCCGTCAAGTATTCGATTAAGGCTCAGTTGATCGAGAAAAGGCACAGGACCTACATCCAAATACACGCACACATTCCCCAAGCGATAAACAGTCATTATTGTTTATACCGTTCATATTAAAACAATAATATGAAATGAAGATATAAATATGTCATGAAACCAGCCACCACGCGAGACAACCAATTAGTAAGGTTTGTCACGTAAACAGAACGTGCCAATTCGTGACGTGTACAGCACTAGTGTGTAGTGTATAGTGTAGTGTATAGTGTAGTATACTAGTACAGCACACCGGTGTGTTGGAGAGTAAACCCACACACGACATTTACAATCTGAGTACGACGTTTCACCAGTAATCTGGCTGTTGCCTGATGAAGCTAGTTGTAATTACTGGCGAAACGTCGTACTCAGATTGTAAATGTTGTGGCTTTGCTCTCCAACACACCGGTTAGTGCTGTACTAGTGACGAATTGGCCACGTTCTGTTTACGTGATAACCCTTACTAGTTGGCTGTGTCGGGTGGTGGCGGGTTTAATGACACATTTATATATTTACACGATCTAACCCATAAAAACCTGTCATATGGATGACATTGGTTGTGAAAGCCTATGTGTTACAATTAAATAAAGAGTCCACCCTTTACGAATAAAAATGTAACTTGGTATTTTTCATGGGCCCTTCTGGAGTTTGAGGCGCCTGAACAAAATGTCTCATTTGCTGCTTGCCCCCCCCCCCCCCCCGCCGCTCAAACTGACTCTGGCCCTTGGAAAAAAAGCACTGTTCAATTCCCGCTGAGAACGTGTAACAATTATTTTAGCCATCACGCAAAGTGGAGCTGCTTTGCTAAATTTCTCGACCAGGAGGAGAAGTTAATGAGTGGTCTGTATGGAACGACCGTGGCACCAAGGTGAGAAAACAAGTGCATGGCTCGGCTTGTTAGGTCTCAGAAGAGTGTCAAACTCATTGTCACGAACAGGAATCTATTGCATCACCTTCTCTCCCAGGGGCTAATAGTTTTTACTGCAGTGCAGCTGTATTAAATCCTATGTCATTGTATATTTTTAATCATCCATAAAGAAAACGTGGAAACTTAACCCTACACAACACCCTACAAATGACTGTGAAGACACACTGCCCAAGGGAGGTCCTGTACGTGTGCTTAAACTATGACATGTTTACGACGATAATTAATATTACAATACCGTACAGCAAACTTTACAATGGTCGTAAATAACATAAGGCACTACCCGTTGCCATCAAGCCCATCAAATGTCCACAAGCGATAACTGTAAAATGCTAATTCTCAGCGAAATGTCATGTGTACACGCATGGATTCTGTAGCCCTTTTCAACATGCATTTTTCTTTGCAAGTATTTCATTAGCAGTATGGAAAATGTTAGGGCAAAAGTTGTCTTCATTTTGCAAAGAATACTATTTTGCTCTGGATTATTTATCCACGTTTTGAGCTAACTTTTTATCAATTAGGCTAATTAGTTATTGGGTACATCCCTAAATCCAGGCCCCCTCCTGGCAACACAACTTTAAACGACATTTTTATCGGATCATCATTACGAGCGTCATCATAACCGCATGCCAAACGCAGATAAGACAGAAAGATGCGACGCATTAAAGGATTTCACCTTCAGTTCAAAACGTCAACAAACGCAACGCTTCGATGACGAACATTTCCGTCACTAATTTCGCTTGCGAAACGAGAACCGGCACGAGAGAGGCAGCGGGCACGCGACGTACGGCGGAGTAGCCGGTACTTCATGGGGTCCTCGGTGAAGATGGGGCCCAGCTTCTGGAAGAGGAGCTGCAGGTCGTCCATCCGCTTGTACTCGTGCATGGCGCTGCAGAAGTTGGCGTGATTCTCTTGGCTGAGGGTGCGCCTCACGTCCTGAATGTAGGCGCGCGAGCGTTCCACGTGGCTAGCCGGCGTCGGATTCGAGCGCTTGCTGCTGCCCTCCGCCACCCCGCCGGCGTGCGCCCGCTCCTGATGATTGCTCACCACCACCATCTTCTTCTTGCTGCCACGCTGCTCGTCATCCAAAATCTTGTCGTGCCGCAACGTCTGGGTGGAGAGCCGATAGGCCTGGGGCAAAGACAAAGATTCCCCGTGTAGCCTTAACAAACTGTTGGGGCAAATGCTGTTAGCGAGTAGCACCTATGAAGACCGGCACGGCACACGAGGGGGTGGGTGGCCAGCACCACGCCCGGCCGCTTTTGTCTCCCCAGTGGCGAGGTTTTTACACGTCGCACCAGGTACTCATTTGAGGCCGACTCCACCTAGGGGAGACCCAGGACCGATTCAGAAAATCCTCACTGGTGTTGGCTGTGAGTGGGAATTGAACTCGGGTCAAACCCAGGTCGCTGAGTTCAGGCTGCAGTGTGCTATGCACAGTGTGTTAAGTAGCGCAGTGTGCTAACAGTTGCGCTACCGCTCCCCACACGCCTGGGGCACACGCTCACAAATAAAGCTCAATGGACAAAAACTTCCCATTCAGCTTTTAGATTATAGGCAAGCCATGTTAGCGGGCACCTACTAGACTGATGCAGTCAACGAGGGGGTGCCTGGTCACCTTGGTCTTCTCAGTAACGATGTTTACACACATTTACGCACCATGCAACGATTTAATTCTGAGACAATGATTGGAGAGGCTCAGGACTGGTTCATATATCCGACACTGATGGGGAATCAAACCCAGGTCGCTGAGTTCAGGCTGCAGTGTGCTATGCACAGTACAACCAATCTCCTATGCCACACAAATACAGACATAAATAAATATCAGAGACAAAGAACACCAAAATAGTACTTTACACTATAACAAAGTAATGTTAGCAATCACCTATGTAGCCTGGCCCTGCACAAGACAGTGAGTGTTGTGTAAACAGCACCAGAGCCAGCTGACTGTCTCCTAAGTGCTGATGAGTATTAATTTCAGGCCGAGGTGATCTAGGGGAGGCTCAGGGCAGGTTCAGACAGCACTTGTCACTGACGTCATCTGTGGATGATAATTAAACTCAGGTTGCCAGGATCTGTGTGCGGCATACAAGCCACCACACCGCACACAAATGCGTGTACACATGCGCACATTAAATGCACACAAACCTACATAAGTGACTATGATTTATTTTGTGGCTTACATTTTGCCTGGGGAAACCAGCGTTGTACTTACCAAGAATGCCGTATGCCTGACTGTTTAAGTTATATAAATAAGTATTTATTGCAGCTGCCAATTCCAATGACACTGCCTTGCAACTAAAGCAAGTGTAGTCGCGGAAGCTTGACTTGGGTAATGAATCGTCGTTATCCAGGTTACAATAATCAGCAAGAAATTCTTATTGTCAATTTTATTGTAAAGGTGTCTTAATTGGTGCAAATTGTTATTCACGTTTCTCACTTTTTTGTATCTTATTTTGCAATTTAGTTCCCTCCATTAGCCTAATTTTAACACTCACAAATTGGGAAAAAGTGGTAAAAACTCTCGTGCATCACGAGCATCGACTTTAATCAATTAATTGATGCACCACTACACATCTAGCAACAGGGACGTGCACGACATCAACATTTCCCGCACCTCCGATTAACAGGATCGGCTTACGTACGGTGCGAAGCAAGTTCAACATACGTATGTACGTAAGCTACATCAAGAACGAGCTTTTAACAAGTAAACCCGTAAAAACAAAGTTTTTCACTATAAATCCTTTATATGCGTGGCGGCTAGAGTCTTCTCGTCCTCTGGCTTGAGATGGCTGCCACCTATGGGTCAGATGATTGTCTGCCAGTATTAAGCAATTGGTAATTAAATATTTAATTTGTTTTCCCTAAACAGTGAAAAATTTTGGGAATTTTTTTTCACGAACATTAATTGTCTCGCACAACGAGTCTGTGTGGAAAATGTCAGCTCGATTGGATCACGGGAAGTGGGTTAAAAAACGACCGAAAGATTTGCACGGTCGTAAGCAAGCAAGCAAGCACGCAAGCAAGCAAGCGAACTTAATATAAAGGATTAAAAAATCGCTGCCAGCGCAGAGCGTGCAATTCTGTCTCAAATTTAAAGTCCCCTCCGCCTCATGCTCAAACCCCGAAGAGCATCGCGTTTGCCATGCCCCCCCCCCCCCCCCCCCCGACGCGGCGCTGCCTGGCACTCCACCTGTTCCTCGCCGGGTAGGTGGCTTACGCCGTTCCGCTCCCGGCGCTCGCTGAACTCCAGGGCGTCCAAGAGCCCCGCTGGCCGGCGTGCCGTGCGCCCGTCCTCGGGCTCGAACTCCACACACAGCCGTGCCAGGCCGCTGACCCCCGCGTGGTAGTCCCCGGGATCTGGGCGAGAGAAGGCGGGGCGGGGCAGGCGACCAAGCATCGCCGTCAGTGAGCCTTTGTACGTACAGGGTGACCCAAAAAAAACGGGCCCCAACTCTAATAGGCCCCGTGTGCACGGGGCCCGTTTTTTTTGGGTATGTGTGTGTGTTAGGGAGCGGTAGTGTGGTGGTTGGCGCGCTGCGCTAGGAACCCGGCAACCCAAGTTCGATTCCCGCCGACGGCCAACACCAGTGACAATTATTTGAACTGGTCCTGGGCCTCCCCTAGGCTGACTCAGCCTCAAATGAGTACCTGGTGCGGTGTGTAAACATCGCCACCGGGGAGACAAAGGACGTCAGGTTTGGTGCTGGCCACCCGCCACCTCGTGTACTGTTTTGGCCCTCATAGGTGCTCGCGAACAGCACTTGCCCCAACAGCATGTTGAATGCTACACGGGAGATCTTGGTCTTTTTTGTGCATACTCCCATCGTGTTTTTGCATTATTTGTTGTTGTAAGGTTCTGACTCTCCGTGCTTCCAGGTTGTTTTTACAGCCACATATTGAGTTGTGCATGCGTGTCTCGGCAGGGCACAGTGGTTAAAACGTATCGCACGATGAATCTGGCAGGTTCAAGTACTAGGTAGGGTTGACATTGGTGATGAGTAATGTCTGCACCAGTGGTGGGCTCCTACACCTTCACCAACCCACACTTACCAGTGTGACAAAGCAGGCTGCAACAATCTGCATGACTAACAGGGTGTGGGAAGGCATTTATCTTGCAGTAGATTGACAAAGGTACGAACAGAATTCGTATTTTATTATTCACTTCCCAGTATCACTCTTCGCGACATGCTGTCACAAGATTGAAAAACCAATAACACTGGCAGAAAGTAGTGTAGCATCACTCTGAATGAGAGAACGACCCACTGGAAGGTGACGTAAACACAAGTACAATTTCCTCTTCCACACACTAGCTGGTGCACTTCTCGCATGCACTTCAATAGTAAATTTTTGGATGGCTACACGAAGAGGGGGGGGGGAGCCCTGGCCCGATTAGCTAACAAGTCCGACAAGCTGCTAAAACCGTTATAATCAATATAATAAAATACACTCATGCCTAGAATAAACATACTAAAATAGTCCTATAAACGCTATAACATGTCAACCCGATTTAATGACACGTGTAGCTTTGTCAGATTCGAAGTCAAGAACTGAATGATTCTAGCTTAGTGGTCAAACACAGCATTTGTCACCTGAGCCACTGTGGTTAACTTCTCCGGCAGTTTATTTTTACAGGTAAAACCCGGTATACAGAATGAAAAGCAACCTCACTAACCCGCAATGTGACCACTTGCCGTGCCTAAAAAATCCGACATACAGGGATCTCGTGCTCAAAACAGCATTGTAATGGCGCACAGCTTTCTTGGGTGGTCATGAGGCAGAGGTGGAAGTTCTACATTCCAAAGATGGGGACCCCACCGTATCCCTAAGGTGATCTCTACAATTATGCACCATGTGCCTGTCAGCGATAACAAAACAGCACTCTCTCACTTATGCACTCATAAAATCAACATTCAAATGTCGCGCAGCCTACGGCTACATGTACAAGTGGTGTGAATACATTAAAATGCGAACACCATACCAATGAAAGCAACATCACGCTTTACAAAGCTCCTAAAACAAAAATGAATGTGCACATATTTCTGAATGCGAGCGAAACGCCTACCAACACGCCTGCATGAAAGCCCTTTTGCTCAAGTGCCTCTTGGCGAACATACTGGTGAGCTCCCACCCCATTCAACACCCTCGCCTGGAAACGTTAGCACTTGACATGTCCAGCAAGACCGACACCCATTCATGCAGAGGCCGATTGCCAAATATGCAACGCTCCAAGCAGAACCGCACCAGCACAAATTAACACCTACATTTTCCCAAATGAATCCATCGGTGATCGTTATCACAATTCCACAATTAACTTCTATTCGCGAGAGATCGATACTATGTGACAGACCATTGAAATTACTTTGTGAATATGAGTGCAATTGTTTATAATAATTGATCCTACCTCATTAGAATGGGTATTTGTTGTTTTGGGAATTGCCTTTTACTTTGCTTGTAACGCGATATAAAAAAAACTTCAAGTCTCAACGCATTCTTATCTTGCTGAAAATATTATCTGTAACCTCTATGTTGGTGGTTGTGAGTGTTGTGTTACTGCATTTATTTGTGGTTACAAAATGTGTGCAAATAAGTCAAATTTATTGGGCAAAAGCCTTTTGGTTTAATGTGGACATCCAGCATATTGGAAGTGAAAAGATAAAATTAAAATATTCAAATAAACTTGACAAAACGATTACTGAAACATATCACTGACACTTACTACCTTAATAGACATTCACTAACTATTTACACTTCGAACGTTTATCATCGAAAAAAAACCACGTCAATAATGAATGATGTGCAGTTTCCACCAAGCTACCATCGTCATGAAGCAAGGTGAAAAGGTGACGCTTACCTGACGGGCGAATGGATAAAAAAAACATATTCACAGCTATTTAATCGTAAGAAGAAAGTGAAAACATGAGAGATAAATCTAGCAGAGCTGGTGGCAGAAATTCAAATGCACTGGTTCACCGATTCCTGCTGCCTGCCACGCTCTTTCTGATGATGCCGCACGCTTAATTTATTTTTACCCATTTTAATTAGTTAAACATATACTTTATTACCAAATTAATTCAGCGTGTCCTAAATGGGAGTGTGCCGTCATCGCCAGACGACCGCATAGCAGGCTGACGCCTGTGCATTGACCGCAGAAAGCTGGTTGGCTGGTTTTTCATTTCTTCACGCTTTTCCCACTTATTTAATTTACGCAAGTCTTTCCTGGCCTACCCGAATCGCAGTATATACCCAAGTTCATCCCGGAGAACTTTTACCTCACGGCGCACCAGTTTGGAACCAATTAACCCCCTGGAGTGGAGTATTCGCTGGGATACGATTGCTCAACTTGCGAGTCACTGAAACGCGACGCTTTTGCCCCTCCTAGAGGGCGCCCTCCACCACACACTGCAGATGAACATTTCTACGCTCTTGCATCATGCCGTAAACACGTCAGGCTCTATAATTTTCACATAAAAGCATTGCGTGCTGCGTGAGGACTTTTAAATAGACACACGTAAAAAAAAGTTGAATAATTTAGGCTGAATTGAACGCAGACACGCGGCCAGTTGGATGCTGTGGATTAAAATGCCCCCACTGTAAATTAATGTTCATTCGTTTGCGCATTCAAATCCTGAGGGTAACCGCTAGGGCGGGGAACCTTTTTTGATTACCGAGGGCTGAACAAGACTTTCAAAAACGATGGCGGGGCCACACACATAAACATACACCATTTGCATTATGCAAAAATGAAAAAAAAATCATTCCTGTCAACCGAGTATAAAAAAGGCCATTGTACTTGGAAGTGACTGAAAGCGATAACGTTAAAATAAAGTGTTGCCAGGTCAAGATATTCCCCTATTGTTCCCGATCAATGTGTCAATAAATGTTTGCGTGCCGTTTTGAAGTGGTAGTAGGCCTCAAGAAACCAAGGGGCGTGTGAGTATGTATGTGTGTACGCTGAACTTCTTTCGCACCGTACGTAGCCAACCGTGCTGCTAATCGGAGGTGGAATGAAGTCACGGGCCAGACCGCAGGTTTCCCTCCCACCCACCACGCCTTACCGGCTGCGAGTCGTCGCAGGCTGGGCACGTGGGCGTCTACGGTCCTGGCCTTGCGGAGATCGCCGCAGGCGGCGGCCTGCAGGGAAGAGGAGCTGCACCCTGCCCCGTCCGCCTCCCCACACGCCACCTGCCCTCTGCACGACACCTTTCGCTGGGGGGCAGGCAACTGCAAGACACCGGCGCACACATGTCAGAGATGGGGAAACGCGGCCAAGGATGGGACCCAAGCCCAAAAACTAATAACACTCCCAACTGCAGGAAAGCGGAAGTTCACTAAAACGGGTGCCATGTGTAAGCATCAGTAGTGCGGGCTCAAAGGGAGGTCGTGTTGATCACAACAGTCCCTCAAGCGCCATGTCAGCCTTAGTAGCAGTGGCGGCTCGTCAATAGAGGGCGCAGGGGCGCCGCCCCCATCAATATTCAAGAAATATACATATGCAAAATTTATATAAAAATACATAAATAAAATATTGTTTTCATACGATGTGCCGGCTGGTAGTAAGAAAAGCATCAGCATTTTATAAAAACTGGCTTTAATCGGTCAACTATTTTCTATGTTTTTCAATGTGTTTCATGCGGGGCGCCGGACAAATGGATGTCTATGTGAGACTTTACATTTTCGGACAGCATGTGACCTGAAGCTGGTCTCTAATTGGTTTCTTAAAGATTCTCCTCGGGGCGCAAGTCGTTGCGTCCCTGGCCAATCAGAATTGGATACATGTTATTTTATCCAATCTGATTGGTTCTCGTCACCTGTCATTCAAATTTACGCTGTAGGCCACTACTGCGAGTGCGAAGGCGACACCACTTTGACACTTGCTAGGCTGATCAAATTTTTTGTGTAAACAATGGCAGCAGTTCATCCAAATTCTGTAATTTATTTACAAAAAAACCCTTTCACAAGGCTTTCGCTGGAAGAAATAAAAAAGATAAAGGATCTCGGACCGGACCAACCCGATTTACAAATCCAGCAGCAGGCCAGTGACAGAGGACGAAGCTACACACGAAGCTTCACCCGCGCTTGTTATGAGAAACGGAGGTGGCTGGCTGGATGTGATGTTAGCAATTCTCTTTTTTGTTTTCCCTGTCTTTTATTTCAAAGTGTCGGCACTGAAGTTTTGTGGACAACGACGGGGGTAAGAGACCTCAAACATCTCTCTGACAAATGCAAACGTCATGAAAGTAGCCGCAGCCATATTGATAATAGCATGAAACTAACGTTTTTATGTTCAAGTAGGAAACATGCTTTTTGGTACTTTGGTCTGAAATGTATATAAAAGAGAAACATTTATGTTCAAGTAGGAAACATGCTTTTTGGTACTTCTTTTGGTCTGAAATGTAAATAAAGATCATCAAAATTTATATTCAAGTAGTCAAAATGGTTTTTGGTACTGCTTTATATTTATTTGCCCCCCTCAATAAAATAAAAAAAATGCGCCCCCCCAAAAATAAATATCACCAGCCGCCACTGCTTAGTAGGTGTTTGCTAACGGCGCTAGTCCCAACAGTCTGTATAGCTATATGGGGGGATCTTTTGTTTATGTGGAGTGCTTTGTGGCCTCATTCTAAATGTTTTTTTACACGCTTTTATTTAACTCACTCCGTCTGTTGTCATATCCTCAAATCTTGTAACTCTATTTCAACCGTCTTCCCAATATCGTATCGACTGCAAACTTGGTATAGGTATGTCATACTGATGACAATACTATATTCTATCATTAAAAAAATATTTTAAACAATCTTTTTTACGGGTCTAATCGTCCACGCTCAACTCACGTTGCCTGTAAATCACCACAGCCCCTTACGCTATGGCAAGCTGCTGGGCCACTTTATGGAGTCGAGGAGTTCTGCCATTACCAGTACGGTACATTTCATTAAAGCGTGTTAAAAAAAAAAAGTATTTTTAAATGTTTGCTTTATTTAAATATATTCTACTTGTGTTATCAGCATCGTGTCATCGCGACATGTCTAGCCCAAGCCCACTTGCTTTTCTTAACAGTCAAAACTACGTCTTTAACCTACACGTTCTCTAATCCACGTGTTCCTCTGTCTCTCTTTCAGTGTAAATCCAAACATGCGCCATCTCTTGGCGCTTCTGAAGAAGAATTGAACATCTTAGTTGATTTTTTTGGTTTGTAAATGACCACGTTTCTGCACCATGTCATAGAAGGTAGAACGCAGCATTGATAAAAAAAAATCTCTTTATGAGGCACGGTGACACGTTACTATTCACAATTAATTTCCCCTTTCCAAAAGCAATCCTACAAGCTCCAATCCGTCTTTCAAAACATGTGGACAGATATGTAAGTGCACGAATTATCAAATATTTGTACAAGTTCTGCACTGCATGTTTTTTTAAATGATGTTTGTGTGTGGTGGGGGGGTGCGTGGGGAGTTATTTTGAGAACTGCTGAGATGTTTGTCGATTTTTTTTTTAGGAAAACTCCCGATGGAAATATTTTGCTTCTCGGTTAAAATACCAAAGCAGTCAGGGAGAATAGAGGGTGGGAATGCAGGCCTCAAGCATACTGCAAGCACATCTGCTGTAATTAATTTGTCTGACCTAATAGGCTCGGTTTGAGAAATAATTGATTGAAAAGAATGCCTTGAGTGAGCAAGGCTAAGTCTACGGGCATGCTTTAGATACCAAAACAGCGGGACAGTTGTTTCTTTTATGATAGGAAAACGAGAGTTGTTGTTAAAAATGTTCCATTCGATCAGTGAGCAGAGGCTTTTCTGAGCAACACACTTAGAAATATGAGGTAAATAATTAAATGAAAGCAAACAAGCAAGCTCAAGCAAGAAAGATAATGCATCAACAAATGGGCAGCCTTGAAGGAAGATACAAGCCGACACACAAACATCAACTTTTTAGATACGTACCCGTACTATATGTCCCAGGCTGAACGTGTTTTTCAGGAGTTCCACCTGAGTACACTCTAGTGACATCACTGCAGTGTAACCGATATAATCGTTTGCCTTCGTTCCCCAACGTTATCCCGATTGTGCTCTCGTGCTCACATCAGAGCCCTCGCAGAGGAGTACAGCTCTTCGTGATCGAGTGTCCCACGGAAGTAGATGCCAAAGAACCACCTCGGAGTGCACCAATCAAGTGAACTCCAGCCCACAATCAAGGAGGGGGGGGGCGGTGGGGGGGGGGCAGCACTTTCCCAGGCAGGCAGTACTGAATCTCAGCAGTGCCTTCTCAGCAATCTGCCTTCAAAGTCGCCCGGCCACCTTTGCTGCCTTAAAGTAAACATTTACGCGCAAATCCGAATTGATCACAAATACTGTAATGCATGTTATCGAGTTTGATTCCACGCCTGCATAATCCGATGAATCGATTCTCGTTCACGTATTGAGTCAAGCATACTGCTGAGCATCATGGGAGCTGCATGTAAATACAGCACAGTACCATTGAGGCAATCTTTAACTTTTGAACGATTTACAAATGTTTTAAAAATGTTTCTTGTTAAGTTGGTATATTTAATAAAAATGCTATTATTCTATGAATTGTATAGCATTATTGATTAGTTAGCTTGTAATGATCAGTATTACTGTACAATGATTGCAAGTCTATTATTATTTGTCTAAAATCCAAACCAAACATCAGAAGCACTGATTTGCTCTTTTACATATAATCGTGGATCGGTGTCGATTTTATTCTGAAGCAGATCTCAACACAATCTGGGCCACGTGATCACAAATGACTATCCGTGACCACATACACCCCTATTCGTTACATATCTATCGTTTAAGAGATTTTCATTCTTTCGGGCTGCGCCTTCCTTCAATTAAAACCTCGGCAAAGGAGCTGCTTTTGGGCTGTCGCAATAAACACTCCACATGTGGAAATACAATCGCGTGCGGCTTTTGCCAAATCTCACCGTTTTTGTGGCGATCCGGAAGAACTGCGACAGCTCGCGGACCACTGCACCGAATTCCGGGTAGGCCTTAACGGAAGGACGCATCCAGGACGGCAGCTGCGCCACCGCGCTAGCGGATGAGAACCTGGCAGCAGAACAGAACATTGGAAAGCCTCGGCCAAGGGGCTCGCTGGACAACTCAGAAGGTTTTGTACACAAAGCGATGGAAAGAGATAAGTGCATGGTGACCATTGCACAGATACCCCCCGCGGAGAGACTGGAGGCAAAGCATTCTATGTCAAAACATATCTCACGAATCTCAATACCCCTATTACATTTTTAAACTCTCTCCTCGATAAGATATGCAGCCATCGCGCTTCACAACATAATATAATCTATATTCTTGGTTCTTTCGGTAGTCACGTAGAAGGGAAATAATAAAATAATAAAAATAAATTATCATAACGTTTCGATTGCAACACAAGCAATCGTCATCAGGTGTGAAAACCACAGCAGGAAAATTTTTGCTTAAAAAAAAAAAATTTGTATAAATTAAAATGCCATCAACACGTGCATTGAATCATAAGTATATGAATGAATGACTTTTAAATGTATGCAACTTTTATCGAAAAAAAAATGTTGAGGCTAAAGGTTGGAATGAACAAGACAAACCAAACGCAGTCGAAATTAAATAAAGTACATATGAGATGTACAAAACAAAGGAGATGGTAAATACCGCACCAACAATATGGTGCGGACAATAAGAAAGAGAAAAGCTTCTCGTGTTAAATCACGAGCCCAAATTGTGTGAATTGATGGTATTACGGGCAGGATAAGAGGTCGAATCATCAGTGGTCTCATAGTCGTACTACGTCTATGATTGCATCGTCTGATCCGAACACTGCCTGAAACAAGGGCCATACAATTCACACACATAAACACCAATCGATCGTTTAAGTCTAAGTCCGACACTCTTGCTGTGCAATACATGATTGATCCCCACAGCGATGTGATCAATTGTCCAATTATGATCATCACAACGAGGTTATTTTGCATCTCATTCTGTACCTTCTAATTTTTCCCCCGTCTCATTTGTAGTCTTCTTCACGGCACGAGCTTTCACGCGACATCTTGTGCATCATTTGCAGAACTTATGCGAGCGATCGACTCTCATGCGCACAATCCGGTGAAAGTACCGTGGGCGTAGCAATCAATATTAATGGATGACTCGATGCTTCGTTAACATTCTGGCCGAGCAATCGAGCTCAAGACGTTTCAGGAGGGCGTGGGCGGTGGCAGCAGAAGAGAAGGAAGGGGGCGGTACCTGTGGTCGCAGAGGATGATGGCGCCGTAGTCGTGGCGGTGTCGTATGACGCGGCCGACGGCCTGGTTGACGGCACGCGAAGCCTGCTGGGTGTACCACTCCTGGCCAGAGAGGCCCACAAACTCACAGTGACAGAAGACAGACAGCACACGCTTAGCCACTGTGTAAGTACAAACAAATCATTCACGAAAACTAAGGTTCGGAAAGTTTTACAACCACCTAATACAGTTAGTGTTCACGTTCAAATGAGAATTTGCGCAGGAGTTATTTTTATTGGCAGACGTGTGACAGTTTGGCGCCAGCTATCATAAGGTGCGGTCGTGTCGCTTCAGTTCTTTGCGGTGAGCACAATGTCTTTAAAAACAGCGGCGCTATGCCTCTCTAAAAAAATCTATGCTAACCGCTTGTGCGTTCCGAGATTCTGTGGTGAATGGGACCCCACCCTGCAACTTGCAGACGTCTCGGAACGGGTTCAAGTAATTTGCAGGTAATTTCCAAATTTATGAGCATGATGCCAGCACACAGTGGCGTAATCTTTTTGAATATGCCGCGGGATCTTTAACGTCCACTGCGAAGCGGACGGTGCATATAACACATTCCTGCGGACGTTGGGTTGCTCGGTCAATGGCCAGGGTCAACGGCGGCGTGGTGTATTCCGCAAATATGCCCGACTGTGAGGGCGGACACAAACCGGCATGAGTAGGTTAAACATTGAGTTTTATAAGGGCACCACGGGGTGACCAGCCCCTCCCCACCCAGCCCCACCCCTCCCACCCCCCACCCAGCCCCTCCCCACCCAGCCCCACCCAGCCCATCCCCACCCAACCCCTCCCCACCCAACCCCTCCCCACTCTCCCCTCCCCACCCAGCCCCACCCCTACCATTTTTGGATGCAAGACAGACGAACACAATAATCCCTGTGGACTGGTGGAACCAGGTGGTTCCTACCAGTATAACACGGTTCATTCCGTGGCAGTAATAGCCAGGTGCAGCCTGCTGGCTTTGAACCGCAAACTTCTAAAACGAGCGCACGAGGGCCGTGACCGTGACGCCGCTCCGTGAGCACGGGACTGACGCCGCAAACGACGAGGCAGAGTCCCCGTCCGCTACCTGCATCTCCGTCGACCGCTTGGCCTTCATCTCGTCCAGGAACTGCATCTTCAGCTTTATCCACGGGTCCATTTGCGGTGGGAATGGCAGCCCCGTGATAATCACCGCCCGGCCATTGGCGTCAGCGAAGTCCAGGCCCTCGCTCACCTGAGCGGAGTGGGGGAGTAGCGAGGGCGCAATGATGGTCATCCCCCTCTCTTTCTCTCCTCAATCACGTGGTCTCAATGTCAACGCCGCGCGTCTGTCACAGGTTACTATTGACTACATTCTAAGCCAGGGGTCGTCGGCAACCTGCGGGTCCGGAGTCGCAATCGGTTCTTCGTGACGTTATTTATTACAGAATACCGTCTCGTATTCACGTGCATTGCGGCTCTTGTAATATTGAGTTTTTACCGAATTTTAAAAAAATGGCCTCTTCTTGTTATTTTGATTGCCGAACCCTGTTCAAACCTCTTGTATCGTCATAGAAAAGACTCTGGTTCGATGGGGTATTTGCCTGACCTAATTCATGGACATGTACAGTCCTTTGTCGATCCCCTGCAGAATAAGTACCTCTCCCTGGCGTGAGGGTGATGAAACCTATTTGACCATACTTCACCATCCTAGCCAGATGAAAATGAAGAGCATGGACGTTGGGGCGAATGATATAGAGTACAGCAATGGATATGGCTGCACTGCTCTCTACTGGGTACTACGGAGCTTAACCTCATATAACCCACTGTATTGTAATTCTAATTTTGCACCACAATTATTATTATAAATACATTGTCTGGGCGTGCGTATGTATGTGTATATATATACAGCTTACATATATTCGGGGTGATCTTTGTGTGTACGCACAATACCAAAATACGCAATGCCAAAAAGTTTTCTTTATTTGCTCGTGATATATTCAGAGCTTACACTTTCCAGTGGGTGGATTACTGATTGTGTGAATTTGGCTGCTGGTGTGTGTGTTGAAGTTTGGCACAAATGTAGTCTGGCAACTCCTCCAAGCACAATACCTTTCCTCTGCAGACGGCAAAGAAGGCCGCGGCGCTGCACTGTGGGTCGTTAATCTTATCGTAGAAACCATTAATTGCCTAGAATGGAAGGAGACACAATAGATCAGCAACTAAGCGAGCACGGAGCTTGTGTAACAATCTATCGGAGAGAAAAAAAGGAGAAAGATCCTTCGGTGGGCACATGCCGTGGTTGGGAGAAGGCACCGGGAAATTTGCAGGCGAAGATGGGCGGGCATTCTAGGCACGCACGGCTGCGGTTTAATCCACTCGACATTTTGCTCATTGTAACACCAAATCCCTTTGTGTTTTGATCGCGCTCACGACGCAGCACTAAGGCAGAAATGCACGGCACGTAGACATTAAATATAAAGGTGCTGCTGGAGTAAATCGGAGGCGGGCGGGCGGCCAGCCTTTATGAGGAACCCAATGTCACTGTCAAAAATTGTCACGGCCTCAAGGGCTCCCAGACGGACAGCGCCTTTCACAGGGATGGGCAGCATGCAGCCACTCCCCTCACACTCGTTCCCCAAAGCCCAGAGTTATAACAAGTGCAACTCAAAGATATGAGACCTAAAGGCTCTGATCTCACCAAAACCGTCCAATGTCCCTGCCCAAGTTGAGTCTGCTGACACAGAGCATGGCAGAACTAGAGGATTCAAGCCCAACTTTAAAATACGTTAAGCGGGGAAGGAAGCCAGTGACATAGAAGGAGGACAGTCCTGGTAGACATCAACATCAGATAAGGCAGAAGAGTTACCTTCTGCTTGAAGGACTAACCAATCATAATAATTGAAATCATGAACGTGAATGCGAAATACAATGTTGTACCTCTGTGAAAAGCCCTTTCTGCTTGGGCTCCACAAACATAGGTTTAATCTCTTCGATCTTGCTTGATAATCCCTCGTTCTGCAAACCGGGCGACACATCACTTTAAAAGCAACAAAGCCTACCCCCCTCCAGCTTGTATATTACCGTTTGAATGATGTACCCGATCATTGAATAAGTCATGTATTGTCTATTATTGCTATTCATAATGCACCACAATATCGTGTAGCATGAAACAATAGCGCCAGGATATATCGTAAATGTGCCTGAATGTCAGATTTATCATATGTGTAATAATAAACGCTGCTGCACCAGGGCATGTGACCTTTCAGCGCATGCTCCCCAAAGCTCGGGCGGTTATTGCAAAAGCCCATTCCATTAGGGGCACCTGGTGAGAGCTTCAATGTCTCGAAAGTTACAATTTTCATGATTCGTCACGCCTGGCAAATTTGTGTGCAGAGATGCGATGGAGATGCATTTACAGCAAATTGTATGGTGATGCATTTACAGCAAGGCGTATGCTCATGTACGTACAGCGCAGTGTGGTGCCAATGTATTTGAATTGTGGTGTGATCGAGATGTAAATGCAGCACAGTGTGATGGTGATATATGAACGGCAGTGCGATGGTGACATGTGCATCATCCTGTGATGGTGATGTATTGACGGTACGATGCGGGTGTGATGGTGATGTATGCATGGTACTGCGTGACAGCGTTTCAAGTACGGCACAGCGTTTTGGTGATGGAAGCACAACCCGGGTGTGATGGTGATATATCCACTGCCCTTTGTGATGTATGTACGTACGTATTATTACCACAGTGCGATGATGATGTACGGACGGTGTGATGTCATGGATCTATGGCACACTGCGATGGTGACGCAAGCGCAGCACAGCACGATGGTGATATGCGTGCAGTCTGTTCTCCTAAAACGCGGTAGTTTGCGTTCCAGAAGAACGCCGCGTTATGGAAAAATCTCGTGATAATAAATACGATATAATATAGGGTAAAGCGCAGTCGCGTGGGCAGCATCTAGAAGCATCCAGCAGCATCCGCCTTGTGCGATGCTACGCCGAGGCAGCCGTACGACCGCTTATTGCTACTCGCGTGACGTAGTTCCATTCACTCAATTGCGTTATATCCAATTCGCATCCGCGTCATATAAAAAAATGCGTTCCCGAATATATTCATCGCGTTATAACCAATCCACGTCATGAAAACATGATAGGAGAGCAGACTGTACACCACTCTAAGTGCGACATTATACGGCCGCTCCTCGAAAACTGACAATTGTGTGGTGCGACCATGTGCCCCTCACCTTCCAGTGCTGAAGGCACATGTCCATGACGGTGTAGGAGGGGAAGAACACGAGCAGCCCATTGGGGATGATCCTCGCCAGGTTCACTGGGCACGAGAGAGAGGGCCAGAGGAAGTGGCTTCACTCCCGTCACTTAACCGAGGGAGAAATGTGCCCACTGCATTCATAGCTTCTTTGTGATCAAACCATCACATCGTGCCAACGGAGTGCCTCGTAGCAAGTACTGCTGATGGGCAGGGATAAGCAACCTGATATACCCCAAATAATATCTCTTATTTTTCGATTTAAAGCTTTCGTGACTGCAGGGATTCATCTTCTTGGTTCTTTCGGTAAAGTCACGTAGAAGGAAAATAATAAAATAATAAAAAATAAAATAATTCTCACGACGTTTCGGCTACAAAGCAAGCAGCCGAAACGTCATGAGAATTATTTTATTATGTTTTATTTTTATTATTTTATTATTTTCCTCCTACGTGACTTTACCGAAAGAACCAAGAAGAATATCTCTTATCTTGAAGATACGTACGACTGTGTGTTCTGGGCTGTCCGGTATGGGTTTTAAGCTACACTGATGAGAAAAAGACTTTATAATAACAGTGAAGAACTCAGTCTTAGTGCCCCAACAATAGCGCTGCATTGCCGTATAATATCCATGGGAGTAAAATGTCAGTGACATGAGTCAAGCGCAATGGGGATGTGTGCTGCATTCGAAAAGACTGCCGCTCTGATAAATCCCGTTAACTCACAATTATCCACGGGTGGATAATCTGGGTTGGGGACTAACCGTGCGTGCCAAAATTGCATATATTTGTGTTTGCTTGTACACGGGTTCTATAATTAGCTGCTGCTCACTCATCGCAAGGTCAGAAACTCAGTGCCCATGTGATCGTAGACAATGAAACCGATTATTTTTTAAAGCAAAAAAACACGTGACACATTCTACGTCTTCACCCCATGCTATGAAGGTAACCAATTTATTTAAGTACCTAATTTACACATGTTTTGCATTTTCTGTTATTGTTTATGCGGGCTGCTGCTCCCCCCCTCCCTAATCCACCATCACCTCGTCATTACCCAAGATAATTGAGAGCTTATAAGAACAACACTGAGGGTTCAAATTGCAGTGCTGTTGAAAAATCACAATTCCCGCCCCGAGCCCAAACCATCCCCATCCCCGTACTCCTTGGGATGCCATTAACATGCCCATTGCTGCATACCCGGATATCAAAGGATCAGTATTTTCACATCAGTGACTGATGGTAAAGAAACGTCTACTTTCTCATGAGCAAAGCTTCGAGCCTGTGTTGGACAAGCTTAGGTGTGCACGTACAAGATAGGAGATATTTGCGTTTTGGGCTGTGTTTTACTTTAAAGGAGAAATGGATAGAAGCAAATTAGACTGTGGTATAAAGAGGGACCCCACATGCTAGCTACTGACTCTAACCCAGCAGCCGCAAAATAAAACCGAGTTAACGGAAGATTATAATCGCCGTAATAATGGCGCACTTTACCTGCTTTAACACGGAGGCGAATACAATTACACGCTCAAACGCGCATCTAATGGACCGATGCAAAGTAGCGAAATGTGACGTAGCCGAAATGAAGAGACCGACTCCTGAGTTGGCTCTCTCAGGGTGGTCTCATCAGGAACACAACCGCACACCCTTCACCTGCAGCCAAGGATGCGCAACGGCATACCCGGCGTACGCATACAACGGCATACACTTAATAAATTAACCGGACTGAATGAAATACCCGTCGTGGTGATGCTATCAATTATAACGCACAGCTTCTGCACGCTGACCCAATTACCATACATAATTATTTAAATTGGCCATAAAGATGTGCTAATGATTACCCAAGGTTGTAGCAATGTACGATGCACAGTGCTAGGGCCCTTTCAATGCACGACGATGTGGGGGGGGGGCATAATCATGAGGGCTGTATTGGTCCTTATTTCGTCAAGGAAACAATTGTCCCACACGCCGATTCACGCAAGAAAACAAAGGCTCTTGCGAATGCGCTCATGCATTATAGAATCACACCGACAATCGTGAGCGAGTGAACGATTAATGTCACTTGTACAGTGATGTGCCAAGAAGGGCTATAAAGTCGAAGTTTGGCACAAATATATTCGGGTCGATGCTAATAACTACAAAATCAGAAACCCTCAATTTAAAATTTGGCCCTCCACAAATTACAACCGAGAGGTCCATTCTCACGTGCATAATGTCATGCAGATACTGTGAGTATAACTAATCGTTTTTTATTGATTGTTACTTGTCTACTAAGCAGGATTAACCTTGTAACTCATGCCGTCAAAGCCAGCGGCAATATTTTTGTCGTTCTCAGGGTCAAAAACAACTTAAACTTAAAAATATGCAAAAATTCAAACCAAATTAAAGCTAAGCAGTGTGGGGCTCGATGCTGTTCACCAATGCCCACTTTGACCGTTCAACAGAGGTCGCAAACGGGTTTTGATTCCTTACCCGTACCCGGCCGGGTACGGGTACCCGTTCCCTACCCGTACCCGTACCCTACCCGAAATGAGTGACAAACGGTTACTCACCAGTGACTCACAGCCTACCCGTACCCGTACCCGGCCGCACCAGGGTCGCAAACTGCTACCCGTACCCATACCCAGCCTGGTGTGGGTAGCCGGGTATCGGGTAGGGTATCGGGTACCCGGTTGCGACCTCTGCCGTTCAAGCGCTGGAGAATAAATCAGGCGAGACCCACGACTGTTTAGCTCGGTTAAAAAAAACACCCACGGGGACCACGGTGCAGCGCCAACGCGGACGCAATGTCGTCAACGAGCGCCGCTCGTCCTCCCCGAACCACCGCATCCCCCCGGGACATGCGGCGGGATTTAAAGGTTTACCACCAAGCGCTGCTGGTGCACAGTGTAGCTGCTTCCACCCAACGTGTGCTCTCAAACCCCGACAAATGTATAATGAGGCTCCTTTACTTTGCCTAACCAGGCAAGTTTCAGCAGTCCCAGCATTGCCTTTGACTAAGCCCATCAATTGGAATGTTTGGCTTAATTGAATACCGAATAAAATGTGAAACAGCATTTTCCTGCAGCGTAGGTTATATATATGTATTTTAAATAATGCTTTTGGGCACTTATGCTGTGTATACAATATATTGCACTAAATTGAAAACTCGTGTCTTTGAAACTGCTTTTTGTGTTTAGTTTGTTGTCCTTCCCTCCAGATCTCCGATTAGAATGGTTGGCTACGTACGGTGTGAAAGAAGTTCAACGTACATACTTACATACATGCACTCATAATAACCAGTGGGCTTTAGCATCACACTCCATGAGAGGTCACTTACTTTCTTCACTGATAATCAGGACTGTACATTTCTCAGTGTTTATCGTAAGACTTGAAGCCATTCAGGACGGGCTGAGCCTACCCTATGAGTAAAGCCAATCAAACTCCTGACAATCATTTTTGAGGGCCCATATTTTCACAATTTCATTTTTGGATTTGTCCAGTGATGAGCATTGCCTTGACAATATTTTGGCAAATTTCAGTTTTCTGATCCCCAACTAAATCATAATTATAATTCAAAGGACTCACTCAAGTCACGATCGACTGTAGGCACAATTATATAGTCAGTGTTGTAAGCATACACTTACGCAGTGTTTAAGCTTAATAATAAGAATAATTATCAAGTGAATGGTCTTGACGACCCCTTCATTGTGTGGCTTCTGGGGTACAAACGTCACTGTGCTTGTCCATGCAACAAATCCAGTGCTCAATAAAACCACGAAGGAAACAAAATTTGACAATTAAAACTGCAGTGTAAATTACAGCGGCGGAAACAGGGGCACGAGCAATCATTGCCGGCTCATTAAAGTTAAGCGTTGCATCAACCATCACTGCCAACCGCTGCGTGTTGTGTAAATAGCGGGGCAGCTCGAAACTCTGCAGCAATGTGATGTGGCGTGAGCAGTGACGCAGTCGACTCACCTATCGTCTTTCCCAGTGACGACATGTACGCCGGGCAGGACCTGAAACACACCCACCACGTTTATTAGCTTCTCGATGCACCAAATCATGATCATCATCATCATCATTGCAGCAGTCCTACAGCGCAAATGTTATTCTTTTGGATTGTATGTGCGTTGTGTAGAAATTGTACGCGACAAGTCCAGTTAGTTTGTGTCTCCCCTAGAATTGGGGAGCACTCATTTTATGCGCTACCACATTTCTTGGAGGCTCAACTGGGAAATTCGAGTTGACAGCCGCTCCCTCTATCAGCCCCGCCTACTTTCATAAGTTGGCCCCATCTACTGGCCATAAGTTTCATCTACTCATGTTCTAGCCCCACCCACTACTCACAGTTGTACCGCCGCTTTTCCCTGATGACACCGGTACAAACTTTTTTTAAAACTGGGACTGTCCTGGTCAATATGCAACATTTGGAAGCCCTAACTCATCTCTATTGACTGTTCAGAGCCAAGGGTGGAAATTTCCCATTGCCATGGGGTAGCCTCAATATTAGAATAACAAGTTTAGTTCTCATAAGGTGGTACACTCTAGAAGGATGATGGGTTGATTCTGGATTGGTATTTGAGCATGCAACTTCCTGATTGTGAGTCAAACACCATAACCAGTCATCCAGCTAAATAATATTCAGTCTATCATTACCTGTATACAACAACTAGCGGTATTCACATGAATATTAAGCAGCAAACAGCCCTGAAATGTTCTCAAATGAGCGACAATGATGTGCCATTGAAAGCTCCGCATTCAAATGTTGATGAAGTAATTACCTCTATAGCATGTCAAAACAAAAGAGCAGACTATAGTTTGCGTATTATTAAGAGCGAGTCTTTCTGGTGAGCCTCGATTCCAGAATGCAAGTGAAAACATTCCCAAACGTCCACATGAACCTGGCAACCCAGGGGAAGTGAGCGCTGGTTGACGACATCTCAGTAAATTTAATTTAAAAAACGGGCCGCACTGGCGTGACCTTAGCAGACAAAATAATAATAAAAATCTAATGGAAATTGATCTAAGCTGTCTCGCCCTCAAGTTGACACCGATTGCTTCTTTACAGCAAGCACTGGCGACGATAATTATTATTTAAACGACTGTAAAGATCGATCAATGGCTTGAGATAGAATCCTCATGACAGCTTGTTGCAAATGCACACACTACACCATTTGTACTCTTTGGTTCTTTCGGTAAAAGTCATGGAGGTAGAAATAAAACAAAATAAATCACGACGTTTCGATAGCAACACAAGCCATCGTCTTCAGTTGAAAATCGCGATAGCAGCGATGTCTGCTGCGAGCAGCACGATGTCTGCTGCCTTGTGAAGAGAAGCTGTTACCAGCAAGAGTTTATATACGTTTTTGAGAACAAAGGTAGCCGAAGTAGTGTTAATGGGGTATTATAGTGTAAAGGTAATAAATAGCGTGGCATGTTAAAGGATTCTTGCAGTCACGAAAGCTTCCAATCAAGATTACATCATTTGTTTTTATTTATGTATTACTTACTGTTAGTAGCTCAGCTTATTGGAGAGTATATCTAGTATACCGATGATACTATGTAGTTTATACTTTAGTTTTTTACGTGGTTGTTTAGTTACTGCAGCTACATACTATTAACATTCCTTCCCTTTATTAATACTACCCATATCCCCTCCCTTTGATGCTGCTAATCCTGCATAATGCACGGGCATAATATGACTTTGAAAATCCCCCGCCCACCTCCTACGCATTTCACAAGTAGTACTAATCACATACCTGCATTTGCCATTAATATGCTAAATTCCTCTTGATATGCAAATTCTTTTGTCAAGGCGCCCTTCCAACCCAGCTTAAATAGACGCTCCAAGCGTGGTGGTGTTTCATTCAGACGCTGTCTTCCTGACAGACCTGGTCTTCACCCGAGGACGGCTGATTGCGTTGTGGCCGAAACGTCGTGAGAATTATTTTATCATGTTTTATTATTTTATTATTTCCCTTCTACGTGACTTTACCGAAAGAACCAATAAAATTACATAATTTGTGTTTTCTAGAAATTGTGCGCAAAGTTGCCCAGTGAACAAGTTATTTGCATTTACAGGGCATCGACATAGCTGCACAGAAATCCACATTTGGCCACGAGGCTATCAATGAATGAGCTCAAGCACGGAAGTGGCCCCATAATAATGGTCCAAAATGCAACAACGGTGAAAAGCGACATTTGAGCATTTTAAAATAAAACCACACTTTTTCGATCGGACGATGAGCCCTAGCACAGCAGCCGTTGTGGCTTATTAGGCAGTCAATGCATGCCTTACTCTCAGCAGTTCGTGCATGGGCTCACCACACGTGCATTAAGTTGGGTTAAATTATTCATCCGACAGCTGCCGCTGGGCCACCCAAGGGACCAAATGCTTTTGTTATCATACTGTAAATTGGACGGTGTCTTTTCCCCTGTTTAAAATTAGGCCACGGTCTTAATTCCGCCTACACACAATCAGAGCCGTTGAAATATTAAGGGTCACATGACTTCCAAATTGTATTGATTACTTAAAATAAAAACCGCTCCACAGGACTGGTCAGGTGGCTCCGAGGTCACTGCTCGGGGGTCACGTCTGAGCCGGCGCTGCTCAGACCTTGAATTCAAACAATCGTCCGTGATTAAACTACAAGCTCAAGAGGTTGAAATGGAGTGACCTTAGTAGATAATTAATGATCTTAGCCTAGTCTCCCCTACTTCCTGCTCAAATCAGCATCGCTCTTATTTACAGTTCTGAGCCAGTGGTCTGAATTCCACATTACTTTGGCAGGGACAAATCCATCCAGAGGACACCATTTTTGACTTCCCTTGAAATGTATGCTCATTGCTTCGACCCCGGAGGGAAAATGAGCTGTGGCAACCGCACACAACCAGGATATGAATTGCAACCTTCTGATTGCGAGCCGCTCACGCTACGGCTGAAGCTGAGCCACCTTGGCCAGATACACGTACTAAATTTAGTTTGCCACTCGCATACAATTTTCCAAACAGATGCCGAGCTGACTTGCCTGCGCGATAACCCTGCTAAAATCACATGACCGTGAGCATGTAGTGGAGGGGCCAAAGATCACCTTATGCTCATTTTAAGTCATTCAACATGCACCCGATGTCTTCAAATCTCAAAATCTAAACAGGTTATGGGTCTAAACTTGATTTGGAGCTTTCGTGACTGCAGGAATTACTTTCTGGTTCTTTCGGTAAAGTCGCGTAGAAATAAATTCAATTAAATAATAGAATACGACGTTTCGATTGCAACACAAGAAATCATCATCATCAGGTATGTTGCAATCGAAAACGTCGTATTCTATTATTTAATTTATTTTCTTTCTACGTGACTTTACCGAAAGAACCAAAAAGGTTATGGGTCTGGTTGGCACTTGGACCAGAATATGTCCTTGTGGTTCAAGGACTTGTTGTGCTTGAACCATAAGGACTTGTTAGAAATTGTAGGCATGAGGCCGATGGGTGAACAGGGGATGCCAGTGGTGTTATGTGTGGCTTCTACCCGGGTACAGTACTCCAGTTTCCTTCCTTCTCTCATCCATTGTATTGGCCAAATATTCCAGTGCAGGACCCGAGTGAAAAACAGCCTTGAGACTCAGTGAGGCTTTCCCGAGTACCTAATAATGATATTCCAAAGGACATCCTTTTCTGAAATCCTTTCAAACTGTCAAAATATATTTTGGTGAACTTTTTCGATCCACCTCATACCTGGACATTAGGAACAAAAACATGAAAACTAAAACCTCTTCCATCTTCAGGTTTGTTACCCTGAGGGGATATAGTACCATGTACAGTAGTTCCTTGGTTAACAGTGGCATCGGTTAACGATTTTATTTGGTTAACATTTCGCCAACCATAGGACCCCATGGTTTCGACTAACATTAACATTTTGATTAACGTCATGTTAACATTACGCACGCGGGCGCCAATTTCGGCAAATCGGAGCACTCATAAGTTGGGCTGAGCATGCCCTCAGCCAATCAGCGACACCCCATCTATGAGCGTTCAGACCTCGACTGGCTTTGTCTACATTATACGTTTTCTGTTTTGGCAGTGGAAACAGCTCTCTTGCAGACCGAGTGACTATGTTTATGTTAATATTATAATCCTTTAATATGTTCTTAGAATATTTATTTATTAATAGGGAGTGTTTACATGTTACAAACTATGTTTTTAGGGTCAAAAAGGTCAACTTCCGATCATCTAGGAACAGATGAATGTTTTGAACATGGAATTCCTATATTCGATTAACAGTTATTCCGGTTCGCAGTAGTTTTCGTGAAATGAATTAAAAATGCTAAACCGAGGGACTACTGGTACAGAAACATGTTGGCGCTACAGCACGATGGCCTATTAATTGCCTCTTTACAAGGGCACTAAACATAACAAAGGGAGGCATTAGGAAGTGCATGCCGCGTTGCTTTGAACCGTTTAATAATGTATTCGTGCCTGCAGCCACATGCTGTGCACGCACACACATAAAGGTTCATATGTTTCTAGATTTGAAGTTTTCGTGACTGCAAGGGTCCATACTCTTTGTTTTTTTCGATAAAGTCACGTAGGTAAAAAAAAAAAATCACGACGTTTGAGGCAACACAAGTCTTCAAATATATGAAAGAAATTCTCATGTGCGTAGAATTCAATGAAAACATCTATTTTAATTAATGGATCAACTCATAGTTTCATGCCTAGTGTGTGTGTGTAACCCTGCTTATTTGTTTCACATAATGGGGTACTGTGGTAGGGGCTAGGCATGTAAGAAGCGCATTCGCTTGTTGCACGTTCGGTTGAGGAGCAAGGATGCGTGAAATAACGTTTTGTGCCTCGGTAACACAAAAAAACTTTTCTTTTATAGTCAATGTCACTGTCCACTGGTGGTAAGTTATCCATGAATGCCACCAGTGGACAGCTACATCGACAACTAAAAATCTGCTCGGATGAAGTCGTGCGGCGTAATTTAAATGGAATATGTGCGCTAATATATTTCCCCTTATTTATTACATGTACATGCAAGGATGCAATGATTCGTGGCTTAAACATTCATTCTTATGCGCACAATGCACACGTCGAATCATGCGAGTGAGATGAAGCCATGCATGATGTAAGAAAATGGTATTCCAATGTAAAATTTAGGGCTATTGGAGTGGACAAAACCAAGAAACAACCTAAACGATGCTAAAAACAAGACAAAAAATAATTCATCATCGAATCAATTCGGAACACTCAGACTCGACCATTAATCAAAGCGCTCGGGGACTTTCGTATGCACGTACTGTATGTTCAACTTCTGTCACTCCGTACGTAAGCCAACCGTGCCAATCGGGGGTGTCAATTGTTACAAGCCAAAAATTAATGCCGACACGTAGTTTTATTCAAGAGTCGGGAAGCGTATCAGCCGACCGACGTGTTCACTCGCTGCAGCGTTTCGGTTTGCAATGCAAATGCACAACGGTAAAAGAATGGCGTGTTCGAGCATCGCGCAATGCGTGGGCGACATGTGGTTGCGGGACATCCAGCCACCATGATCGGCCTTCACTTTGCATTAGCCTGCGATTATCTTAAATTAAAAGCTGCGACACTACAAACAATGCGGCTGTCATGGCTTTAACGCCTCTAAAGTGTTTGGAAATCTGCCGTATCCACCTGTCGCCCCCCCCCTTATTCTCGGAACGCGCTCGCGTTGGGCCATCAATCGTGGCTTGCGTGCCCTGGCGCTGCTGTAATTACGCTCGGAGGCCATCCAGTTCACGTCGGGCGTGGCGCAATTTCCAGCTTCCCGTCCATTAGGGGAGCACAATTCAGCAGCGGAGAGCGCCTGTCTGCGCGTAAAGTCGCCATCACGGGTACATCCCAGTGGCCCTGAGGGGGCACTTGCCACTTAATGACACAAGAAATCACGTGCAGTTTGCCACTGTTAATAATTCACGGGGGGGCGGGGGGGATAATCACTCCAATGGTTTCCGTTTACGACTGTGACTAAGGAGAGGCTGGAAGCGTTATCAACAACACAAGTGAGTGAATGCAAACAAAAGGCAAGTATTTGGGGAGATGAGAAGCAATTGGTGCAAGGAGGCTTTGGTTGGCAGTTTGTTAATCCGCTGCTTGATGAAGGGTACGCCGAGCCACGACATGGGGGTTGTAGGAGTTAATTGACCACGCATCACCACGCCGGTCAGAGAGAACCGGTGATTTTCCTGCAATTTAGCTCCGCAAAATTAATACACGAGTAGTAACATTAACAGGATGCTACCAGCTCATTGCGACAAATTATTAAAAAACGATTGAGTGCTCACTTGGATGATGGGAGAATCATGTCGACATGTTAACGCCTTCAAACGAGCTAAGTCATCACACAATCGTGCTGTTTGTATGATTCCCCCAACACATCTACATCGCCGAGATAAGCTAAACCTATAACTTGCGTGTACTGGCTAATTAACCAGTGCGAGGTCATGTCTGGCATTACCAGCGTGGTAAATAAGGGGCATTATTTTTGGTTTATTTTTCAACACAACCATGACCACACTGCTGCTTTCCATTGCAAGGCAGTTGGTTTAAGGTTGCTAGAAGAATGGCAGATTAGCCTGAAAACGTAAAAACAAATTAGACCGTGCAGTGTTATACCATACGTAATTTTCTCAGTGTGGAAGGGCATCATTTACAGGTAAATGATCGTGCGTGACGGTTGGGTGTGAGTGGCCAAGCACCACAGTATCTGGTGATTTGTGCGTGGAATAGATATCAGTATAATTGCCCTCCCTTTTGTATGAATAATTCAATAACGCTCGCCCCTGGGCTCGGCTCTTTGGCACCGCTCTGAATGTGTGCGCTCTTGGGAAAGATCGAGGTCTTGGCTCAGACAGGGCCTCTTGCCTCGGTGAAGGCACCTGCACCCGAAACCCAACATTTGATCAGCGAGGTCGTCGATCTTGGTGCTATGGCCGAAGTGACTCAACTGTGAGTAGTTCCCCTATTCAAGCGGGATGATTAACTGTTCTTCTTGGTTCTTTCGGTAAAGTCACATAGAAGGGAAGTAATAAAATAATAAAAATAAAACATAATAATAGTGAGAATTATTATGTTTTATTTTTATTATTTTATTACTTCCCTTCTACGTGACTTTACCGAAAGAACCAAGAAGATGAATCCCTGCAGTCACGAAAGCTTTAAATCGAAATTTGATTAACTGTTGCGCGCCAGCCCCACATGCATCCATTACTGATTTGAACCCTACGCCCAACCATTACACACCATCCATTAGCTCGGCCTAGACAACCCTCTTATACCGACACCGTGAAGAGCAGAGTGGAACGGCAAATGAAGCTGCTATGCACTTGGGAAAACTATCTGGAGGGCACGGTGCAAAAGGAGGATAAGTATTTCTATCTCACTTTGCAAACGGATGCATAACATTGTTAATAGTAATGGGATGTGGAACTGGGTAGAATTATGCATGGATTAAAAACATCATGCTGTTATTCGTTTTTAACGTTTTAGGCCAATCTATAACATTCCTTTTCTTGAAGCAACCTTCAACCAACTGCCTCGTCCTGTGCAGTAGTTGGTTTAGCAATGATTCTGTTGAGAAATAATTATAACTCTTTCATTAACCCAGAGAAGCCTCACTGAGAATTAAGTCGTATTCAGCATTTCAATGTTTGGGCAAGTCCATGAACATATATTTAGTTTCATGGTGGACAGCACTGAATTACCCGGTGAAAATCCACAAATACTTTGGTACAACGCTCAAAAACGCCACACAGACAGGTAAAATTATAATCCATTGCTGTACGCCATCTCTTGTTCATTTAACAGCGTTGCATTGCACGTGGCGAAATCACGACGTTTTCTTCTTTAGGTGTTGCTAACTCACCCCAAGGCAAGCAAAAGCCACAAGTAGTCATCTCCAAAGACAAATTGACATTGTGATGATGGTCATATTGTACGGCTGGGTGCTTTCCACGCGTTACCTGTTTCTGTACGCTGAATTCAACTGCACGGAGTCTGGCCCCTTTTCAACGATTCCCACCCACACCTGATGCTTGTCAATGACGTGCGGGTTCTCCAGCTTGATGGGGAAATCACTGCGAAAGACAAAGATCACCCGTAGAGACTGAACAGACGACAGGAGCAAGTGCTGTTAGCGAGTACCTATGAAGGCCGGCATGGCGTACGAGAGGATGGTTGGCCAGCACCACGCCCGGACTCCTTTATCTCCCTGGTGGCGACGTTTACACACCACACCAGGTACTTATTTGAGGCCTAGTCGACCTAGGGGAAACCCAGGACCAGTTCAAATAATTGTCACTGGTGTTGACTGCGAGCAGGATTTGAACCTGGTTCGCCGAGTTCGTAGTGCAGTGGCATTAACCGCTGCACTACCGCTCCCTGCTTCACACACACACAATCGCAAGTTACAACAAGCATGCATCAGCTGAGACCCAAACAGTCAACACTCGTCCAGTTTGCTTGCTTAGGAAACAAATGTAAATGCCCAGCCTTCATCTCAATCCACTGCTGAATGAGGGCACCCCCACACCGTGGGTTGTAGGGGTTATTTGACCATACTTCACGCTGGTCAATGCAGGATGGTGAAAGCGGTCTCACCGCCTGGCTGCTTTTCCCGCTTGCCTGGTTCCTCGCGCCTACGAGTTGTTCTCTCTCTCTCTGAGAGCGAGCGAATACTGTTCGTGTTACAAGTTTAAATTATTGTCAATATTTACGGCGGCACGCTACAAATCCATGACTTTTGAGTTTTTCGCCAAACAATAATTTATTCGGTGGTATTGTTAATCATCATGTATGTAAATAAAGGGAAGGCATTTGTGGGGGCGGGGAATAATAACCCCACTTCGTTATGTGGCTAATGCTCTCTTTTCTGCGCTTCAGCACAATTTTAATTGCAAGCAAAACCAAAAACCAGGCAAGTGGTTCCAGTGTAATGCTGCCGATAAAATTCAATTTTACAGCTGTCTGTAACATAATAATTGCCAGCTGAGTAAGCCTGCTGATAAGTCAGCTTAGTCAGTAGCACACAACAAAGACATTTCCTTTAAGAGCAATTTACCCATAACAATGTTTTAAAATTACATTGAGAGCTAAGCTGCACCACAGAATTATTTTCATTATGCATAATCACTGAAAAAAATATATATATACCAAATTATAAATATGTCTGTTTTGCAAGGTTGGTTGGCTCTCATCGTCGAACGCCAGAAAATGTACCTCAGTGGGACCTCACCTCATTTTGAATAATGGACATGGACTGTAATAGGTAATTATTTACAAGGCAAAAAGTGAACACAGCATGCCACTTTTGCCTCCACTAAACCCACAAGCATGACAGTACCACAAAGGGGACCTCTTGACGTTTTCTAGAGAAACCACACGACTATTCAGCATTCTTCTGCCCGTGCCCAATTACCATAACCATTTGATGATGTTTAAGGTAGGCGCAGAAGGCCTGCTTTAAACTAAAGCCGGTCTTGCCAGTAGTGATTACAAACTTAATTTCCCATTTGTCCGTGTCCACGTGGCTTTTTTCTAGTCAAGCTTGTTGTGCCAATGTGAGCGGGAAGGTGACCTTCACAGCGAGTCTCTCAGAGGCGCCACAGTATACTCCTAATGACAGTCGGGGAAATTACAATCCCACGGCGCAACGTGGCCTCATTTGTCTAACGCTGACGGCCCCGAAAGCCGCCGCATAATCATCAGAATACCAATCAGAGTGCCGAATTCACGCGCCGCAAGTGTTAAACGAGGGCTGGTGTTCACAAATGCTCAGAAATGTAATTAGCACTGGAATGGTGATAAACCTCAAGTGCCTGGGGAAAAAAATCTGTTGCAGTTCCACCAACTGCAGCTGCCAACGTTGGAGATAAATACGCAGCAAACATGTCTTTGGCAGGAGGAGGATTGTTTGCGAACACAAGGCATACATCAGCTCCTTCATTAAAACTGATTCCTGTGCTTGTGATAGAAGCATTGACTTCTGCATGTAAGAATTTATAAACAAAAAATGTAAACTGTATATTCAGATTCTGTGTAAATGTCACATTTTGGCTAATGAAATGAAGTTGATGGAACTTGAGACATTAAGAGGACACAATAAGTTATTGTTTGAATACAATAATGAATCTGAATCGTGACAATTGATTCAATTGTGAGGTGTGTGGGAGTGAATCATGGCAAGACTACTACACAACAACACTCTTAAATAAGTGGACAACTTAGATTTTAGTAAGTGGAATTATTTCTCCAGTTTATGCCCGAAAATCCCAAATTCTGAAAAAAACAGGCCACACACAGCATAATTATTTTTCTGATCTTTTCACACAAGCTTATTGAGGCCCACACCTGATTACATTTAAACTGGGGGAAGAAAGCTATTACATAAAAAATATTAATTAGTGCAACTCTAAATATCCATAAACTGTGCCTGTCAATCTGTGCTATTATTCAGAGACCTTGCCGTAATTATGCGTGTTTAGATTAGTTGATTAAAATATTCTTACGTTCAGGACAGATGGATCCAATCATGCGCGAAAGCAATCCTTCTTCAACAAATTATGCAAACAACATTAAATTATCACCTTCACACCTTCAGGCAAATGGAAAGAGGCAGAACCAACAAGACATAAACTACAAATGAGACTAAAATTAGTAAATTCACGAGTCGATCAAATAATAACCACAAATTGTCACACTTCACCAAACTGCATTGGTGATGGAGGGCGCCCACTGGCAGAGCCAGTGGGGGGGGGGGGGTGGGTTGGCACGTGCCCCCCCAATGATCCGATCTAAATCCCTAATTTAGATCGGATCATTGGGGTATATTAGTAATAAATCGGCATTTAGCGATCCCCACTGCCACTGTGTAGCATATTATTGTGCCAGGGACTCTATGAGATGATAGGACAATAGTCTGAGTCCATAATTGGCAATAAGTAACGGCAAAGCAGTTATAAGTGACTCAGAATTGTGCGCAGTTGCGTATATAGTACACGACTTCCCTGAAGGCATACCTTCAGCGAGCACGATGGCGATCACACACGGTTCGAATTCGACCCTCGATCGATGGCTGCGCCATCGCCGCACATGCGTCGAATAAAAAGCAAGGGACAAGACTCCTTTCATTTTTCATTGCTGGAGGGGTTGCCCCCCCTACCTGAAAATCCTGGCTCTGCCATTGAGGGGGCCAATTTAATTGTGAACAACTTTCAAATCCAGAGGTGACCAAAACATTGGGGGCTGGCCATACAGGTCAGCTCACTGATGCTTGGCATCTTACAGAGCCTTGCCCTATAGCCTCATTGGCATACACGTTTCAACGTTGTGTTTTCACATTGGTGCCATCATCCGGGACTGGTCGGGTAGGAGAGAACTCCAAAGGAAATGTAGGTGGCCTCCAGGTTCAAGCAGTACTCTAGTTTAGCCTAGGGTATCAGGCTCCCTTGGATCTTTGCTAATCATTGAGAATGCTGACACGGCAAAAATAAATTCAATTAACTGCGCTTTGAGTAGCAGATGGAGGCCACTTTCAGAAGCTTCTTGTGCAAAGCCATCAACCGTATTTATTACACGTTCCAACGGAGCATAAGTGGGCTTAAGCAATGGGTTCACATGTCCCTTTAATGCTAACAATCAACAACTACACGATGGGGATGGGGAGGTATTTTTAGATGCTCCATTTCACAAGTCTCTTTTTTTGAAGCGAAGTGAAAAATGTACTTCCCTAAAGAGAGTATCCCACTGCAGATTGAGTGTAATTATGAATTTACAAGTGGGTAAAGCATGCAGCAGGAAACCACTGTGGATGTAAAACAAGGAGAGGAAGATGCGATGGGGCAGGGCATGTGCACAGGATGAACGAAGGCAGCTTCACAAGACAGGCAATGGAGTGGCACCAACAGGACACTGACCAAGTGGAAAACCTAAGCCAGATCGTGGTGAAGATGAGAATGTGAGAGCAACAACAACCGCCATTCGCCACTAAGTGGCGGTGACATCATCCACGATGCGTGTGACAGGCTATGTGCACCTTGAGGCCACGTGAAGTGTCAAACTCCTGCTGGCAGGAGGTCACGGGGCAGACCCAGATGCCACAAGGTCGACTGAGACTGGCTGATGCACCACCTGTGCCCCCTACTGTGCCAACTTGCTGTGCTTTATCCACCCGGCGCTCCGCTCGTTGTGGTGAGCGTCACTCCTCCGCCCTACGTTGTTGTTGGAGGCCGACTGCCTCCAACTGCCCAGTAGCGTCCTTCACGAGTCTCCTCCACAGAGGCCGATCTTGACACCGCTGGTACCAGTCATCGGCAAGTCTACTCAGCTCCACATTCTTCTGTACCACATCACTCCATCTCTTCTCTAGCCCATGCCGCAACCGTTTAGCCCCCTCGATCCGGCCAAACAAAAGCTGTTTAGGCATGCGGTGGCTGGGCATGCGGGCTACATGGCCGTCGTGGTTTTGTCGTAATTAATTAAAGGTGGGGGGGGGTTACCAGCCCCTTGTACCTGTCCAGAGCCCCCATTTGGCCGCTGTGGTGGTTACAAACGCCATAAGGGAAAAGGCCAATCTAAATTATCCCTCCCCCCACGGCACTGCCGACCACAGCGTAGCCGCCCGGGAAAACGAGGAGGTAGGGGGTTGTTTTTGCCGGACCATGTGAGAGCAGTCCTTGAAGCACACACGGCAACCCTGCGTAGAGTTCGTGGGGCATGTTGGGGCTGAGTGTAGGGGTCACTTAGAAGACAAGGGACCACGCCCATAGATATAAGAAGAGGGGGTGTGCAGGCAAAACATGTGGGGGATAGGGCATTGGGAGAAAACCCCAGTGGCGGGAATGAGGAGATGGCATATAAGGGAGGAGGAGACAAAGGAGGATGGGCTCCGAGAGAAGAGGTCTCGTCGCAAGGATGCGTGTTTGTGCCCTACAAAGCGCTGGTGTTGGTGTTGCTTGGAACAATAAATTTTCCCTTACAAGGACAACACCTGTGGACTCCATTTCATGTGTAACAAGGGTAAGAAATAAAGCTAGAGTGTGAAAATGCTATAAGAGTCAAGCTTGGAGGTTAGATAACGTTATAACAACTGCAGTGACACTGAATTTACAAGTGTGGTGGCATCATTGGCATTAGCCATGATGACCTCTTGACCTTAATAAATATAAAGTTGCCTTCCCATTCGTGCCTCCCGCAGGTACTCACATCTGCAGCTCGGCGGTGAAGGAAGCCATGGGGGAGAGTGTTCCGCTGGTGAGGATGAGACATCGCACATTTTGCTGCAGCAGCTCCTTCATTGTGTGGCCCGGGCTGAAGCACCAGTAGCTGACGACCTTGCCTGTGCACAACGAGTGAGACACACGCGCAGGCACGGGGTTATTGGGGCGTCTTTGGTGGCGACATGTTAACTACCTTGCCTGGTATACGGGAGGTCGTGGGTTTGATCCCGACCCAGACGCCCGTATATTTGGAGTTTGCGTGATTTTTCTCCGGGTCCTCCGGTTTCTCCTTCCACATTTATAAATATGCGTTTAAGAGGATTTGGCCGCTATAAATTTCCATGTGATAAGCCACTTTGTTGAGCTGTCATTTGTGGCCAGGTTACTGCTGAAAGAGAGCTATATAGCTCACTGGGCCTTACCTGGCATAATACAAGTTTTTTTTTTATCTTCCACAACTCTGCAGATAATAGGATCAACAAGTACGCGGGGAGAGTGACACTTTATTTGAATCTCATTTTACTTTTTATATATATCTGGAGCGCCTTTATGCAATTCTGTTTTGTTATGTTATCAAGAGGGTATTTTTGATCATATATCATTATGTACCCAATATTTGTTGTCAATGCTATGGTTAACTTTTGCTCACATGTTGAAACTTGTGATTTAATTATCGAGAACACGCGCTAAACCTCCACCTATTAAACAAAAACATTTAATTGATCAGGGAAATATCATTGAGCTATTAGATCTATTTCAGAGGCAACCTGGCCACAAATGATAGCTCACCGAAGAGGCTTATATCATGTGTGGGAATTTATACTAGACAACGCTCTAAATGCACGTTTCTAAATGCGGAGGGAAAAAACTAGAGGACCCGGAGAAAAATCAATGTGACCATGGGGAGAGAGAACACGCAAACTCCAAATATACAGGCGTCGGGGTCGGTATCAAAACCACGACCTCCTGCGGGGGTGATAACATCTCGCCCCAAACCAATTACTGCAGGGCAACTTCACACATTTTGCAAGGGTGGATTGCTCTACGACCTCAGCCCAAGGGTCCTCAGTACTCGGCTACCACCCAAACAAGGCGACCTCACCTACACACACCTCCCGCTAATCACCCTTGATCCCACTGTCTTCTCTCTACATCACCAACCGAGCACTCACCTCCCTGACACTCACCACACGTTACACCGCAGACTCCCTCTCCCCTGCTCGCATTACAAACATTTTAGTGACGATTAATTATTAATGCAACTTTATCCCCTCGACTTAACATGACATGAGAAATGCGCGAGGGTTTCAACACACTCGATTGGCCCACCAAGCCAAAGACAGCATTGGGGAAAGAAATAAGACTTTGTCCATCAAACAGCTGATCGAAGGACCTGTGTAGTAGATGCTGCTTCAATTGATTGCATCACTAGCAGCCTGTGAGCAAGGGCTGCGATCAATGGGCAGGGCACACTGCCGTGCCGACATGAGGCAGAACGTAGCTCCTATTGAACGGTGCGTTCGGAAGCAGAGCGTCTCGTCAAGGCAGCCAACGTCACTCACCCGCTCGGCCAATGAGCGCGCGGCGCACTGGGCCTGTGAACAACCGGGAGTTCGCCGGAAGGTACGGAGCCTCCGATTGGCTGGATATTTTGACGCGCCCACCTAGCACTCCGCCTGGCAGCTCCTCAGACCCGTTAGCTTCTGTTACGGTGCGCTCTGGGCTGACAGGTCATTTGACAGAAAAGCGCTCTGGGGCACTCTGTCTATTGAACGCAGCCCAAATTCATAAAACTCCTTTACTTCGCATTAACTTACATATAAAAAGTTAGGCCTGTCGATTAATGCAACTTACCTTTCTACGATGAGAGATTTTTACGTTAAATTAATTTCAAAAACAACTTATAGGTTCTTTCCCCCCCACACAATACTCATGTAGGTAATACGTGTTAGTCTTGCATGCTTTAAAAACATATTTACCAGTAAATTTACAACCCCCCATCTCCAGCAATATTGCAACTGTGCTCAAAGGCCATAGTGTGTTGAGTAGTAGTAGATTTTCCAATTCAATTCACACTTATTATCTACAATGTGACGCACGTTCTCACCTACCCTGTAATATATACATGTTCACATATTGCAATCAAGCCAAGTATTTTTCAAGTGAAATTCCAAATATTCTAAAACTGCTTTTTTGATTGATAAAACACAGGGTTATTTCCCCGAACATCCCAGTCAACCTCAAGATTGAAAAAATAAGAATAGGTTTTAACCTTTCTGGCAATAAAACAGGTGTTAAGATGTTCAAACACCAAGGAATCAAGTTCGTATTAAACACACACACTTGTGGTGAACATGATCTGATAATATATGCATTGTCTTTGAAACTGATTGGCCTACACCAGAGACAGCCTTCTTTAGGGCCTCGTCTCACCGGTGTCAGACCAGAGAACGCCAAAAGGCGAACAGCATGTTTACCAAAAGCACGTGTGGTTAATGCAAACCCGATTCCTTGCAAAAGGTTTCTATTTGGTGTTTGAACATCTTAACGCCTCCTGTTTTTTTTTATTTAAAGCTTTCGTGACTGCAGGGATTCATATTCTTGGTTCTTTCGGTAAAGTCACGTAGAAGGGAAATAAGAAAATAATACAAATATTAAAAAAAGATTTTTTATTATTTTATTATTTCCCTTTTACGTGACTTTACCGAAAGACAGTCCCTCCAGAAAAACGCGATTATGCGATCGCAAGATTCCACGCAAAATCAGCCAAAGTCCGCATATTTATGCGGGGCGCGCGTTTTTTCAAATACGCCGCACTTTCGCCGCATAAATTGCAGATTTCCGCGCGCAAAATATGCGGGCTTGCATGATTTCATAATCCCCGCATTTTCGTTGCAAAAAGTCACATATATCTTAGCAGAAAGTTGAAAAATGTTGCGTTTACTTCACACAAGCGCAGCCATTTCCCCTGTTGCCATGGGAACGTTATGAAGTGTTAGAGGCTACGTAGTTAGTTTTATTCAGGAGTTTATGCAACTTTACAGTTGTAAGATTGCACTTTTTTGTTAGTAGTATGTAAATTTACATTACTGTAAGACTGTACTGTTACTGTATTGCTTACGTTACTGTGCACTGAAAACACTTATTTTAACAGAAGATGTCTGTTTTGTATAGCTACCTCTGTAAAACAGGAAGCACACATTTTATTTTTTTATATTTTATTAATTCATTTTTACAGAAGTTGTAGCATATTCATTTTGTAAAGCTACAGAACTTGTTCGACTCAATGTTTTGTAAGTTTGAGCCATCTTTTTGTTAAGGTCTGAAATAAAACAAGATGAGAACTTAAATATTCCCAGCACTTTCTGTGATGTAGTATGCTTGCTTATCATAGGAAGTAATAAGAAATGACTCTTTACATTAAAGTAGTAGCCTAGTGAATAGGGTGTTGGGGGAATCACTTTTTTTTCTCTTTTTCATCAAACCGCAGTTTTTGCAAGTTCCCGCAATTTTTGCAAGTTCCCGCAATTTAATCGCATAAAATTGCATAAATATCCCGCATATTCCATCGCATTTTTTAAGAAAACGTGCCGCATAATCAACGATTTTTGCCCGCAACAATCACCAAAAAACTCCGCGTTTTTCTGGAGGGACTGGAAAGAACCAAGAATATACCTCCTGTTTTACTTCCAGAAAGGGTAAAACCTATTCCTATATGTTTGTACTTTGATACTGGCAAAAAAGGTCTCATTTTGTAACCTCATAAGTTCAACATACATATTGGAATAATGGCACAACCTAAGTGGCCTCTCCATCTCCGAGCACCCCATTGGTGTATAAACCCATGTGACGACCCAGCATGCTCTGGCAGACACGGCCAATAGGAGAGTGCCACGTCATATGGAGCACGGCTTTATAGCCTCTTATCTCTCCCCAGCAGAGTTCCCAAGCAATCTGAGGCTACACGACTTCACACAAACACGAGCCAAGAGTGCAAGGGTCGTGCCTCCCATGATAGAATGTATCATTGTGTGCAGCCGCCTTCGTACAACATTTAATAATGATTACTCAAGGATTATCAGCGGCTATTTTAAGAGTCGTAGCTAAACGTACCTTTAAATAGTTTATCGTGAATATACGGACTGCAACAATCAATACGCTACATTAACGATATTATTTAGCGACATTAAATAAATTGCACGCCTCGAGAATGCAATTGCCTTGAATATATATAATTAGCGATCACCTGCACGAGCATATTTAATCTAAATTGGCATTAGAATATTGTGTGCTTGTATGTCTGGCCGTTGGACATTCAACAATTCTTCATCCCATTTTCAATTGTACCAATTCAGGATTACCACTGAAATCAAGATTAAATTATTTTTCATCTCATCTCTGCCATCCTCAATGTATCTATTGCCTGTCCCGTCTGTTATGTCTGATTCATTGCAACATCCTAAAGGTATACTCTTTGGTTCTTTCGGTAAAGTCACGTAGGTATAAAATAAAATAAATCACGACGTTTTGGGCGCAACACAAGCGTCCATCGTCAGGTGGGATGATGGACGCTTCCTGCAGCCACGAAAGCTTCAAATAAAAATCCTAAAGGTATGTTGACGTATAATTTGCATACATCATAAATAACAGATTCTTGGACGCACAGATTCTTTCGAACCTCTGACGAGCGTGGTTGGCTACGTGCAGTGCGAAAGAAGTTGAACATACATACACAACCTGATGCAAACACTGGAAATGTAAACATTGATTTCAATTGAGGGATCGATACATTACAGGGAACTTCGGGAAAAAAAATTAACACTTCTGAGAATTTGCAACAATATCACAAGAAATGTGCCTCCGGGCTTTGGAGACGACCTGGAGAAGATTCCAGGCATGTGTTGACAATGATGGCGAACAAGTGGAAACTCTTTGACTTTTTGAAGCGATTAACATACATTTGTTATCGTGTTATAGTGTATTCTGTTCTTTTTCCATTAAAAACGATAGTCCCATACAAGTGTTCACATTTTGTTGAAGCACCCTGTACACCACACCCTGACATTCTGCTGCTGTTCATAGCCATACATATCGGAGTCCTACAGAACAGCGAACTGCTTATTCTGCTACCTCACCTTGTTTTTTGGCTGAAGAAGCCGCCGCCCAGGGGTCTGCTTTCTGCTGCTGCTTCTTCTTCCAGTTGCTGTCATCCATGCGAATGTGGACCTGCCAAGGGTGCAGATGTCTCAGCTCTTTCCCCAATTTTGTACCACAAACTGCAGATGTCTGTTTAATGAACTATGCACCGATGACTGGCGAAGAGGGCCAAAAAAAATAATTAGTTTTGCAAATAAATAAATAGATCTCAAAGCGTCTTCCAAGAATCATGTGGGCACCAATTCAAGTCCCAAGCGTTTCCACAACCCATAACATACAAAGGATCCCTGCAGGTTATCCATCAGCCATCAAACTGTCAATTCTCAGCCAAAAACACCAAGGCAGGCAGGTGTGCCAGCCAAAATCCCAGGCCTGCTCTCACTGACGCAGGTTCAACTGCACCTTAGAGGGCTTCACCCTGACCAGGTGGTTTAGAGGTGAGGATGCTGAGCATTCCGATAGCCCCTCCACAACACGAAGAGTTGCGCACTGCTCTGTAAGGAATCCAAATGGACACTTAATGTCACGTGATGACACAATAGCCTAATCGGGATTAAGTTGGAAATGTATTTTTTTAAGGGTTTCATCGCACAAGGCTATGGCTGAAATTCAACTTGGTTGTGCTCATCCAACTTACCTTGTAATAAGTCTCCATGTTTGCCCTTTGTCGGTTTTCGTGTGAAAATGCAATCTGTAAAGTTACAAAAGGAATTTGGAATAACGGTAAAAGTTAAAGACCCAATAGAGTAAAGAAAAGACAAATTGTTTCGAAAAAAATGTTCACGAACTCAGAGTACAATTTGGCTATGGTCCTACAAATAATTTGGTAACTCAAACTATTCTGAATGTAACAAAAATACACAACAGTAGAATACAAATATAATGGTCACATGCCTGGAAAGCTTCCAACAGATTCTGTATCCCAGTCGTGTTGTTGAATATCCCCGTCTCTATGAAAAAACACGAGAATCCATAGGCAGCCATCAATGGCAGACAACCGTAGGTGGGTGGGTAAAACATTATCTCTGGAGGGGGCTGATATAATTTAGGAAAGTTAATGAAAGACATACTCTTTGGTTCTTTCGGTAAAGTCACGTAGTTAGAAATAAAATTAAATAAAACAAATCACGACGTTTCGATCGCAACACAGATATTTTGCTGTGACGGTTTCACCTGAAGACGGAAGCTTGTGTTGCCTCCGAAACGTCGTGATTTTTATTGTTTTATTTTTATTACTTTTACCTACGTGACTCTACCGAAAGAAATAAGAGTATGAATCCTTGCAGTCACGAAAGCTTCAAATCTAGAATTGCTAAAACCAACGAGTTGCCAGCTTCGTCTCAAGCGGAGCACGTAGTAGGCTGACAGCCGAAGGGCGTGGGTGTTCACCGACTGCGTCAATCTACCGCGTGCTCCACTCGTTGAGCCCTCGCCCTCTCGCCAAGTCGAGCTCAGAGAGGTTTTACTGCACAGCACGTGTGTGAAGACAAGCTGGTAAATATATCCGAAGGGACTCAGCCCTGTTAGTCCTAGCCACCTGCCACCGATGCACACAAAATAAACATTATAATTACCTTCCAACTATATTACGTTGTTGTTAAGTTCCCATTGTCAAGTCACCAGACGCAGCACAGCAGTCAGGAGGCACACAGCCATAAGATAATTTACTCTGTCAGGTTTACACGAAAACGGTGGTCCCAAGTACACCCCCCCACAAAGCACCCCTTGTAGCTACTTCCATGCACCACGATTCCAATATACAGAACCCCACAAAGAGCCCAGTTCATATTCATTGAGTATGGAACATTCCCAAATAAACTGGACACATTAGTATCTAAAGCAGACAATATCAGAGTGATGCAAATCGCGTGTAGCAGATGCCAATTGGAGAGGTTAACAAGTTACTCACTGATGGTGATCGCTCCCACGATGCACTCCAGGCCGTCCATGAGGTTTTTCATGATGTGAGACCCAATGCCCGCCCGCTCAAAGAGCTCAAACAGGAAGCTGGGCACACACAATGCACGGCGAATCTCAACACTGAGCCAGCTGTGTGGTTCTTAGGCTTAACGAACAGATGAACAATCCGTTACCTCCTCTGTGCATGTGTATAATCCGCTAATGAATGAGGGCCTGTCCATGCCCATGTGGGTTATTTAACCATAACGCACCATGCTGGTCATTGCTGGTTTGTGCAGGTGGAGAACACAAATGTGGAAGCAGCGAAGTACAGCTCAACAATGTTATTTTGTGCACTGGCATCTGCTGCTCACCCATGTAGCCTCACAAGCCCTATGGTGACTTGTTTGTGCATGGTGGTCAACCATTGAAGGGTTTCCCCCGGGTTCAACCCCTTCTTCGCTTCAAGATCTGATGAGATCGAACCCACTGGGTGATTTGGCCATAAGCATCAATAGAAGGATGAGAGATGCAGGACCTGTTGCTCAAATACAATAAATAAAATTATATTTCATATAAGTTTCAAAACAACTACAAAAGAGGAGCAAATGTTGCATATGTATAATGCTGTAGTTGATTTAATGAGCCCATATGCACTCAAACACACCCTTACAGTATTTCCTCTATTGTCTGTTACAATGCAAGTCGATTGCCTGCAATGTGAAAACTTCCACCCTACGTTCCTCTTTATCAGCTCACAAGTTTTGGCAATGCTTCCACTTGATATCCATAGTATGCAGTACACAGGGGTATGAGGATTCTGGTTTCCTCTGCTTGAGTTACAGCTCTTCAGGCAGGGCCCATATACCCATGTCGACAGATCAATAACCCGTCAGGATATTGACATGCTTCCCTGAACAGCAGCTGCCGCCCAGTGCTCGCAAATTAGCGCAGATCATCACCAGCCAATCTCAGCGCTGCGGGGGATGCCGGAGGATTGTCACCGCATTGTTCAAACATTCACCCTCCGAAGCACCACGTGTTGACGCCTCAGTAGTGATCAACGCAAGGGGAGCGGGACCCAACGGAAGCTGCCCAGTGCTGTGATGCAGCACTAATTCCCCACAGCACGTGCTCAGTGCTGCGAGAATGCCAGCGGAATGTCACCCACCCCATTAACCTCGTGTGATCAACGCGGAGAGAGGGGGTGTCAGAGGCATGGTATGCTTTGTGGACGGTGGGCGATGATGTACCTGCCCTGTTTGGTGATGCCACCCCCCCTTGGCAGTTCCACAAGATCAATCTCTCGTTCCAGGTTCAGCAGCAGCTCTGTGAACATTTTTGCATCAACCATTAAGTCACAAGGCCCTCTCAAACGAGGCAATATTTGCATTCCATCAACATCTTCTAAAAACTGCTTAGTGGCTCAGCTATACTTTCACGGCACCACTTAATTACATGGGGACGTGATAACTATATTAGAAAAGTCACACTTAAAGAAACAATTACAAATGTTTGATAGTCCATGCATTTAGAATAATGGAGTATTTCAAATGTATTATATTATTACAGCAACACACACTGCTTATATGTGCAGGCATATATTCATTCAAATAAGAAATGAAAAGAAAACAAATTGAACAAAATATTGAGTAAACACTTACGCTTTATATTTGCAACGTCCTCTATACTGACATCTTGAAAGACAAGAAAACGTGGGAAACAAGCCAAAGAGTTAGACAAGTTAAATCGACAGCAAAGTACTTGTGGTCACCATATTATTCCACGTGTATTGTACCACAGTTGTAGAAACCTCAAAATGCAGTGTCTGTGGTTTCAAATGTGGTGCCTGTCGTTCAACTTAAGCAAATTAAATAAATACGAGAGCACAACTGAATTCACCATAGCACGTGGCCACTGGCTCCGGCCACCTAAAGGGGTGCCCCCGGTGGCAGGATGTTATCTCCCTCGCCTGGTATACAAGTTGTGGTTTTCAATCCCGACCCTGACGCCTGCATATATGGAGTTTGCATGCTCTCCCCGTGGTCACGTGGGTTTTTCTTCCGGGTCCTCTTGTTTTATAAGCCACTTCACTAAGCTATCGTTTGTGGCCAGGTTGCTCCTGAAAAAGAGCTATATAGCTCATTGAACCTCACCTGATAAAAAAATATAGTTTAGTTCATAGTTTAAGTTCCACTAAATTATTTGAGCAAGACGACCCCTTGACCTTCCGATATAAAATAAATACAATGATCACTTTCCACTTGAATTTACACAGCTGGCTTTGGGCCGCCACAAGAATTGGAAGTCACCCCCACCCCCAATTGCTTTGTCTTTATATACAGAATAATTAGGATGAATATAAAGACAGTTTGGGTCTTTGGGGGTTTATTTAACCATCCTTTTGAATGGGGATTGGAGAAGCCAAGGAACATGGACGTGGAAAGATGCAAGTATATTGCACTCATGGATTTTTATGTACTGCCCTCTGCTACCCACCATGTAGCCCCCATAGCCTATAATACCTGTGGTGGCCATCCATCCAAGCAATTGTCAGGCTCAACCATGCTCAGCTTTAATTATCTGATTAGATTGGGCACATTCCAGGTGATTTTGTCACAGTTTGTGTTCGAGACTAAGATGAGGTCATGTATGTTGACAGTAGCCAACCGTGCCAATCGCATCTCCGATAAGGTAAAATGGCATTGGGTTATGTGCAGCATGTGTTGGTGAGAGGCATGGGGGTGGCGGGGCATAGAGGGAAGAAGAGTCACATGCCGGATGATGAGCCGTCGCCGTTGAATTCGTCCGTTGACCTTAGCAGCCCCTCCTCCTTCACCTTCATCTCCAGGAAGTGGGAGACTGCGTCTATGCTGGACGCCAGCTCAAACGGGGTCAGGTCAAAAGAAGCCGCATTTTCGCACAGCCTCTCCTGCAAGTGAGCAAAAACCATCACAGATACAATGTTTGCATGTGCCCCACATCTCACGTACGTATGGTGCAAAGGAAGCTCAACAATAACATGTTAACAAATATATAGATTTTTTCATATTGCAGCACAAGAGATGAACACGGAAATTAAACTCATTGCACATCAGACGCTGATCAAGGAACTAGCAATTCTTTGCTGCAATTGGTTTTACGTACCACGTTGTGGGCTTCATCGAAGATGACGATCTTTCCGGAGAGATCGATGCTGTGTGCTCGCCGACTCTGCCACATCGATCAGTTTGTTAAAAGGCATCGAGGTGGCTTTACCAGACGCAGAATGGATTACCGGGTTCATTGATTGCGAAAGGCAGTTGACGTACGGCATTGTCAATTTACACGCAAACTATTGGTGAATGTGAGCGTTCGGGGAATGTGGACACTTATCACACTTGACAAACTGCACGATGTACGCTCCATGTGCCTCACCTTTGTGTCGAGCAGGTAATTATACGGCATGAATACGATGTCGGCATCGTGCTTCAGCTCCTGGGTCATGAAGTATGGACACACCCTTGAATTTATCAAAGGAGACCACGAGAACAAGAGACGTCTCATTAAGCCTCTGCATAAGTGACGATCTCATACATGCGCATTGCTTGTTGATGTCACTTGTAATTCTGATATTTCGGAAAACTCCACGGTTAAGACCAAAAGCTCTTTATTATTGCGTTGTTGGATTCCAAACATAGATATTTGTATTCTTGTTTTTTTATTGTTTTTTATTATTTTATTATCTCCCTTTTACGTGACTTTACCGAAAGAACCAAGAATATGAATCGCTGCAGTCACGAAAGCTTTAAATAAAAAAATAGATATTCGTATTCATTAAATTACTATATCCACATTTAGGTCAGCATGATTAAATGTCTGCCTTTGACCAAATCTCCCCAGAAGGCTGCTGATCTCAACAGATCTCGAAAGCTGATTTGAGCCTAGATAGTGCTTGGATGCACGACCACCATGCATAACAGGTCCTCTGGGCTGTAGGGTGAAATTATAGGCAGCAGAGAGCAGTGAACTATAATCTATTGTTGTACTGTATTTATATGCTCCCACATCTATGCTCCCCATCTTTACCTGCCGACAGCGAGAAGCGTGAAGGTCAAATATCCCCACAATCCGCAAGATGTGGGGAGGCATTTATCCAGTAGTGGACGGATAAGGGTCGTACATGTAAACATATACAGTATACTGCTTACTTTGCAGGATAATGCTGTTGTATTTGTACGTAATTATCTAGAGGGCAGGTTTTAATGACACTGGGATTTTAAATGGGTGCCTGGTGCAGTAATGCATGTAAAATGTGCCAATGATTGCGGCGCATTCCTCAACAGAGTATTACTAAATGAAGCAATAAATGAAGCAATAAATAAATATTCACTGTTGTTTTTTGCCCTTCTTCACAAGTTCCTCCACGTCCATTATCCCGGCACTAAAATCCGTCTTCTTCTCTGTAATGGAAGGAAAAGTGGCATCAGCTGCTGTCAACACCAGTCAGAATCAGAAACTGTATTTAGACTGGAGAAATCCGACGAGCAAGACAAAGCGCTCATGCCATAAGAGGCAACACAATAAATCACTCGCATGTTTACTGCAACTGAATAAATGTTGCACATTGCAGCACTAATAATGCAGCCGATCCTCATCAGATCTCAGAAGCGAAGCAGGAATAGCCTGGATAGCGCTTGAATGGGTGAACCCCATGAACAAAAGAGAGGTGTGATAGGTTGCTGCGGGCAGTAGAGGGCACTGCAGAAACATCTGTTGTTGTTCTACACTTCTCTCCCACCTGTAACCCCCACGAATCAGGGTGGTGAAGTATGGTGAAACATCTCTCACTGCCCGCCAGACGTGGGGAAGCTCTCAACGAACAGTATAATGAATAAAGACACTGTACATCAATGCGCTGCACTACAAAACTTCAATGCTGTGTGTGTGCAGTTTCTGCCATAAGATGTTTGTTATCCATAAAAATGCATACCCCACAGGCAACCAATGACATTGCATATTTATAGTATTTAAGTTGTATCTGGTTTCATTGAGCAGCTTACAGTTTTACATGCAAATCTAATTACACTAGTCGCAGAAAATACATGCTCTCGGACACCTATGCACACAGCATGGCACAATCTCTCTCCTGTCGACATCGTCCCTATTGGAACGAGACCTTTTCAAAAATATCTCATCACACCCCTTGACCCTAACAGGACAGCGGCAGCTGCGATGATCTCTCCTAAGCAAGGTGCAAGTGCTCATCCAATGCGCCAAAGTGCATTCGCGGGTGCTTTTGGTGCGTCGTGTAAAAGAGCAGCTTGCTCAAAACGGACAGCACACTCACCTTCTACGTTGTTGTAGTAAACGCAGGACCTGCTGGTTGTCTTTGCACGGCACAGATGCACCTGCGGAGATGCATTCCACCCATTACCGTGCACAGTTCGCAAAAGGTCCATGACATAGCCTCCAAATGCTAACAACTTTTGATATCTCACATTCTGAGGAAGCATGAATATCAGCACCCATAAGGCATCACAAACTTAAACTAGTACCTATATACTAGGCTTATAACGATTCACTCCACTTACACACTCTGAAGCATTACCATGATTTTGGGGGTCACTATTCAATTAAATTATTGATTTGTTGAATTTTCAGTCTTGTTCATCTTGTCTGTTCTGTCTCATGAAAGCAGTCTCAGTCAATTTGTCTATGCAACATCTGCAAATGACTTGCATGCAGCATAACTAATCAACTCAAAGAAACTCTTCATTGCATTATAAGTGTATGAATATTTTAGTGAATTAATCATTACATGCCTACTATAAGATAATTCATACCGAATCACAAATGTGCTTCGTGTGTTGTCTGAAGCATTTTAGCAAACTAGGCTGTTTGAAATACAATCAATATTTAGGACCCATGAGGCAGAGGCACATTATATTCGCACAAGCCAAGATGAAGCCAACTGATTTTTGTAAAATAATGCAGCTTTTAAATGAAATTGGATAAAAACAAAATTTGATATGGTCACGTTATGAGATAATAGATTTTTCTATGTTAAAATACATTTAATTAGGCCTGGAAAATACATTTTATATATATATAAAAACATTGTGTAACAAGATAACTAGACAACCATAGAGAGTCAAGTTCACAAATTAAGTCTCTAATTGTTCTTGTAACAATCATATACTCAATTTGAAAACTCATTTCTTTAGAACTGCTTTTTGTGTTTAATTTGTTGTCCTTCCCCGCAGCTCCGATTACCACCGGTGGCTACATACGGTGCAAAACAAGTTCAACATACATCCATAAAGGAGTTTAAAAGTAGAGATAGGTAACCCTCTGGTCGGACTCTACTGGTTTGACACTCGGTCGACGACAGTGGATGATCATGAACTGCATTAGAACATCACACAAATTCTGCGGATACCCGATGCTCATGCGGACACTCAATATTACTCGACAGTATGAATGTAAAGAACTTCAAACAACATTTATAGAACTGCTTCCCTGTTGCTCATTTCCTGGAAACACCTCTGAAATTCACTCCGCATCTCCCAAAACTCTTTATTGAATGTCACAACCCAAGGTGATACTGTAAAATGTTCCTATTCCTCCATGCGATGTAATTTTGGCAGGCAGTCTTTATCATAGCCCTGGCGCCAGTGAACAATGCCAAGCGGTTGTTGCATACCTTCGCATGATTGCTCTCCTGCTTTACGACGTCCGGGTGAATGCACAGCTGTTCCCTGGATCCCAACACGCACACACGTGGCCTGTGGCGAGCACACGCGCAAAACAATGAGATGTCCTGTTAAGCCATACAGACTGTTGGGGCTCTTAGCGATCGCCTATTGAAGCCATCATGGCACACAAGCAGGTGAGATGAAGCCAGAATCACGCCCGGTCACCTTCGTCTCACCCACCACACTCATTTTACTCATTTTTAGGCGAAGTCGATCTCAGGGATGAATAGGGCATGTTCAAATGCCACTGATGTTCCCTGCAGTCATGAATTTAACTCAAGGTCGAGGTTTGTATCGATGTGCACTGACCAATGTGTCACCATTCCCCACATGCATGCTTACAAAGACAAATATCCCCCGTATAGCCTAACGGACTGTTTGGGTAAGTGCTGTTTGTGAGCACCTACAAAGGTCGGAATGGCAAAAGAGGGGGTTGGTGGGTGGCCAGCACCACGCCCGAGGCCGCCTTTGTCTCCCCAGTGGCGATGTTGTCACATTGCACCGGGTACTCATTTAAGGGTGAGTCGATTTAGGGGAGGCCCAGGACTGGTTCAGATAAGCGTCAATGGTGTTGGCCGTGAGCGTGAATCGAACCCGGGTCGCCGGGTTCGTAGCGCAGTGTGCTAACCGTTGAGCTACCGCTCCCCGTTGTATACATTCATACACACACATGCAGAGGCACACAATACTCAATGTGAAATGGTTGAGTTAAATTGAGTTTCTTGCATTCAAAGCAATGGAAACCATACACTTACCACCTAATATGTGCCAGCCTTCTTAAGTGCAATACATTGATTGTTTTAGGCAAACATTTTTGCATTGTCTGTGTCCCCAGAATGTGAGAATGTGTGCATCAGCGTGTGGGCTCGGGAAAGTTACATCCCGAGAAGAGATGGCTAATGGTTAAGACTGACGACAAAGTGGTAGTCAAAGTATAGAACATGCCCAGCAGGACATCCAGGTCAGAGATAGTGCAATTGAATCACATTTGTGCGAGGTGCACGGCGATGATTTTCAGAGGCCTCCATTCTGCAGTGGGCAGATAATGGCTGATGACGATTAATAAGACGATGTTTTTGTTACAATGTGTCCAGTATGCTTGTGTAGGCAATCATACTTGTAGGATGCATTTTTCAATTCGTTCATAGCCTGTGAAAGCTGGGAGTGGGTCCGGGAGGAATAGATGATCTTGGGAATGTTGCCGACGCCACCTGTAACAGGCAAAGTCACCAATCAATCTAAAACGCTTGAACAGTAATACAAATAACGCAATGATATATCCACCGAGTGACCAAAGCAGCTTTGAATGTTGTTTAAGCTCTGTAATTTATACTGAAGCCGGTTTGGGGATGTTACCATACACACCGAGTAGTCAAACGATATCCATCATTCAAAGGCAAGGGTTGGAAGATAGATAAAGTAGACACACAGTATGTGAAGCCCCAAAATGCACTTGGTTGCGAGGTGACCAGGAGATAGCAGTACAGAAACGGAATTTGAGAACACGTCTGTGCGGACCTTTGGTGTCGTATCCTTTTCTCCGGGTACCGTGGTTATCTTCCAAAATGCTAAATGTTTTTAAAAGGAAGTGGCCAAATATATAATTGCAGAACACTCTGGAAAAAGTCTCAAAGTTCAGTTGGGTTTTTCTTGATACATGTGGTATTATTGTTATTACATCAAGGTAAGAGGCAATGCTGAACAGGCATTAAAGTTGTATGGAAGAGTACAACCGTTGTCACTTTTATAGAATAATGTACATGCAGCAACAAATGCACGAAAATAGTTTCAACATTTCAAAACATCAGTATTTCTGAAGGAAAATTTTAAAAAATAACTGTTAACACCAGGGCACAAGCATTCATCACACACTTTACAACAGACAAGATTATATACAAAAGGCTAACGTTAATGAAACAGCTTTACTTCACTGGAGGTACCAATGACAGAATGACGAAGAGCATGTGAATAATAATAATGCCCTCACTGACCCCATGTCACTGACTTCATCTGAGCTGAGGTTCACCCCCAGAATGCATTGGGCAACCGATTACCCGATTGGGTGGAGACGTTCTATCACCCTGAAGAAGGGCGACTGTCCAAACCATCAGCCTATGCATGGATAATTTATCGTACACGTTGGCTGCAATTGAAAAAAAAAACGTGTGGCAGGGGACACATCTAAGATGAAATGTTACCGCACCAGGGTAGGTGATTGTGGCTTCGGCTTCACGTCCATCGTCTCCCCAGCTGTTCTGCTGTTCCCGTTGCCGCACATGCTGGCCCACTTGGTGCTCCCTCCAAGCCAGTGTTGCACAGAGAAGGCACAGCGTCTTGCCTGTACCCGTTGGACTCTCCAATATGCCATTCTTTCCCTTCGCAAGCCACACACACACAACCACATCACCTCGAGCTCTAAATGCAAGTGCCATCTGGAAACCAGCAATCCTAAAAAATGGTGCATGGCTTGCACAGTTATGCCTTATTAACAGCTTGTCGTGCGCACCTTGACCGCAAACATGTTGTCAAGTAAAAAAAAACACAAGTTATATCTTGAACCCCATTTTGCACGGGTACATTATAAAGCTTGAAATATTATAACCTAATTTTCATATCAAGACAAATTTTCAAGTTGTAAACTATTCATTTTTATTTTATCCATATGCCTCCCCGCCATTACCCTGGATAATCAAAAGTTGATAGCACATTAACGAATTCAAATATTGAAAGTACAATACCAGGTTCAGGCACTCGATCACTTGGGCCATGTAGTCCTCCTGGCATTTGTAGGGTGTAAAGGGGAAGCTCACAGGAATCCCTCCTATGGTTAGCACCGGCATAACCTTTCACTGTTCACAGCTCGCCTGTCAGTGAAGGCAGGAAGCACAGGTGAAGACAAGCTTGTCAGCTCTGCAATCATGCACAGTACAGTTTACAAGGACCCTGCATGTTTAATTTTTAAGAGCCACAGAGATCCAAATTGTGTTGCATCTGACATATCCTCGCTACGAAGTCACACACACGATCATTAAGTGTTGGAGCGATTGTGACACCCTGACCCTGCATTTTTTTCTCTGCCATGGACTCTTGTGATATATAAAACCACGATGGTATTGTCTTGATTTGTGGTTTTATTTAGATGCTGTATAAAATCCAAATTGTATTGGATGTAAGCAGTCCTGGTTACCCTTCCACAATTCGATTACCACTTTGTGGGAAACCAACATCATTGGTTGCACTTGGGATGGGACTCCTTCCCACCATACGAATGCGAAATTTCCCCAAATGGCCCAGCAATGCCAATGCTGATAAGCAGCATCACCACCGAAGACTCCGTTATCAGAAACGCTCCGAGTTTGACAATGTCAACAGGAACTTGAACGTCACTTATATCGCAGCACACAGCACTCGTGTCAAAGACGGCTGTGTATCGTCCGTGGCGTGGTAAGCCCGTATTTAAAGTGCCACTGCATTACACAACCATTGAGTGACTGAATAATTAATTTATTACAAGTCGATGAGTTATGAAAGCGAATGTTGAATGAGTGATTGAATCACGAATGCGCGTGAATACAAAAATAATGTGAACGACAAATGGGTAAACGAGTGAAATAATTTAATGACATTTTAATGAATGACAAATGAGTACGTGCACATTGACTGACAGTCCCTTTTGCAAATCTACTGCTTGATGAGGCACTCCAATACCTGTGCGGGTCATGGGTATTGTGTGACCATACTTCACCATGCTGGTCAATGCGGGCCGGCGAATGGAAGCATTAGTACGGTACAATGTAGTTTACTCACTGCCTTCTGTCAACAATTAGCCTCCTGCTGCCTCTATATAACACATATTATGCATGGTGGTAGACCATTAAAGCAAAACAGTATTCAGGTTGAACACTGTTTAGCTTCTTATATCGGACTAAATCTGGCGCATTCCGCCGTGGGCGAACTGGTAAGTGGATTAATGAGCCGAACGAAGGGAATTAGTTGAATTACTTGAATGAACCTCGTAGCGAAGAAGGCCTTAACGAAGAGCCCGTGGCTCCACGAACTGCTCCAGAAAACGCAGCAGCACTCACCCGAAGCAACGCAGCTCTAGACCAGAGGGTAGCACCTCGCCAGGAGGCACGGGGGGACCGGGGGGGGGGGTGGCGCTTTGATTAATTACTGATGATTTAATGCAATAAATATAAGAGAGTAGCCGCTTCCTTTAAGTTGCGCAGCAGCCTCCAAGCGCCTCCACACGCCGCGTTGCACCGGCGGATCCGAACCGCGAAGCCCGCCAACGCGGACGCGCGATGCACGCCGGGAGGCCTCGATCAGCTGTTGTGATGGAGAGAGGGGGGGGGGTGAGGGGGGGTGAGGGGCGGGGGGGGAGCGGTGGTGCAGCGGTTAGCGCTACGCTGAGCTACGAATCCGGCGACCCGGGTTCGATTCCCGCTCACGGCCAACACCGAGTGACGATTATATCTGAACCGATCATGGGCCTCCCCTAGGTCGACTCAGCCTCAAATGAGTACCCGGTGCGGTGTGTAGTAAACATCGACACTGGGGAGACAAAGGCGGTCGGGCGTGGTGCTGGCCACCCATCGCATCGTGTGCCGTGCCGGCCTTCATAGGTGCTGCTCGCTAACAGCACTTGCCCCTACAGTCTGTTATGGCTATACGGGGGATCTTTGGTAGGAAGGGTGGTGGGAGGAGGAGGGGTGGTGGTGGGAGGGGGTGGGAGGGGTGGGGTGGGAGGGGGGGTGGGAGAATTAATGAGGGTGGGGGAGGGTGTGACGTCAATAACAGGAGAACCAATCAATGGGCGGCTTCTGGAGAATGGCGGGAGATTTGAATTGTACGCGAGGCCGTCACGTGACCCGCGATCCTTAGGTTTCTTTGAGTACTGCAGTTTAGCACGTGCGGATAAGTGATTTTGGCTTTTTTTTCGTGTAACGATTTCGTTGGGTCGTTTTATGTCCGTGAGCATTTAAAATCTTGGTTATTTTTGCCGGAACGAAGGTAATAGATGAGATAGACGATGCATGAATAATTCTAGATTATACATTTTCGTGACTGCAAGGGTCCATACTCTTTGTTTTTTGTAGATAAAAACATAAATAAATTAGAAAAAATACTGTGACGGTGCCACCTGAAGACGGAAGCTTGTGTTGCCTCCGAAACGTCGTGATTTAATTTCTTTTTATTTTATTTTTTACCTACGTGACTTTACCGAAAAAACAAAGAGTATGGACCCTTGCAGTCACGAAAAAGAGTATGATACATGAATAATGAATGTGATAGTGCAAACTGAGACTCCCGGTGAGAACAGACAATGCAAACTCGAGTTATCGTGATATCGCGATAAATCGTACGATAAAAGGTCCACGATAAATGTATTGTGGTTTTGCTCACTTTAATTGAATAAAATGCGAAATTTCTTGACAAAATATGAAATAACAAAGTCAATAATTAACGTCATAAATAGCTTTTTGATTTAAAGCTTTCGTGACTGCAGGGATTAATATTCTTAATTCTTTCGGTAAAGTCACGTAGAAATAATAAAATAATATAAATAAAACAATTAAATTCTCACGATGTTTCGATTGCAACACAAACAATCATCATCAGGTGTGAAAACCACAGCTGGTTTATTCTTTTTTCTACGTGACTTTACCAAAAGAACCAAGAATATGAATATCATAAAATAGCTATTCTCAACTCTGCGATATGATTTTCTGAGTATTGGTAAATTGACTGCATGGCTAAAATAAGAAATCATAATTTTCGTTATATTTCTCAATTATGGCTTGTGTTCAGTGAAAATTAGTTTTCTTTTTGGTCTTGTTAGTTTGCACAATCCCACCCTGCAATTAATAGCATGTAACTAACGCCAATGCCGTCTGTATTGGACTGTGATCGTTCTTGTAAAAACTTTTTTCTTTTGTCAACGCGTGCATTCTAAGCCTTATAGATTGTAAATTGATTATTAGAAGGATTGTTGATTAACTACACTTGAATTACTTTTCAGCAATCTATTCATACTCGATTTACACCACTGAACAAAAAAACATACGAATGCGAAAGGATACACTTTTTAAATGGAATAATCGATATCCGTGAATAATCGAGTTGAAGAGAACAAGAAGGTTAACAGATAAACGTCAGACCCCCCCTCAAACATGACGTCACAAAGCTCTGCCCCCCCCCCCCCAGGTGCGTAACATCATTTATGGACGGCCCCAAAGTGCGTGCTAACGAATGCAAACCAGGCAAATGTTAATACAGATGCGCATACCGTGTCAACCCATACGGTTTATTCGTATTCTTGTACAGGGAAATTGCATTTTCAGGTCCATACGGCATACAGCTGTTTCAATACGGCCAAAAAAATGTGTCTGTTGCTCCCTTGTGATGGGACTTTGTAGGATGAACGTTGAGATTTATAAGGGCACGGGGTGACCAATAAGGTCTGAATTGATCTGTAATAAGGCAGTCAATGATAAGGGGTTGACAGGCATGGAAGCCAGACAGAACAAAGGGTATAACGACACCACATCGTGGAACTTTTACAGATATTTTCACTTTATGGATATCTAAGCAACTGGTGGTGCTCGATATTTAGAATTGTTCATTTAAGGTGCCTTGTGTCTGAAGTTGTGACCATTGTTGACCAGGTACACCCCTCTTACTAGAGGCTCTAGCCAGTGGTGAACTTCCACATTCCTATGACAAGGGCCAGACTGTCCACAAGACTACATCAAGGTGTCAAAACGCGTCGCCTACTTGGCGACGTACGAGAGAGGAAGACCTAACCGAGAATGTCTTGAAGCAAAGATGTGCGCATTGCTTGAGCACAATTAGCACAAGGCAGAGAGGAAAGTGGAAACGAATGGCGAGACGTGCAGTGAACAGCTACGGGCTATCTGCCCATGGATTGTGATGATGATGATGATAATGACTTGGCGATCTGCCAGCCTGTGAGTAATGGAGACATCTGCATATTACCAACAGCAAAGGGATAATCGTGTACACGTGAATTTTATCCAAAAATCTCTCCCTACTCAAATGAGCCTGGGGTGGGTTTTTCACCTTCGCTGGATATACAGTATCAATGAGATAGCCATAAATATTCCACATTACTATGGTGGGGGAAGTGTTTCTATGGCATAACCACTTGCGACTTTCATGCATCGAAAACAAATCTACATCTTCTTGGTTCTTTCGGTAAAGTCACGTAGAATTGAAATAACCTGAGGACGGCTACTTGCGTTGTGGCCGAAACGTCGTGAGAATTATTCTATTATGTTTTATTTTTATTATTTTATTATTTCAATTCTACGTGACTTTACCGAAAGAACCAAGAAGATGAATCCCTGCAGTCACGAAAGCTTTAAATCAAAACAAATCTACAGCTGCCTAAAATGATTATTTCGTAATACTAGGGGTTTCCCCCTTTTTTCTGGCAATAAAACTGAAACCTTTTTACAAGGATTCGTGTCTGCATTAACCACAATACCTGCAGTCAAATGCAAACAAAAAACACGATGAAAACCCTAGTATTATATTTTGATACTGGCAAAGGAGGTCCAATGATGTAGGATTAATTTGATTGTCGTCTAAGCGGCCTTGCCATAAATAACGCTTTTGCTTTTCTTTTTTGTTTATTGTGCATTGTCGTAACCCGGCTTATCTACAGCACTTGGATTAGTGTCTGTGTCTTCATAGGCATGATCCATGATCTCTCCACTGCTGGTTGAAGATTTTCCACACCGTCTACCATCTTCACGGTCTTGCGATGCCACAATTCATCTCGCCTGCAAATCCATGGATGAGTCCATCTCTTTCGTCATTTTCTTGGCCACTATCTCTCATTTGGCTACTGTTGGTATATTGTGTCTTATTTGGAAATTATTATCATTAATGTGTTACTATTCCTGTATCTCAGTCTAATTCCAAGCATGCTTCTTTGCATGTTTTTATTTATTTAGTTAGATTTGTTTTCCTGTCAATCGTATTAAGACAATAGTTTATGCGTATACACAGTATTATAAAAAAACATTGTATAATATCTTAAATATATTACGATAACGTGGATTGTATTTATAACACAATTCAGTGGTGAATATTGCATAAAGAGAGACCCTTATCTCGTTGAATACTGCGTATTGCAAAACGAAGATTCATTGTAGCTGGACTCTTACATGTTTATTTTAAATTGATTACAGTGCAGCACTGACTCAATGGGTCTTCATATCACATTATGAAAATAAAATACTAAATATTCCTGCGCTTCTGCATGATCATCAGAATTATGTTAGCAGAGTTATTCGTAATAGACTAATGGCACATGGAGATAGGTATACTGTGTCCCTTGCAGGACATTTGAATGATGGGGGGTGGGCTCTGCTGTTCACACTAAATACAAAGATCCCCCGTATAGCCTTAACAGATTGTTAGGGCAAGTGCTGCCAGCGACTAGAACCCATGAAGGCCGCCACGGCACCCGAGGGGGTGGGTGACCAAAACCACTCCCGGCCACCGTTGTTTGCCTATTGGCGAAGTTTACACACCGCACCAGGTACTCATTTTAGGCAGAGTTAACCTAGGGGACGCCCAGGACCGGTTAAAAAAACGCCACCACCCACTGCGCCGCCCACACTGTGTCGCAGTGTGCGTGGCGAGAGGGGAGAGGAGGGGGAGAGGGAGGTTATCTGGGCTCTGTACTGGCTCTTGGCTGCTCTGTGTTAATGGTTTCTGACGAGCATTGCTTCAAGGCACAGTGTTAAACGCGTGGGATAAACTTTGTTTTCCAAATACTCGACACCATGAATATTAAGAATCTCATGCGGTAGAATGTGTGTTTACAGGGCCCATTTTGCAACATTCTACATAATCAATTGTTTATGAAAATAATAATTATAATAACATTTAATACATTTGTTTTGTTTACTGCAAGTAAGGTTTGATCGATTGTATTAGAAAACCACACTACCCTTACAAAATGCACATCATGGGCAAAGTACTAGATACAATACTTGCCAAACATATAGTACTATACACATTCAGCAATACACTTCGGATTCATACAACGCATATATACAGCTGCATCGCGAGACGCGTGGACGCTCAATTAAACATTTAAACAGGAATACGATGAACGCTGATCGAACGATAACGGGCGTGAGTGAGTGTGTGTTGCGCGGGGTGCGGCTAAGTGGTTAGCGCACTGCGCTACGAACCCAGCGACCCGAGTTTGATTCCCGCTCACGGCCACCAACACCAGTGACGATTATTATCTGAACAGGTTCTGGGACTCATGTAGGTCAACCGAGCCTCAAATGAGTACAACACCAACTGCAGTAAAAGCATCGGCACTGGGGAGACAAAGGCAGCCGTGCGTGGTGTTGGCCGCACCACCCCCATGTAGATGCCCCAACAGTCTGTAAAGGCTATTCGGGGGATCGTTGCCTTTTTGTGATGAAAGGGTCTGCCAAGCGCTGCTGCTGCTGCAGTGCTCTGTTAAGAGGGCGTGGCACAAGATCAGCACCAAGGACAGCGCTTCCTATTCAACCCACACGGTGCTGGATTGTATTGCACCACTCAATCCGAGTTCTTGGCGACTGCCACGAAAAGTGTCCTGATATCACACACACGCCAACGCCCCTGCGTATGATATACACGTTCATGTTGTCTATACGTGTGATTTATACGCTCGTAATAATTGTTTGTATGTACTGTAAATGGCTCTAACTGTGACAATGCTGGTAATGTGAATAAAAAAATACACGATGATAATAATATCACAAGGCTTTGCTCACAAGCCGGTGCCTTGTGTATTTTATTCATCCTAAAGTGATCTTCGGAATGTTTCAAAATGCGACAGACGTAGGGGGGGGGGGGATATCTTCATTAAAACACACCATTCGACAGTGCAACCCATGTCTGGTATACATTTTCCGCCCATATTTTACAGTGGAAAAAATAAATCTATCAGGGCGGGTGAAGCGCACGTAGCGCAATGGAATTGGTGGAATATTGCCTGCGGGGCGTGCGCTCCTTAATATTCACTCCATTCCCTCCCATCATTACAACTATAAGGTGCGCCCTCCCTCACTCTCTCTCTCTCTCTCGCTAACACACACACCACTCCACCCCCAACTCATCTCTCTCTCTCTCTTTCCCTCCTCTCTGTCGGTCGGGCGTGCTGCAGCTCCACTCTTGCGCACCTCGTGCGGGACTGCAGTGCGAACGCTGTGTCAATCAGCTCCAGCCCTGCTACCACCTCGTCTTCTCCCTGCCAGTTCCCGCCTCACCCAAGCATCCGACAAAATGAACAAAACTGCAACGGGTAAGCGGAGACCAGATCTGCAGAGTCTGCTGCCTCCTAGCCTGCCTGCCTATATGCCTGCCTCCCTGCCTACCTCCATCCCTGCCTTGTTACATGCCTGCCTGCCTGGCTACCTCCATCCTGCCTTGTTGCATGCCTGCCTCTCTGCGTGCCTTCCTTTTTTCCTTCCTGTCCACCTCTCTGCCTACAATTATCCTTGCCTACCTCCCCATTTGTTTCTCTACCTGTCTCCCTGCCTACCTGCCTGACAATCATCTTCCCTGCATGGTTGCATTCCTTCCGCCCTGCCTTCCCGCCTGTTTGCTTGCACGCTTCTCTGTCTGTCCAAGGACCGTTGTGTTTTCCCCCTGTGCTACGTATTTTGAGTAAATGCAATGCATTACTGAGACAGCGACAATGCGACTCGGGCCATATATTCGCCACAGATTGTCTTGTGGTTTTAATAACGATGTCTGAAAAAAATGGGAATAAATATTTGCCACACTGCTTTACTCCATCATGTGATGCTTTCTCCTGAGGGATATAGCTCATGTATATGAAGTCATTCGTTTTGCATGTGGAAAGGAAAACGTTATGGATTGACGATGTTGTGGTGATCGCAGACACCCATTCAGGTTCGGTAACCGTTTTGCAATGACAAATATGTTAGAACCCATCGAGGTCCATTCTTTAATTTGTGCAATATTGTAACCATGTCCAGTGTCGTATAAGCTATTTGAAAGTCCTTACGTTTTTAACAACACCGTCCAATGAAGCCTGGGAGTGGCATTTTGCAGCAAAAAATTCCACCTGTCCTCAAAATCATCCTGCAATCTCTAACACGGCCACACCCTCGAGAGATTTTTTTGTCCTGCGATTCGTTGTGCCACGACCAGCGACATAATCTGAGCCTCGCCAGCCGCAGGGGTCATTTCCTGTTGGCTACATAGGCCACGGGGTTTGGGGGAAATTATCTCAGAAATCCCTATTGCCTCACTCGACGCTACAGGTTTCATTTGGGGTGGTTTTATTGTATCACGATGAAGCAGCAGCACGGTTGCTATATTTATAGGCCAGATGGTGCCTGAAAAATATAGGCGATTGAATTTGCCAGACTGAGATAAATTTTATTTGTGAGGGACACATGCTGCATAAATTATGTCTTCCTCACCAAAGATTGGTTTCAATATTCTAATTTGCGTGGCTTAGTGTAATATATCTACGTGGGAATGGTATGCAAATGACGATACAAAATACGGGTATCTTAAATCATATATGAAAGCTATGTGTAGCTCCGATATTATTGTTTGGGTCATACAGTAATGTGTTGGAAAAAATGTTTCACGTATTTTCATTAGTGTGTTGCTAATTAAGTGCACGTGCTTAATTTAGGCATTGGAATTGTGAGCATGTGTAGCTGTGCATTTGCGAGGGTGTTAGCCGTGCTTGTGAATGAGCATGGCTGTGAATGCGCTAGAAGAACACCCGGGGCCGACATGATAAGGCGGGGTCTCTCGCAAGGTCTCTAGCTTGGCCCTCTTTCGTTTATCTGCAGAATAAATTGCAGAGTATCCATCAGAAGAATAGGTGCTGCAATAGCATCAATATCTTTAAAAATTACACATTATCCAGCACAGTACAATAGTAATACATATTTAGTATTCTCTAGACTCCACAAATGAGCAGTTATATGCATGTATCTGATATATATATTCTACAGATAACCACACTGTTTACAAAGAATGTAGCAATGCATTTCATATTTCATGAACATCTTATTTTCAAGTTACATGCATTAAATTGTGTATGTGCGAATCAATTATTTCACGTCATATATGATATATGTAATTGGTTCGCATAAAGCCATAAACTAGAGGTTCTAAACGAACCAAATTGCCAGTAAAATAATCTTGAACCTAATCTTAACCCCCAAATCGTGCCAATTCTTAGACTCGTTATACAATGTAAAATGTAAGCAAATATACGTTAAAAACATTAAGATTACATTCAAACCACATTCTCGGACACAGCTCAATATGATGCTGTTTGCGATTACCTAGTCTGTGCTGTAAACCAGATACTGGCAACATCACATCCCATTGTTATTGCCAAATCTATCCCTGATCAGCTGATGCAATATCAGCAGCCATTATGAAGCAGACGACAATTAGGCATCCATGTTACACGTATACAGGCATTGCTGTTCAACAGCAGGCAGACCTATAGAAAGAAAAAAACATAACGTTAGAGAAATTATTAGGGCTGGAATATTTATTTTCTCACAACCTTAAAATGTTCACTCCTGGTCTGGGTGCAGACCCTCCTGTCTGGATGCGTCGTGGGTGTGGTTGGAATTGCTGAGAGGATGTGTGACATGGATAAAAACAAAGGGATTCTTCCTGAAGGGTTCAACTAACTCATTACTGCTGTCTGGTCACACATTGTCACACATTGTTCGTAGCGTATCAATTTGATGTCATGCAGTGGGCATAGCTCAGTTTGTTTAACAGTAGGTGATGTGTCTGCAATTCACGCACATGGTCAGCTTAAATTGTGGGAATGTAATGATGTACTAGCTCACAGTTGCCACGCAGCATTGCGGTGATTGTTATAATTAAATATCACGATTCATTAAAATATCCGATTCATTTGTCAAATTTTTACCAAATAATCTTTTCTCGTTTTTTGTTTCTGTTTGTATCGTTTATGCAGCCTTGTTCACCCTATTTGCTTAAACATAACATTACCATATACATTGCATGTACTCAATTGTAAATACACGATTCTTAATTTTGCAATTCTGCTCATGTATCATAGATGTAAGAGTTCATTAATCGAGGCATTGCTACGTGCCTAATCATTTTCACCGGGAGCATTGTCACCAGCAGTGCACCACGTCTGCTTGTATTTTCCCTTTACGGCTCGGCCGACTCTGGCCTGTAGACGTGGCAGGCCACATCTGTTGCAGACATCAAATTGAGCGAATCCACAGAGACATGGGAGAGGGGGAGGTACCACCATAATATCTCCACTCCCGTGATTAAATCAGAGCCAGGTTTCTGTTCCAAAGAGACAACTGACTTATCCATTGATTGGTGTCTGTGAGTTTGAATAATAAGGCTCCCTCACTTGCACTTTCTCTCTCAGGAAACGTGACCCACGCCTGGGCCCACCTCCGACATGCACCAGGTGAGACCCTAAGGGGAACAGTTGTAACCGAAGGCACATGCACGATTGCAGATGCTTCAATTTTGCAATCAAAGCTGTTCAATTGCCATGCTCAGGATACATTTTTCATGGAGTGGAAACCTCATATATTTGTCTGAAAATGCCACTCGCAATTGCATTGTGCTATTAATGTCACATTCACTTAAAAATTAGCTTTAAACACTTTTTTCCCCTGTATCTCTTGTTTTAGGGGTTTCTGTTAAACATGACACGTGACATTTCGATCGGAAACCTCATATGTGCCTCAAAATGCCACTGTACTTTTAAATAATAACAAAAGACTCAGCATCTTCATCAGTAACACTGCCTTGAAAGGAACTATATATCATCGGTGACGTTTTGAGCAATGGCCTTTCTGCTTCGCATAGGCAGTACTATTGATAAACGTGTTGAATGTTTGGTTTTTGTGAATGTGCACCACTGCCAATGCAGTAACCACCAAATAGTGTTTTGTATTGAAATCGTTTTTATATCACATCAATTAATATTTTGCTTTCAACATGATTTCTCCCTTTTTTATATATAAATTTTTTTTTCAAACACTGCACACCGTATTTGGAGCTTTAGTAGAATTGCTAGTGAGCCCCAAATCAATAAGAGCAGAAGCCCTCTGCCTTTCCAGACACAACGTGATCTGCACAAGTTTACAGTTCCACAGCACTCGCACCACGGCTGGGCTCACGAATCTGAGCGCGGTAGAATGGATCCATAAAACCAAAGCGTGTTAAGCAGTTCGTTTTTTTTTTGCTTGCACGGTCTTTAGTAACAGTTGTTGGGGCAATCAATGGCATTGCTATTGAGGGCAAGCTCACCTTGGGAGGAGGTCGGGTCAACTGTGGCCATATTTCACTTTGTCATCTGTTCGAGGCTGCAACCGGCAACCTCCAAGGTATTGGCTCAATACCCCAATCTGGGCCATTAGTGCCAGCCTGGCTTTCAATCAAGGTTGGCATATTTATTGTTTTATCTAGTGTGTGCATTGCAGTTTTTCACAGAGATTGTTTTCCCATACAATATCGAATTCTGTGAGGCTTTGACGTTAATGCTCACTACAGAATGTATTGGGTCTCTCTGGTCGGCTGCTTAAATGGGATACATCAACACATTTAGAGCTGTTCTGCATCCAAAGATTACCAGCTCCTTGTTGCGTCTCAACAATGAACTCATTATAATCACAATGAATGCTCATAAATGCATTCTGTAATCGGGTAATGCCGAACAAGCAGAAGAAATGCGGTAACCGCTCACAATCCAGGCCCACGCTCTGAGCATTCAAAATCAGAATGGCAGCCATTTACTGAAAGACTAACTGAAATAGTAATGGACGATGGTTTTAATTGGCTGTGTCGATCAAGGTGGTTGTTTGATCACGCTTCATCACGGTGGTCAACACGGTTTTCGTGAAGTTCCAGGTGGGGGGGGGGGGGGGGGGGGGGAGTGCGCAGGACCGATTCAGTTTGCAATTGCCTTTGATGCTAGCCATGGCCAGGAATCAAATGTGGGTCACTGGATTCATAGCACAGTGCCCTGATCACTATCCTCCCCCCCCCCCCCACAATATGCTCACAATACACATGAATTAAATCATCATGCATGTGAGAAGTAATGGTGAATGATTCGTGGGAAGTAATATGCAAATTATATTGTTAAATTTAGGTAAATACGGCGAACAAGGCTGTACCAACGAGACATACAATTACGAGGTAGCAATACAAATGAGACCGAGATAATGAATTTGTGAATGAAAGAGTGGCCTAAGTGGTGACAGTTTATCAAATTAATGTGAAGATGAATCAAAACTAAAATAAATAAACGAAATTAAATATCGACAACACCAGTAAAAACTGCATGTTATCCCAATCATTCTTAGATAAGCATTTAATAAAACCAGTCAGAACCTGATTTCATTACGATTATTACCTCTCCACTGCTGGATGAAGGTCTCCCCATGACGTTCACATCTCTCACAATCCCCCAATGCCACAATCTATCTCGCTGCTGCACACAAGGTCATCTCATCACTCCAATTCCTCGGTGGTCCTATACTCTGTGGCACGTGCCCTGCTTCGGCTGCAATTCCATCACCAGTCTCGACCATCAGCCACCTTTCCTTCTTGCGATAATGTGCCTAACTCAATTTAGTGTTCCGAACGGTCAATGTGGCTGCCTTCATAGGAAATGTTTTTCTTGATTCGTAAGTTCTTCTCTCCATCTCTCCGTGTAATTCCAAACATGGATCTCCAAAAGCTCTTTTGTGTACTCTTGCTTTTATTCCATTTTGTCAGTGTCCATATTCCTTATCCATTTGTGATGGCAAGTAAAATGCTCTTTATATATATATATAAAAACTAAAAAAATTCGTCTTTAGGCACATTGGGATATTGCTTTTCATAATCAAATTCAGTTTTTCAAAACCACTCCAATCTGTTTTCATCCATTTCACAACTTTGAATCTGTCTGCCTTCAATAGCTGTCCTCGGGACATATATATGTTGTGCTTTTGACACATATCCCCATTCTGGTTTTTGAAAGTTTCTATATTAATTCAAAGCTTTGCTGGCATGGACCCTTGTGCAGTTGATGTAATGAGGCACCTGAGCACCTCAGGTCCGTGGCCCCCAGTGCAGTTGCACTGCCTGCACACTTGGCAACTACATCGCTGGTTTAAACGTTTAAGAAAACACGTTGCTGCTATGCACATCAGTCTCGTTATCTGATTATTTTTTTGCAAACCTGCGATAGCAAAATGAGCAGACACAAAATAAGTCTTTGAATTCAGATGTATTTCTGAAGAGAGAAATGAAATGTCATTCCCACTATATATTTTTTTCGTTTTGTTTCCCATGAAAATGTTTTTAATTCTGCAGATCCCTGGAGTCAGGCATTATGAAGGTCAGACGTAGTCTCCACATGTGGTTAATATTGGATTGTGTAGCGGAAGAAACGGTCAATTTGAGTGATCTGCTGGAACTGCGGGGAGCTTGCCAATTAACATTCTGCATGGTCACTCTCGTTTAGCCGTGGCCCGTTTCGTATTACAGCGCCTCTGCAAGACAAGACAACTGATGTTACATTTGAAATCAAACCGAAATTTCAATTACGAAGAAGGAAGCAGTTTAAGTGTGCATTCATTTGTTTTGTTTCTAAACGGCCTTTAAATGAATCGTCATCATCATCACGGTCCATGGGCAGATTGCCCGTAGGCAGCCACTGCACATTTCGTAATTTGTTTCGACTTTCCTGTATCTTGTGCCAATATGCTCGAGTATAGAAATTTTACAGAGAAATAGCAAGTGGTTACCAAGAACAATGTAAGGATGACTACGGCTGAGCAAAGAATCAACATTCATGGCAATTAATGGAAAAAATAGTCACCATTAATGACACTTTTAAGAATAATAATTTGAGTCCCCAAAACTGAAACTTCATGAGTAAGGCCTTCATCCAGCAGTAGATTGACAAAGGGCTGTAAGAATAAATGCTTGAAAACAATTCACCCCCCTGAAATTCTATGAATTGTCTGCATTCAGATGAATTCAATCCTTTTTTTAACATCGCGGTGAATTGTAAAAATAGAACAAAAATAAATTCAGAATCAAACTTACATTTTAAAAAATATTAGGTCAAAGAACGAACAGAGTTGAGGACTTCTCACAATTGCTGACAGTCAGTAATGGAAACGGGGAGATCTGTCTGCTGTGAGATCTGTCTGCAGTGAGATCTGTCTGCTGTGAGATATGTTTGCTGTGAGGAATGGTGGAAGGAAGAAATTGCGGCTTCCAAGCTTCTTCTGAAAAAGAAGCATCTTTGCATGCCGGTCATTGACCGGGTAAACGCAGACAGCTCCGGTGACTTACACACGGTGACACCCTGGCCTGACTCTTGCCCTTGGCAAACATCAATGCTGCCCGCTGTCTTGAAGAGCACAGCTAGCCGTGCGCGCTGACACGCCACTCCTTCATGAGACTGCACTGTCGTCTCCGGCGTCAATACTCAACCTCCAGTGCACACAGCCCAGCCGCTGCATAAATAGCACCATGCCCTTACAGTCCGTGGGCTAGCATGATTGGTATGGGACCCTGGTGCAAGGAATGAATTGGGCACTCTTTTCTCTAATCCCCCCCCCCACCCCTCTTTGTAACTTGGCACCTGAACCCCAACCGCCCGTGAGCCCCTTACGCAGCGCCTGGACATTGCGGACAGAGGAGCAGAAATGAGAGGCAAGGTGGAGAAATGCAGCGTTTGCAGAATCAGGGCCTTTCTAAAATGCCGTCTTGTATAGCTGCCCACGGGGGTTCAGTAAACAATATTGTGCTGGTAGTGTTGTATTGATGCGTGCTATTTCTCTTGAGCAATGCTCGACAATAGATAGAGGTTTTTGAGACAAAGCAGACCTATGTATTTGCGATCTAACGATGTATCTCCGCAGCTCCGATTAGCACGGTTGGCTAAGTACGGTGCCTAAGAAGTTCAACATACATCCATACAAAATCGACTATTATGTTAATGATACACACTTCCAATTACATGCACGGGAGTGATTGCTTTAAATTCATGTAACGTACCTTGAATGTCATTATTTTACGTGACACGCTGTAGGCTGTCGAGTCACTGCAATGCACCACATTAAATAAATATAAAATTAAATTGCAACCTTGAGTATGAAAAAGGCATCTAAAGGGCTATTCATTATACACCTACAATTCATAAATGCTTTGCAACAGCATTGCATGAAAGGTCACTTTACCTACATGGAGCAAAAATGTGCCATGACATCAACAATAACAGCCTGTGTATAAGTTAATAAAATGGTGTTTGTAATGCATACAAAAATGACTTCATACTAATAGACACAATTAAGTTTTCTTGCTCATGATCTGTTTAATGCATTGTGAAATTTATGCCACGTCTGCCGATTGTTGATATCTATGGTCTTATTACCAGAGGTTTTGTTTTACAGT